TTTGTCCTGGATGTCCCAAACTTTCGTTGTTTTGTCGCTGGAGGTCGTCACCAGACAGCCTGGGACAGCACTGCTCAGGGACAGGCCTGGAAACATGCAGGAGGTACTACCGCTTAAAAATGAGCACTACATGGCGCATTACACTGTAGATAATTTGAGCCTAAACCTGTACAGAATCCACATTGTCTTGGCTCTAAATGGGAACCATGTGGCTCCAGATACATGTACATGTATCTCACTTGCAATCTCACTGATTGCAATGCAGATTAGTCGAGGATCAGTCCACTCTTAATACATATTGTTGATCACAAATAATCATGATGGTTATATATGGTTATAAAGAAAATACTGCAGAATTCAGTTGCTGAGAAATTTCTGCTGCATTTGAAGCATTATGGCATCATGCTTTCTTTATTCAGTGCCAGCAATGCTTAAGATGACGCTTCCAAGTACATTTTGTATAGAGCCATTAGGCCATGTTGATTTGATTATATGGATGACATCCTCCGGGAGCCCCAAAACTGATGCGCGCGTGCGAATAAAAAAAAAGTTTTGCAAAAAAAAAAGTTTTATTTCATTATGAAATCTACGTGGTCATGAGGGTTGAGCAAATGGCACAGAATATGGTTTGGCAAATAATCTAGTCTTCAAGTTCATTTCTTTACAATTTCGTCTTTTTTCGTTTGATTTTGGCATTCTACGACATTGGTATAGTTTTTATTAATTTTTTTTGCTCATTTTGCAACTGTTTTGTACGATTTACAGTATGGTTGAAAACTTTTTTTTTGGAAACGGCCGAAAATTCATGCGCGCGCGGATGTCATCCATATAATCAAATCAACATGGCCTTAGTAAGCATGTTATTGTTTTTACCAAAGCCACATTCATTTGGTAGATTGATTGACAAATATCCATCTCCAGTCAGTAACTATTAATACCTACTACAAACCTGTAACTGCCTGTGGATGGGCGCTTAGTGTGAAAACAGGCTTGTCTGTTCTGATGTCAATGTTATAAACAAAACCATCCTCCGTGCTCGCCTGAAAGAAAGAGATAGAAGTGTCTTGTACATGTGTTGTTTGTTTTCGGCTTGTATGTGATGTGACTGATACAATTTACATGTAGCACTTGACAAGAATACACATTATTCTAAAGTTTAAAAAAGTGATTTCATGCATTGTAAGTAAACTAATAGTACAGTCACATTCACCGAGTCAAATAGCACTACCGGTAACACTGTAAGGCATTTGGGCTAACTTGTCTACTGTAGTAACCATTGACATTATTTGATATTTTTGACTAGTACTAGTACACGTAGATGCACACAATACACCGTATACTTCAGAGTTTTGTCACCTACCAGGAAGTGGAAGGGGGAGAAGTGGTTCCACGTGACTCTCTCCACCTCCCCACTCAGAGCCCAGGACTTGTGTGTGTCTCCTGGACTCCGACAGTCGTACAGGACGGCATGTCTGTGTGAAACAGAAGTCATGTTACAACAAACTCAAGCGTTGTACGGTACTGAAGATAGCTGCATATCTTGTACATACCATAGAGAGCTTGCCTTCCTTGATAAAAGTCCCTGGTCTGATCCTAACAGTCACACAAAAATTTTTAAAATGGTACATTCTGCTTGCTCAACAGTTGAGAGAAAGAGTAAAAAGAGTTGACCACATCACTACCAGTGGACTAGCCTCCTACTGAAGTGTTTTCATAATTGTTTGGCTGAAAGGCTATAGAAACAGAGGGTATACAGGCCTATATTGATTTACAATGTTGGTGATAGATTGATATGATACATACTTGTCGAATCCCCCAGACAGAAGTGACTGCGCCTCAAATGGGTGCCACTCCAACGTCTGAACCTGGAAAACATTTCAAGACATTGCCATTGAAATTTCTGATGCTCAATACAAGCAAAAAGGATACTTCTATCTTCAAAGAAAGCAGTATGTTAATTTCATTACACATTATAAATACATGTATGTGTAAGGTTCCGGACTTGGGTCAGATTTTGTTGATTACATTTTCCTCACCTTGTCTTTATGCTGTGATAGTGTGGTAACAGGTTTTCCCTGGGACAGATCCCACAATGCAACAGTGCGATCTGCAGATGCACTGGCTAAAATATTCCTGTAGAGAAAAGAAAAAAGACATGTGACAAACACAATGTATCTCTGCATCCTTATCATTCTGTGATCGAGAATAATATTCTGACAATAATTGTTTACCCGGTCCGGTAATGTTAGAATTAACAGTACAATATATCACTACATACATGTAGCTTTAAAGAATGTTTAGAGTTAGATGTTCAAGGGTTAGGTGTAACAAGTCGTTCGGTGTAATGTAGCTAGCTACGTGCCTGCGAAGCTGGTGTGTTACGCCGAAAGGCAGTTATACCGGCTATACAGATACAGAAAAAACTGATCATCAAACCATTTTGATAATTCTTGATGAGGCCAGCCTTACCTAACTAGTCTGTTCCAGGACAGGTCTAGGACTGCATCTGTGTGACCAACTCTGGGTGCAGCTGAAGCCTTCTTCTTCTGTTAGAAAAAGAAACATAACCTCTGACTGTAAACACACACATTTTGTGCCGTTTCAATACAACATCATGTATCATTAGCTGTTACCAAATGTGCTAAACCATCAAGTTTTCAATATCTTACTTAACATTTAAACTGAATAGATTTGGAATCATACATGTATGTCATTGAAATGCTGAATAGATGTATTTTACAGGGTAGCTAAATTCCTGCAGTCATTGCTTACAGCCTTACAAATATAATTCATGTATCACAGTGATCATCCATGAATATAAAGAAGTGACAAGTTTTCAGGTACTTAGTGTGTCCTGTTACCTTTTTGCTAGGCTTTTTCTTGTGTGATCCTAATGTGACGACTGGTTCCAGACTATCCACCACATCCAGGTCCCAGATGTCGATACCTGGAGTCACGCTGCCCACCACCACGAGGTTACCTGTGGTGCAACAACGGACAATAGGTGTTGTCTTCTAATAACCACTTTCCCTCTCTCACAATCACTTTCCTTTGCTCACAATCACTTTTGCTTTCACACAATCACTTTTTCACAATCACTTTCACTTTCTCATAATCACTTTCACTTTTTCACATTCACTTTCACTTTCATGCACTTCCAGACAATCACTTTCACTCTTTCATAGTCACTTTCACTTTCTCACACTTTCACCTTCTAACTATCACTTTAACTTTCTCATGATGACTCACTTTCTCATAGTCACTTTCTCACAATCAAAGATTCATACACATTTCTTGAAAAATATCACCAGGCTAAGGAAAAAAGTGAAAATCATACAAAGGTAGAAGTTTGAAGTATCAACTAGAAAGGCCAATATTTGCTTTGGAGCAAATACAGCGATGGGTTCACCACATTTTACCACATGGCAGGGAAAGAATGAGAAACACAAGGGAAAACAATGATTTACATTGATATAACTATAATATGAAGTAAAATACAACTAAAACAACAGTTGGATAGCTATTCCCTACTTTATTGGTTAGGATTTTTAATTGCATAATGCAAACTGTTGATTTTCAAAATAAAAAAAAACGTCCATGCCCGGCATTCCAATGCTGGAGCAGGAAAGCTTGAAATACCTACCAAAACACTTGAATACAGACATACTGTCAGTATGGAAATGCTTCTGTGCAGGTGTTAATCAAGTTAAATCCCAACAGCCAATCAGCAAGAAGTATAGAGGAAAGCTGCATGCCTATTGGTTGATGCCCTGCATTCCATTGGGATGACTCATGCCCAAACGTGGTAAACAAGGCAAACTAACACAGTAATACATTTGCTATAACACAGCCAAAAAACTCAAATAAAACCATTCTAAAAGCCTGTATCACAATAATTTAAAAAACGCCTAGGGGTATTTGCCCACTGTACCTCCATACCAAATTTCAGGACCTTAGGCCCTAAAATGAAGAAGCTGAATCCATTTAAAAAATGGCAGGAGAAGGAGAAGGAGGAGAAGAAGAAGAAGAAACATCAGAAAAAGCAATATGGTTTCACCACACCACTTCGTGGTGTGGTGAACCCATAATGAGAGCCATGTACCTGGTTTGTCCTCCCCTGGGTCAAAGTTGATCCACTCCAGAGCCAATGGGAAGGCAGGAAGGATGAGGTCGTGGTGACAGTACTGAACCTTCTCTTCCTCGTTGTAAACTAGAAACATTAGAAAATGGTATTCATGTGTAATCCAAGGATTTACAACTATAATTGGATTGTATGACTGATCCTCCTGATTATTATCTAAATTTTATTAGCAGTTTGTTAGCATATTATACATTACATGAAGTTCTGTGCAATGTGTCATTTGTTGATTTACCACCACCACCTCAGCACTATTGACAGTGTCCATTAAAAAACCTGCTAAGCTGTGTTCACATCATGCATAGAAAAAGTATATGTCTCGTTACTGACTGTAAACCTCCAGGATGCTGCAGTCCTCCTCTGCCCTCCCCACGATCACCAGGTTGTCTGTCGGTCTGATGGTGAACGCTTCTCTTTCCTCTTCTTCTACCTCTTCCTGATAGTGATACAGAATGGTGTACAGGGTTTAAAAAGTGAGAAGACATACATTTGTATGTGCAAAGATCATTTAGGCACCTACACAAAACAGTAAAAGGATCCTTCTCAGAGTATCCTTTTTGTATACTGGGGCCCCCGTACTCGCTGCCTAGTACTAGTACTACTAGTAACATTTTTTGGGAGGGAGTATGGGAGCCCTGGTGTACAATAATTGGCATCCAAGCTAAGAATTTGGTGGAGATTTGGGCAAAAATGTGGCAAACTACATTTCAAACCATCCATAGTCTTCACAAGCTTAAGCAAGACAACCACTGTGCTGATCTACCTAGAAGTTGGAATATACAAAATATGTAACGTTACTTATCCAAAAAAACACTAATATTATGTTGACTCACATCATCCTTTACAGTGATGTAGGGGTCGTCCTCATTACTGGCGTAGACAGTCAGACTGGCCAGGTTTCCTACCAGGCTGCCTGTAGGATCTAAACATAACAACAACATATTTCAGCAGAAAGAAATGAAACAACTTGCAAAACACCCAAGTATCACAAAGTTTAATTTTTCCATTCTATAGAACAGGTGTTAAATACCTGTCATTATAAAACTTATCTCCATACCTAAAATCATAAGTTTAAGACATAACTTTGCATACTTGTGTCCTCTGAACACTTGAAGAAGCCACACAGGCGAAACTGGCCTTGTGACAGGCTGAATAAAAGTTCTAAACGGGAACTACTAGTACTAGTATGCTGCTCCAGATGTCTTACTGAGGGACGACTGTGTGTTCGAGATGTCGGTTAGTTGAGGAATAAATCCTCTCTACCGGTACTACATGTATATACTGGCTAGAACACTGACTCACCGTCATCGTATTTGTCCAAGTCAAATTCTGCGAGGTCATCTCCATCCTCCTCTCCTGCTGCCCCGCCCTCCATCTCAACATCCTCCTCCAGTTCCTTCAGGTTGTTGGACGTCTCCTTAATCAGACGCTGTAACTCCTCCTTATCTACCTGGACCTGGGGAGACAAGTTAGGTAAGACAACACTGTATTATAAAACTTAAGGGCCTGCATGCCCTTTTTCGTAAGGCCTGTTTAGTCTTCGTAATCCATAGGCAGTCTCCAAAAAAATCAACGTAATTCGTAATAGAACATTCACTGCACATCGTAAAGTCATAATCAGCTCTGAGGCTTTAATGTAATTTGTAAATACTTACTTAAATTCGTAATTGGGGGCAAAAATTTTGCGTAATTCGTAATCACGACCAGGATGGGTCAGTGTTTAGAAGCATTTACCTTATATTCCAGTGCAGTGCCTACAAAAATCTGTCTCTTCTGTCTCTTATCATATTAGGCTAGGTGTAAGAAACAGGAGGAGCGAGTGGAAACAGATAAAAACCCACTGGTCCCGGGCCGGGATTCGAACCCACGACCAAACCTGGGCACCAGTCCACAGGCAGGCACTCTAACCGCTCGGCCGAAAAGGTCTAGACCCATCGGCCGGGTCAATTGGTAAGCGCCTGTAAATTTAACCCCCTACATAGGTGCCAGTCTGTTCCCAAGGCCAATATACTAACTAGCTCCTCAGCTCCAGGCCCAACATTCCCACCATTTTACCATAGCCCTCTCAGTTCTCAGGGCCTAACTGGGGGATGGCCTGTGTATAATTTAGCCAGGTAGGAAGAGCCTGGCATCTACTAGTACAGAACTAGAGTTTTTGTTTGTTTGTTAACATGGCTTCTTAGCTGTATGATCCAATCCACTGTCATATATTGTGTTGACTATGTCGTAGTGTTGCTTCTGTCTTGGTAACTGCTGAGATAAAACTTTCTACCCGTAGATAACATGAAAATGGACGCTATCAGTTTCTGGTTATGATAGCAAGTTCACATATCTAGACTAGAGATAATTAGCACCTTGTGAATTTCAGTTACTCGGAACATCGTGACATCTTTTCTTAGCCATCGTACGACACAAATTACTATAACACAAATCACTATAATGGTGAAGGTACCGAACGTTTACTATCGTGTGGTATGTAGGCGTGTGGACTGCACTCAGTGCAGAACTAGCACGTGGGGGAGGGGGGCTAAGAGAAACTGCTGTCAGCTCACCTTATCCGGTACAGCTTTGGCCACACCCCTGGGCACCCAGGCCAGACAAGTCACTATACTGCTGCTCATCTCTGTCAGTCCCGATCTCAGGTGTTTATAGGGTAAAAATCCGTAAATTTGCACGTGTGTACGCCTCTCTCACGTGGACAGACGACGCAATCGCCTACCCACGGTCTCGCACCTAAGTTGCATAACTCGAGTTTGACCACTCAGTGGCGACATCTTGCGGATGAATTGATTACTGCAACACTGAGGGTATTTTGACGACCAGTAAACAAGAAGTGGTAACAGTTCAGTGATCAAACTCCTTTTTAATGGCCCTTTTGTAAAAAAAAAAATCGGACATGCTTCACATTAAAACCTCGAAATAGGAAGCTCTTGTACATGTATAAGGTTGAAGAAGATTTGAATGATTTCATTCTACCAAAAATGCCATTCCAACCAAAGTAGAATGGCATTTGACTGTGGATTACAAATTACTTCAAGACACTACTAGTACTGCAACTTAAGAGAAAGGTAAAGTAAAAAAAAAGACAGAGACAAAAGTCATGGCAGACTACTTCGAGTGCATGATACAATCACAGTTACAAAAAAACAACTTTGAACAGCCATGATTTGAGTATAATACATGAAGAGTACAGCATAAATACACCATGCAAAATAAATAGTGATAATGAGTGTGAGCATTGAGGGAACTATGAATAAGAAAAATTGTTTCCAAAATAAAAAAAAGCTTCATGACAAGGAATAAAATGCGTCTCAGAAAAGATTTCCTGACAAGCTGGCTATATGGTACATTCCATTTCACAATAATTATGGATCTAATAATGACAAGCACACATAAAATAGAGGAATTTTCAAAGCTTGCAATTGGCAGGTAAGGAATGCAGGAGTATAAAATACTACCTCATCTGTTTTACGTCAAAGTAAAGATTATAACATTGTTTTCTCCTTCCTTTCAACAGAAACACAGTGCAGGTAGCTGCAAATTCAACACGGCACCAGTAGCATTGTTATAGTGAATGCAGGGTTTGGCAAACACGTTTAGCAAGCCAGAATAACTTTTCAAATTGACACGACATGTAGCACCTTTTAATAAATGTTGACTGCTAACTTTTAGGTGATTATTTCTTCAACAAACTAATCAGGATGTGATTGTTGCAAAGCCATTCACACAAATCAAAAGTTCCATAGCCTTTTTGAGACCATAGCGGCCATGTGTTGTAATCTAAAAATGTATCTAGGGCACAGTATTGGATGTCAGAGCCCATCCCTTTCATAACATCTATCACATATACAAAAGTAACTTCATTTCTGGAAGACGACAGGAAAAATTGTGGATAGAACATCTTGCATTGGTTTAATTTCTGAATGGCATCGAGAACTGATGAGTCAGCAGAAGTTTTTTCTGGCAACTGGAGGACAGCATTCTGATTTCTGCTATGTTTGATTAATTGGAAGCATCTATAATACAGTATATTTCTCTTCATATGTGTACCTTGCATTCAACGAGAGCAAAGTTATCTTACCACTTGGGGTTCATGTGATGTGCTTAACTTCATTTGCTTGTCCAGTATGTACTTACAGTGTACAAAAAACAAAGGTTTAATACGGTGGGATTTACAAGCACAGGTTTGTAGTTTAGAGTAGTCTAACATAAAGAAACAAATGTAGCCTCATAACACCAGTATTGGTATCACTTCACATCAGTTGTAAAAAAAACCACAACAAAACAAGATGACTTTACATGTAGTTCAGTATTGCTCTATAGTATATAGTAAGAACACCAGTAGCTGCAAGTGTGTATGTAAGCCTAACCCTACGTAGCCAGACCATTAACACTTAGTGAATATGCTTTGTAGAACTTCAGAGAATTGGCGACTTACAGAGATTATAGTTTTTTTTTTTTTTTTACAATCTTTCGAAAGCCAATGCCCACAACAACTGCTGGTAAGAACATTTCAGCTGGACTAGAATTCCACTGGTGCAAACAATGCTGTTAGTTAACACTTTTAAATATCGTGTGTTATAGTACTTCACGTGATAAAAAAATCAAGAATCCCGTAATATGTTTACATCAATAAAATACAGAGTGCATTTTGTAGTATACAGAGCAGGAAATCCCATTCACTGAGCGCTAACTAAAGTAATACAATCTTCAGACCATTGCTAGAACAACAGAAGACTAACTTCTTACATTTGTTGAAAAAAAATTGCTTCATCCATATTTTTTCAGGGCATGTATCAACTCTTCTGACTCTTTCTGTGATTTCCAACATGTCATTTCAAGTAAAACTTTAACTAGTATAAAGTGCTGTTACTGCAACCCCAAGACCCAATCCTAAGTAAATCTAATGCAGAATATATATAATAAGCTAGTTTGGATGCCATGGGTTCATCTATCCTAAAAAGACCTGAAATGAAATGTTGAGCACCTTACTGACCAATTTTTCTGCAAGATGAAAAAAATATTCACTTTTTCGTATTTCACAACTTGTCCATCTCCTTCCTAACCCCATCTTCCCGATTCCCCCGAAAACAACTTTGTTAAAAAATAGACTATCAATACTGTTGGCAGAACCCTTAGCCGTGTGGAAATGCTTCCCCTTAACCCAGGTGTAGCTCTACTTAAAACAGGACAGGGCTTGAAATACCACCTGCATATGCACCTTAGTGCAGGTAAAATTGGAGCTGTGCACGTATTTTGACGTCTACCTGCACCAGTCCATGTACTGGGTATATGCAGGTTAGTGTAGGTAAAACTGGATCTGTGCAGGTATTTCTGATGTCTATCTGTACCTAACCTGCACTGGTCCATGTACTGGGTATATGCAGGTTAGTACAGGTAAAATTGGAGCTATGCAGGTATTTCTGATGTCTACCTGCACCTAACCTGCACTGGTCCATGTACTGGGTATATGCAGGTTAGTACAGGTAAAATTGGAGCTGTGCAGGTATTTCTGTTGTCTACCTGCACCTACCGGTAACCATTACAGGCTTTTCATAAAAACAGCCAGCTACAGTTGAGTGACAAAGGATCATAAGTGGCTCAAAAACACCTTGTATTTTTCAGAATAACATGCTAGAATACAGCTGGTATTTTTCAACGTATTTTTTGATGGATTCTTTTTAAAGGCAAAGAAAATGAGTGGTGCAGGTAAAACTTGTTTGGTGCAGGTAATTTTGCATGTTACCTGCATTTGTATACCTGTGCAGGTATGATCAGTGCAGGTAACTTTGCACCAGTGCAGGTATGCAGAGGTAAGTATTTCGAGCCCTGTAGGGAAGGCTTTTGAGAGCATCCCCGGTACTCTATATCATATATAATGTAGGCTGGCACGGGAAGCTTTCTGCCCGGCTATAAGCTATAGTTGGTGCTGCTGGAATTCTTGTAACACTTAGAAGAGCGATTTCTTCTCCTTCTTCTTCTTGTTGTCAAGCGATCTGGGAGAAAAAAAAGAATACCATTAACATGACATTGTACACCCTCTTATAGTCTCATATAGTTGGGAAACTATTTTACATATGTACATCAATAAATGTAAGGTTCTTAGCTACAAAACCAAAAGTGATTCTATCTGTCATCAATGCAGGAAGGAGCTGGCAGATAAAATCCTTTGGTTGAGTAGGCTACTAGCTAAGAAGTTCAACCCAGATTGTTTGTTTGGGCTTTTGTTTATACAAATATACAAGTTACAATCGTTGAAGAACTAACAAAGTTATAGTCGTAATATCTCCATAGATAGATAGATATCCTTATACATATAACTTATAAGGTATACAAGAACACATATAAAATAACAAAGATTAACATATTATACCAATGACACGGCAAGAAAACAGTTACTCAAGCAACTAGATATGATTTTGGAAAATCATATCCAGTTGCTTGTAATGAGTAACTGTTTTTTTCTTTGTGTGTTAATTGTTACCTGGATGTCTAATCTTCACCGACGTATACCAATGACAATTTTAGATGAATTTACCAATTAAAACATGTGCAACACATTGAGCAGTACTTACTTGGTAGCGTCCATTTTCCGCTGCTCCTCGAGTTGGCGCTGGCTCTCCTCGAAGGACAGTTTCTCCTTCTCAAACAGACTCCGCTTCTCGTCCAGCTCCTTGTACTCCTGCTCCAGCTTCTTCTTCATCTGCTCGTGCCGACGCTGAAGCTGTGGGGACGGAGGAATAACTCTGATGTTAGTATCCAATACTTGAATTCACAACTGTAGGAGTAAGCTTGTTTTCACACATTTGACAAAAGGAAAAGTCGTACTGAACAATTTGATAATTCTCAAATTAATGCACAAACACTATAATGTTAGCTTCTTTAACAAGAATACTGGTAGCATACTACATATTCTGTACGACTTGGAGAGACTCAATGTATCCAGATGCTTCAAAACTACCTTGAGAAGCCGTTTGTCAACAAAGAATAAAAATTTTGACAGTTTTTCAAAATAGACAAATTACAGCAAATGTATGGCAATGTTTAAAGCTATCTATTGATGATGCCGTTACTGTACTTAGTGGCTGCAAGTTCCACTCTACGATACAAGTTTTTGAACACTTCAATCCTTGGTTGATAACCTTGACTATTTTTTGTTCCCTTAACTGTACACTTAAGTTAAAGGTGAAAATAAAATCTTACGTCTGCTTCTGAGTCCTTGAGTTTCTGTCGTTTCTCCTTGACCTTCATCTCGAACACCTGTTCCATCTCCATCTCCATCTTCTTCATCTTGGCCACGTGTTCCCTCTTCTCCTCCTCCATCTGGGCCAGAGGGTTTCTGGAGGCAGACGGACGGGAGGGGCTGAGGTTTCAGGACCAAAACATGCACATGCTACAGTAAAACACTGGCAAGTCTATCCAGTACACACTCACCACCACCACCACCACAGGACAGCAACTGTCTTCAACCCCACGGCACACTCAAGAACTAACATGTACATGTACATGGTAAAGTAAAACACTGGCAACTCTCTCTCATGTCCAGCGGTGTACACACTCACCACCACCACCACAGCACAGCAACTGTCTTCAACACACAGGACCAGGCAACCCACAGCACACTCAAGAACCAACACCACAGGGAAACGAGTCTCAGAGTGGTACAGGAAAAAGCAGTGGATTCCAATTAACAGGCAAACTGATTCATAATAAGAACCAACACCCCACAGAAACACTTCTGTCAGAAAATGTCTGAGTCCGAGTTGTAATGGAAAAACCAAATTCCTATTAGCAAGCTTAGACTGTGCTCAACATCAGATGTGAACTGATTCATAATAAGACCCTACACCACACAGAAAAAAAATCAAATCTCACAGGAAAAACCAAAGTGGATTCCAATTAGCAAGCTTTGACGAATTCAAACTAAGAACAAGATTCACCACATGAAAAAAAAAACACTTAAAAAAAGAATAGCTCACAGCTTAGGGTAAATGCAACACCAATACTGTACTTTGTTGAACAGTAGATGCTTCACCATGTAACACGTGCCTCAATGCACCACGCTGCTATCAGTAAGTTAACACACCACAAGATAAGAAAACTATATCTGAACATTAACCAAACTGTCTGCCAACAGACCCGCATTACACCAGGATACCATATCATAATTATCCATTCTAGTTTACAAGAACATGTAGAGAAGCTGGTTTGTTAGTAGGTAGAAGCAGTAAGGGTACATACTTGCCACCGGCTGGTTTGCCCTTCTCTGTACCGTTGGTTGCCGTAATGCCAGCTAGCTTCTGACAGCGGTAGTTCTCGTAGTGAACGTTATTCGTTACGTCTTTCAAGTCCTGCATGTGGGTCCTGGAACACAGGCAAAATCACCAAGGTCAGTACAAAGGCATTTTGCTTGAGTGTAGCACCATTGTGCATTGTATTGTTTGAAAGTTGCAATGAAAAAAATATCAATTTTCATATGACAAAGGCCATAGTTTTAACCTGTATATAAAATCAGGACATGTCATAGGTACAGCCTACATCTGGGAACATTGTTTGGGAACACTTTTCTAATAATATTTCAGCTGTTGTAAGGATACTTTTTCCCTACCTGATCAACATGTTCCTCAGTGTGATGAAGTCACAATGGTCCATGTTCTCCACTGAAATCACAGCAACAGAAGTCAATTTCTCTTTCCTTATAACATGAGCAAACAAAACCTAACAGAACTTTTTACATGTATCACACAAATACATGTATAACAAGGTATTATCTTGAATGTGTAAAAGCCACTGTGTCCTTACTTTACACATGCTATGCTTACCTACAGAACTTCAAACAATGGTACGGCTTTTCGTCTGGTCCAGAGAAACCTTACCTTCTGCGATGCCCTTATATCCCTTATATTATGACCTCCATGAAAAGTGGCTAGCTGGCTGATTTGAATATTTCATGAATTGATGATGATGGTGATGATGACTGATTGAACAATGGTTCAAACAAATAAACAAGAACCGTTACCTTCGGCGACGCCCCATGGGTACTGTCGTCCGCGCACTTTCCTCCCGTTGATCTCCAGAAGCGTGTTGCTGCCGACAACCGCAAAGGGAATCCTCTCCTGTTGCCAAGGAAACACAGTCAGCATCACATAACAAGCACTAAAACTCTTCAGTTCTTCTCAATCTGAATACAGTTTTAATCTTCGCAGTGGACAATCATTCTTGAGATGAAAAACAACAAGATAAGAAACACTAACTCTCCCAGTCCTCACTTTAGGATGATAAAAGAAAAACTCCACCAGAAGAATCTAACCTCCAAGCCTGTGCTACAAAATCTCTCACTGTGGGGGCTGAGCAATACAAGCCTTTGCTGTTGTCGTTTACATCATGAACATACAAATTATTTGAAGGCATTTGCAAATTATACTTATAGGTAAGCAAATGACACCCACTTTTTGCCTACCACTACCATGGTTTCATGACAATCACTTGCATGGAAAGGCTGCTAGAAGCATCATTTATCTAGTCATGCTATTGAACAAGCCATACCCTGAGTTTCTTGTTGAGTTTGTTGTCCTCTTCATCCTCTCCTTCTGGAAACTCGTAGATCTGAATCTTGTTTTCCTTGATTTCCTGTAAAATCTGCACAGGAAGGAAGATACAAGCACTTGTTATTGACACAACAACAGACATAAATGCAGCCTATTGTATACTGTAAATAGTGAAATGGTCATAGTGGCTTCATGCTCATTGTTTCCACAGTTAGAGCACACAGAAAACTGTAAACATGCGCTGGCTTGCTGCAGTATTATTTCAACCGCAAACTTGAAGTTCAACATGGTGATTACCTCCTACCACAAAAATGAATCCTTGTTAACTGCAGACTTATAACAATTCACAGTAAGTAACTACAGTATGGTATTCTCAGTTTCGAGGTCTGTCTTGAAAGTTAAAAATAGACGATTAAAACTCCTGAAGAAGAATTGAAGTTCTCACCTTTTTCTTGAACTGTGTGCACTCCTCTGGGGTCATTGTGTCGGCTTTGGCAATGAGAGGAATGATGTTGACCTTGTCGTGTAATCTTTTCATGAATTCTATATCAAGAGGCTTCAACCTACAGCAACAATAGAGAAGACAACCATGTCACGTTCACGGGAATGCCATGGGTCAAAAGTGTCATTCAAACCTTTCTCATTTGGATCTTGTGATTCCTTTGACATCCATATTAAAAATGTGCATTTCTATGAACCAAATTGAAAGGCCAAGTGGCTACGTTAGCAGACACGAGATCGAGAAGGTTCAATCTCTGGAATGCCTGGCTAGACACTGTGTCCTTGGGAAAGGCACTTCACACAACTTTCCTCACTTCAACCAGGTGTAAATTGGGTACCTGACTCCTGTTGAGGAGGAAAAAAGCAGTAGAAGGAGAGGGAACGGCTCTGCCTTCCAATACCGTGCCCTAGACAAGGTGGATTAACAACACACTACATCTACGGCCTCAAAAAGGCTATTGGACTATCATCTTTACCATATCATGAAAGTTCAACTGTGTTGGCTGGTACATGTTTCAATGTAAAAATTTTGTTCCAACACAACTGAGGAAGACCAGAGTGACTGGTTGAAAGCTCTAGATGAGAACATTTCCCTTTTATGTTGGGACAAAAGTTTACCCTGACACTTTATCCTATATCCTTTGTAACAAAGCTTACCCGTGCCCAGTTGGCCCTATGAAGTACAGGCAGGCGTGGACCCTGTTGTCCGGCATTGTTCGGCGGTTCACGCGAGACTCTGAGTTCAGGTAGTCCTCAAACCTCTGCTCAATGTGGTCTGTGATGGGCTTCCAACTACATCGTAGGTAAGAACAACCATCTGTTAGCTCTGTATCTGTATAGCCGGTATAACTGCCCTTCGGCGTAACAAACCTCTTCCTCCTAAAACATGCATTTACTGTCAGAAGGACTCATTCTTGGCTGATGTAAATTGTATTCACAGACATATATGCTGTATACGTATGTGCAAGTACAAACAACGAAAAACATAATAAGCATATTCACAATTTTCCTATTATATTCACAAATGCATGGTATAACAATTTTATGCTAGCTCCCACCATGTAAAATTTCATGTCATAAGAAATAAAACAATACAGAACAGAACCCATAAGAAGTCCTATGGACATTCTTTACAGTTAGGTGTTATGGTCCTACTATTCATGTGTGCATTTCTCACCAGTTACTGTTGTCCACGGCATCTCCGAACCCTGGTGTGTCCACAATAGTCAACTGTAGCTGGACACCTCCTTCTTTAACCAGCACCCGAGATGTTTCAACCTTGGGCATAACAACAAATTAAAATACATCAAGGTCAAAACTGGTTCAACTTCTACAACCTCTACTGCTAGCAAGACAGAGTCTGGGTCTTGGTGTAGAGCTTATTTCAACATTACATTTAGTACGGCAAAAAACAGGTCCTCAAGAAACTGGATATGATTTTGGAAATGACCGTTTCCAAAATCATATCCAGTTGCTTGAGTCCTAGCAACTGTTTTTGGCGTATCTTATTACCTGGATGTCTAACCTTCACCAACATACATTACTAGTACTTCATTTGCTTGGTCTTTGTTTACTCACAAAATACTCAAATCGTAATTAAGGTCATGAGGAAAGATGTAAGGGCTAGACAAACTACAACAAGATATAGGCTATACGATTAAAATGCTAATGAACCAATCAACATATAGCCATAATAAATCCATAGACATATACCCTTACACATACAAACATGATCTGTGATATCTCTGTACATGTGTATATGACATCCAGATGCATAAATAGCCTTCTAATTGACATGCAGATGGCACCAAAATCATAACTTGACAAAGATAATCTAAAATTGTGAAATAAAATAAAATTATCAGAGGAAACTCTTTGGTGTTACCTTGACAGTTTTGGTGATGCGTTGTGAGGGGCCGGGGTACTCAGACGGGGAATACAGGTCAGTCATGAAGAGGGAATTCACTAGGGTAGACTTACCCAGACCAGATTCACCTGCAAGAAAAATTGTTTTACTAGTTACACGTAAAGCTTCAAAAAAAACAAATACAGTCTGGATTTCAAGACTTCCAAGTTACATAATATTCTAGATCACGTAGTTAGTAACAAATTTATCGTTTTTGTATTAATTTTGTACATTATCATTTACTCCAGAAGTGTTAATAATATTTCTTCATGCTATAAAGGTTATCTTTTGGTTCTATATAACAGTCAGGGCTCGAAATACTTTTTTCAGCCAGGTGGCGCATGTTGCCACCTGAGTCAAAAGCCAGGTGGCGCCATCAGTATTCAAGTGGCAACACTTCCAAGTTATCATTTTCTTCAAATCTGCTACTTATATCTATTACGTTTTCTTCTAGTTAACTACTTAAGTTTTATGTTATAAAATAAAGTAATGTAAAGAACACAAAAGCTCTCAAACAACAATGTTTTAATAAAGAATGCCACCTTTACATCACTTCATCACAGGGCTGCCGCCGTGGGAATGCCACGCCTCTACATGGCGGCACACTTATGCGGGTGGTGTTACGTGCGCCATGTTCTTCGTTTGTCGCAAGGATAATGTTACTCTCATCTGCCAAATAAACATACCCCCCGGAATAAACATACCCCCCGGACAAATCTTCAAAATCTAATAAAAAATGGTATTTGCTCCCTTGATTTAAAAAGAAAATTGGGCATAGGTTCCCCGGATGACCCCTAACCGGGGGCCAACGGTGCTTCCACAAGTTCAACAAGTGAAAAATACATGATACAAATTGTACATGTACTTATTACCTGGAACTTGGAGCAAGTATTCCTAAGGTGTTACGGACATAATTAATATATACCAAACTTTTTAACCCAATCATATTTCCCAAACAAATCACATATTGACACAGCTGAACAAATAAAAATGTGATTATGTCTATAAACTCATACTAAAAAAAATTTAGAGACACTCAATAAAGAAAGTAAGAAAGAAAGAAAGCATGCTCTTAATATCTGATTCTCCCAATTGTAAAAGCCCCCACAGCATCCAACCGCACATTCATAGAAACAACATTATATTCTGACACTAGAAACCAATAAATTCGGAAAATTTCACGGTAATGTTTACAAATTAACCTTTTAAAAATACGAGTGAATTTTTATTTCTGTCGTTGCCGAAAAATTTTTTTCATGCGTGTAATACTAGTACATGTATCTTGGACGCTTGGATGCTATCTTCACCTTTGACCACATTGTTGGAAGCAGCGTCGGCCATTTTCATTCTGTCTTTCGAGCTGTTTTTTCCGACAAATTTCAACCGTTTTAACATTTTACGGCCTCAGAAACTCATATAACGACGAAAACAAGTTGTAGTTGTTATTTTCATGCGTAAAATTTCTTCTGGGGATGGATTATTTTTCCGCCGAGCCGCCGAAAACTTAGCGTCGCATGCGGTCGGTCGGGCGGCCGGCAGGATTTTGTATCGGCGCGCTTTGCATGTAAACAAGGACAGTCGGAGTTGTTTACATGAAAATTGTGTTGTGAAACGCCAGCGAGGTGTCTGATTTTCTACCAATGAGAACGTTTTCTTTGTGGCGTCATGGCGAGATCGACAATTCATCGACAATTCACAAGATTGTGCCGACAATGGGGCCCGATCCATGCGATTAGCGGCTTGATCCACGCAAATTATAGGTGGCGCGCTGCGCCACCTGAGTTTAGGAATAAGTGGCGCCAAGCAAAATCAGGTGGCGCCGCGCCAGTGCGCCACTGGGTATTTCGAGCCCTGAACAGTAATTCAAAAATCCTAAAGGTCAGATATTATATATTTTACTTACCTACTACCATAAGAGTAAACTCAAAACCCCTCTTCACAGCCTTCCTGTAGACCTGGTTGGGCAGGTTGGCAAAGCCCACATACCCCTCTAGAGCCTTTGTATGCTGTAGAAGTAATAACGAAAGAATGGTCGAAAATGCAACTTCAACATTAGTGTAACACTTGTATCAATTATACACGTAAAGATACAAAATGTAAGTCGACTTTGATATCCATGAAATAAATGACACATAATTATACACTTAATTGTGAATAAGTATTTGTGAATAGCCCTCAGTAGGACAGTATTTACTCCTAAACTCAATCGCAAGTTGCATGCATCAATTTACATGTAGAACTACAATGGTCATTCTCTGAAGTGGCAAGTTTATTATTACAGCACGAGCTACAATCAAGACAGAAACAACTTCAGATCAAACAGAGCTGATTCACAACTTACGGCTGTGATAGGAAGTACGTCATTGTCCATGATACAGGATGGATGGCAGGGTTCCAGATGTCCCCAGAAGTGAAGAGAAAGTATTTGTGAGTTCGGTTCTTCCACATCATTTACACACAGGGAACATAGTCTCTACCAGACTAACTACGCTGGCTATATATAGGAGAATATTTGCCGGGGGAGTTTGGCCGCCTTGAAGGTTTGACTGGGAGGGAAAGAAACTACCTCCCCGCGGCGGGACTCCCTTGGCCCATTTGATTCTCTTTTTTGCCAAATTCTATGATCCGTATTACGGTAGAAAGGCCTGGTGGAGGCTACAGGGAACAGGGGAATGTCTACCTGGGGCTAATCCCTCTGCACACATCTGCCATCATCTCCACACAGCACTATCTAGGCCAGATTAGATACACCAGGCAGACAGGCTCTACAGATGACTGGTTAGTGTAAGACACACGACCTGACAGGGTTTACCAAACATTCACTCCAACCAACATATCATTGATGAACACCACAAGAAAATGTATATAGCTGCACGTGACTCTTGGTCTGAAAATATCAGGGAAGGAATGCTCAGGGACTGGACAGTGGTGTAAAATATATATGTAAAAGTTGCCTGTGATTAGAAAAATTAAGTTTTATTTCTGCTTTCACAATTTATTGGTAACGAAACTGAATGCGAAAGTTTCCAGTAGCAATCACTACAGTTCATTTCATAACTGAAGTACATTTGTACATGTATGCTTCCTAATCCTAGGACTGTTCTACATCTCTGCATAGGAAACACCCTCAGCCAGGAGATTTGTCTTCAATCAAGCACTTTGTTTGCTTTTACAACAAGACCGGAATATGTGCCAGGCACCCCAGGAATTTCTACTCAGGTCAAGCCTTGTGGTGACTCCTCGGGAAGAAAACAATCTGAACTTTACTGCAAGGGAAAATACGTAGAGGTTGTATTGTTTCCCTTCGGCTTTAGTGGCTAAACAATGCCTGCGAAGGGGCAGTGTGCTGTACGCTGTATGTGAAACCACATTTTTCCTCATTTCTGTCAACGTGGTGTGTACTGAAAGCGAAGCATGTTTGAACGACTTTAATCCTAGCTACAAATCATTGCAGGGGTCCATGTTGAGACAGAGTTGGTAGCTGGCACGAAAGGAAGAAACCAAAGCTTGACTTCCTCACCTTAATTTGACACATCGGAATGTAACGTTTACCTTCTGTTTTCGTTCTGGCAACCTAACTTTACACTTGTTTCCCCTCACGAGACTTCATCTTCGGTAAACAGAAAGCTTTAGATCTCACACTGAAGTTACCGCGTATCGACAGATCTCACACGGAAGTTACATACAAGATTAAACCTTGAGTTGTGTTGCTTTTCATATTGTCCCCTTAAAATGTAAATTTTCCTGACAGAAGACTCAATATAACTTATATACGGGGCTACAAGTTTGGTTGTTTTTTAGTCTACAACAATTTTATACTGTCCATTCCAAAAGAGTTATTCAAATCCTGATAAACTGATTATTCCCTTAGTTTTATTTTATTTGAAACCTGAGTTTTGACAATTTATAAAGTGCTTAATGCCAGTATAGCAGTTTCCGTGGAGACCAATACTAGTAGCAATCACTGTGTTTGTTTACATCAATCATAGGCAAATTAGTCAACTACTTTATACTTGTATACATCATAGGAACTTTTCCATATATTTACCTTGCTTTTATTTTATCTTTACACTGTCACAGTCACAACGTTTTGATATTGATGCACTTTGATATTCAGCAAATTATATCTGGTTCATGCCAACTACAGCTACTGTTCACATGAAAGCAAATCCTACACCATGAAAAATTAAACATGCAGTATTTTTAACCTTTGCTCATGTGATTTATACGAGCAGGCTGTTGAACATTACATTTACCTCCACTTCTGTATAATTGACCATCTGCCACACGTATCATTTAACAAAAATCAGAAATCCTACTCAGTGGCCAGAGTGAATATTACTCATGTAATTGCTTTAGTTAGCAAACAAAGGCCACAACAAAAACCTGGGCTAGTGCCAATTGTAGTCAATTACTCTCAAGTTCGATTGTCCAACAAATATTTAGTCAATAATTATACCAGATTGGTAACAGTTTACAAACAAATTATCCTAGATAAAAGTAAATTTAATTGCAGACGGCCATACTAACTGATTTGCTTTGGCAAGTTTGAGATTGTTTATGTCAATCAAAAATGACATGAAAAATATTATGAAAGTTCCAAAACTTCAACTTCACACCTCAAACTGCCGAACAAACACAAACAAAATTCTGTTCGAGTGACGTTAGGGACTGTACGATATTTACCGGGGGGGAGGGCTGGTGCACTGGAGGGGAGGGCCATTGAAAACTTTTTTGGCCTGGGGGGAGGGCCATCGAAAAAATATCTTAACCGGGGGAGGGCCATCGAAAAAAAACAGCCTTGGGGGGGAGGGCCACTGAAAAAGTTTTCCAAAATATGGCGTCGCGTAGTACCGAATTACAAGAAATACGCCGTAAATTCGAAATATAGTACGCACTTTTAAAACTTTTCCAAATCCCAAAAGTGTCTCGGGCCGTCGCCAAAGTCGGGGTGCGAGGTTTTTGAGGTTTATTTGAGGTTTTCCCCCGACAAATCCGTGGACGACCCAGGAATATATATAGTGGAACACCGGCACGGGGAACTTGGAACAACATCGATCGTCCATAGCATGTTTAGATAAGAATATTGACGAGTGGAAATAAAGTTGAACTTCAATATATGAACATAATTCCTCTGACTATCGTCGATATTTACACCAAGTTGTGGTAAAAAAGAAGTCAAGTCACCCACGGTAAGAAAATGTTGGTCACTAGCAATGACGCCCGGCGCTCCGTCATGCCGACCGGCCGTCCCCAGCCAGCCGACGCCGATCTCAGTGGAACTCCGGCCGAAAATATAACCCCCCGTAAGTACATATAAAATTGTAAGAGGGTTTATGAGCGGTAATATTTGAAATGGTCCGCAAGCCGTGAAGTTTTTGATCGTCGTAAACATAACGTAACGTGATAAAATAACAGTTGTGCCTCGACTGATGGTCAGTTCTAATGCACTTCCGGCTTGAGTTTAACTCAGAAATCTTCGACAAAGATTTTACCCCATGCCGTTTCAAAGGTTCAGTTGACAGATATTGTTATCCATGTTTCATTTCGTATCACAAATCTTTTTAAATCTTGATAAACGCCATGGGAAATTACTTTGTAGTGGACTATACCAGCCAGTGCAGTACGACGTGAAAATGCCAGCTAGATGTACTCTCCCACCCGACTGTTCGGCAAGCTACAATGATATGGGCGGAGTTATCTTAAAATGTAGTCCTTGATGAAAGGCCGGTGGGTGGGGTGCTGAGCGCGCCGACAGGCAAAGTGCACCTACAGCTGAAGAATAAAGAGGGCCGTGGCAGCGCTGAGGACAGCTTTCCAGAACCTGGGCCCCGGGAAGGAAATCATCTTTCCTCTGAACAGAATGTACTTATAAGTTTTACGGAGTACAAAATAATTAACACACGTGTTTATTCCTTAGAAGTGTAACGGGTTGCAAATTTTAAGGCAGCACCTCTACAGTAGCATGAATACTCCGCCCAGTTCTCCGCCTCGATGATCGTTTATTAATTGCTCTCCATGGGTTGATCGGGCGGGCGCTATTTTAAGTGTTCGGTGCATTTCGTATAGTAAAAAAATAACAACAAAGCTACGTACTTGTACATCAACATTCAACTACCCCCCGCTACCGATGAAGTCAATATTGAAATACGGTCTTTTTTCACAAATCTTTATTGACCATTGCTTGTTTGATCACCAACACTCTCCGGGATCCAAAGCTGTACGTTTCGCCGCACTTGCCTTACCTTTCGATGCGGTGGTGACGTCTTGCAAGTCGGCTGCGGCCGGCGGTGAAAACAAGCCCGAACATGGAACGTTTCCCGCTACCTTACCATACAATCACGCAGTACACAGCATAAATCTAGTTTTTAACAATTTTAAAGCTGCAATTTTAAATTTGTTTGGAACGATGAACTGTCTTTAAGACCAGAGGTACCGGCCGTGCGTAGAAGGGGTGCGTACTTTATTCGAGTTTTTACATTCCAGACGGGAATATTTGTCTCCCATCAGCCCCCATCAGGGGGCGCGTACCTTTAATCGGGATGCGTACTTAATTCGGGAATTTACGGAGGGATAAAGAGACATCGAAAAATGGGGGGAGGGCCATCGAAAAATTTTTTGGGGTGGGGGAGGGCCATCGAAAAAATTTTTGGGGTGGGGGAGGGCCATCGAAAAAAATTTTGAGCCGGGGGGAAGGGCCATTGAAAAAAAATTTTACCGGACCATTTTGCACCAGCCCTCCCCCCCCGGTAAATATCGTACAGTCCCTTAGCCTTTTTCAGTCAGTCGAGTGGGGTTTGAATATATATATTTATATCGTCTTGCTGCAAAATGAAATGTCAGATCACCGCGGCTGTATGACAGGCCTGTAGGTGGTAGATAATTATTCGACAGTCTGTGCCCGTGTTTGTGAGCAGGGCTGCCAGAGTTACAGATAATTTCCACAGACGGGATGTGGTCCTGGCCTGTCATTAGCGCTAGCCCCGCCTTGTAACGTAACGTCCAGCCGCTAGCTGCACCCCGCGGGCCCCTAACGTTCCTGCCCCGCCAAACGCCCGCAAACCGACGGACAGCGGCCGCACACGGGTTCTTTAGGGGACGTGCGAGGTGTGGGGGTCCCTGGGAGAGAGTTAGAAGGTTTAGAAGATGATTTAGAAGGCAGAACTTACCCATGTTGTTCCGCAGATCACGAACGGTTTGGGCGCCGCTGCCTCTCATCGTGCGCATGCGCCGAACCCGACTTCCGCTTCCCAGGATGCCCCGCGACTCCGGCTCCTCGGACGGGTTCATCCTTCAAGGACGTTCAAGGACTTTTCCCAAGAAAGTTTGAAGAAAAGTTTAAGAAAACGAGCGCTGAAAGTTTAATCTACATTGTTTTCTGTCGATATATGTTCAGTATGAAAGAGCGAGAAAGTCAGATTTCATACCTTACCGTCTGTTCGTTGAGAACTTGAGGTTGAAAACTCTTGAAAAAGGCCTAGCACCAAAACCAAGGATATCCTTGAGGCTTGCCAAAACAATTTCAGCACCCTCCGAAGTTTGCCAAAGACCATCAAAAGCAACTGTTCAAAAAGTCAAGCTTACTATGTTTCCTTCCTCTCATCTAAAAATCCTGTCAAAGAAAGCCGAAAGAAAGATTTACAACGATTTACAAGAGGTTTCGAAACAGAAGAAAAGAAACGCACTGGGTTCTATCTCTCCAACGTTCGAATATTCCATGCTCAGTATATCATCAAAAAGGATGCTGTCTTGCCAATATGATACTGTACTGCAGCATCCAAAGATCTCAGCTTGGAGATTAGCCCAGTGTTACAACCTATTATGAACTTGGTGGCCCATAATGATAAAACAAAAAAGTACAGAATATACAAAGCTGCATTACAATTCATTCTTTTAATGAAACAAGCAAAACATGAACACTCAGTGACATTACATATAACTTTTACGTGAAATAAATATTTTCAAACCACAGTTGCCATATTGATCATTATATTGCATTGGTCTTGCATTATTGTATTGTATAGTTACCTTTCATAGCTGAAAAACCTGTATCACAGGTATGGAAATTTTACATTGACGATATCCTTTTAGATTGCAAACATCTAAAACTGACAAAGCAGCAACTTTAAATCATTTGCAATTAGAAGTTACTTCTCCTTTTCTGACATTTTAAGTTGCTAATTTTTAACATTACCAATGGCATAAAGGTTGTTCTATGTTACCTAAATCTTTTAATTGCTTGACATTACAATGCTGAAGCATACAGCAATTTTATATACGAAAAATTTACTTAACTTTGCTATCATACCAATAAAATCTTATATACACTAACGTTAACCCGTTAACATTATATCATGTTCATGCCCAGCACTACGAAGTTTCAAGATGTTGCCTTACATTGAAATATTAGACTACGAGAAAGCCCAGCTATACAGACTTTGCACAGACTTTTATAGCACAATAGAGAGATAAACTTCTGGGTGCCTTTGGCCCATTTGAACATTAACCACAATAGTGTGCATTTCAAAAAGTTTGGCAATCATGTACAAAGACAATATAGTTCACATACATTTACGATTTACAAACTATTTCCCTTAAACATGTTCTTGACAATGGCCACAAAGTAATTTTGGCACTCTTCATTTCTCCTCTTTTCAGTAATTTTAGATTGTCCATTCAATGATATAACGTTAACATACACCCAACAATTGCACAAATACTACCCAAATTTTGGACTACACGTTTTTGGCACTCTTTAAGGGTTTTTGAATGGAAAAGGTCAATGGATTACGTGGAGATCTTGTGGTCGCAGATTTAAGTCCAAAATGGTGAACAGTATAGATTCTAATACTACAGTCATTTCTTCAGTCTTGGATATTCAATTGTGAATATCTTGGATTGTCACAGTAAGAAAAAAACAGCAACCTGCCTACCAATGCCCCCCTCAGTAAATGCTGCATGGCATCAAACACTTACCCAATAAATAACATAAGTCTTATAGCCTTTGACCTATAATAATTCTATCATAGAAATCTACTGATTTGCAAAATATTCACATTCAATAAAAGTGAGTGCAATGAAGAGCAAGCCAAAATAACAGGCTCGTAATCAAACTTCAATTTGAAGAAGATAATCTACAAAATTATACACTTCATTATGATGGCTTTATAATTTATTCTACTTAACAGGCTTTTTGTCTTGAACAATAAATATTTGGATTATATATGGCAAAAAAGGCATATTTGCAGCATATGCGTATGTAGTATCGTATGTAAAGCTTGATAACATTGTGATGCACAAGTCAGGGTAAACATGATTGGGATAACATTGTGATGCACAAGTCAGGGTAAACATGATTGGGTGGAGCAGCTGGGAAAGCAAATTCTTTCAGATGCAAAAGTAAGGAGGTTTAATCCTCACTAAGGTGGTTTAGTAACTTGTGATTGAACCTCCTACCCCTTACACAGTAACAGAGACATAATCAACCTTCTCCCTACTCCCTACTGAAAATCCTTGCAATAAATACAAATTTGTTGCCAGAAGGTTCCAGTAGCATGGATGTTTAAAAAAAAAAACGATGTGTGGTGGCTGTAAGCCAGTCTCAGTGAGAAGAAGGGTAAAGCTGTTTGATGGCTATCTTTGCTACTTCTGCAGTAAGAAAGTTAAACTGTGTGGTGGCTATTAGCCAGTGTCAGGAACTGTTGTATTTCAGACTTATTGGTGTCATTATCATATAGTCTATAATAATACCAAAGTGGTGGCTGTGGGCCTGTCAGTCTTAGTGTTCCCTCAGATGGAGGAAAGCTAGTTAAAGCTGTGTGGAGGCTGTGAGCATGTCTCGGTAGGAGGAAAGTTAAAACTGAGTAGTTATGGTGAGTCTGTCTGTCTCTGCACCCCCTCAGTAGGTAGAAGGTTAAAAACTGTGTGGTGGCTGTGATTTGGTCTCAGCTGGAGGAAAGTTAAAACTGAGTGGTGGCTGTAAGATGGTCTCAGTAGGTAGCAGGTTAAAACTGAGTGGTTGTGGTGAGCCTGTCCGTCTCTGCACTGTCCACTTCCTCATCAGACTCCATGGCAGGACCTCTGACCTCCTGGTACCACTGGTTAGTCAGCTGTTTCATGTGGGTCTGGCCTTCTCGCAGCTCCTGAAATACAAAACGACAAATGATGAAGGTTAGACATCCAGGTGGAGATACAAAATGTCTGTTTGTTTTCTGTGACAAGAATAAAAAAAGATACAAAATATACCAAGCAACTGTATAGAGTCTATGAAGACAGAGGTAATTCAGGCAGCATCTAGGAAAATAATTTCAGTCATAGATGGAATTCTCAACCACTGATGAAAGAGAACTCATCCAGTTCTTCATTTACAGGTGTATTTTGTACTAAGCAAGGCAATAAGTTTAGCAAAGCATCTGACAACCTTTACCGGTAGGTCTGGAATTAATTGGTACAAATCTACACCACTTTACTTCCTGTGACCTTACTATCTTAATGTCCTACTAAGACCAGACACACAAGCAAGCAAAGAGACAAGCACATAGAAAATAAACTGAGAATACACTGAGTAGTAATCAGTTCATAAACAGGTAGTAATGGTTTAACACACTTGTGTGTCTAACCTCACCTGGTGAGTGAATCGTCTTGTCAGGGCAGGGACCAGGTACTTAGCATCTATCCTCATAAAGCCTTTCAGGTTCGGCTTCACAAAATTCACTTCATATTCCTCCTCGGTCAGCTCTGACAAGTGTTCAGATTCTATGGCATTACCCTGAAACACAGTATGAAGACAAATGTTAACATTGAAAAACATGTCTTTCATTCAAAACAATTGTCACTTAAAATTAGAACTGAAAAGTAGTAAGTTGGGAGCTGAAATCTACTTTACAATATTCCAGTACATCCTTGGAGGAAAGAGAATTTTTTTAAAAAAAGGGAAGTCTATAGAAAACTTAGCCACTGCTAGATCAAGGTGGTATTTGTAAATCTATATTCAACATACTTGAGACTAGACAACCATACTCTATTCAGAGTTTATGATTATTAAAATACAATGTATGAAACATATTCACTCACCAACTCCTCTGTTTTACTGAGTGTGACTTCTTTGGTGACCTTCTGTCTACTGTCCACTTTTATCAACTGTGAAAGAAAAACACAATTCTGTCAGAGAACACACGTTCCACTCTACAATATGCTGAAACCTTTTCTGTTTAAAACTATGAGCATGTGAATCTTTCTTTCAATATTGTTGTGACCACAGGAAAACTATAATTATAATTAAATATCTCACATATTTTCAAGCCATAACACTAACTCATCAGGTTTGCATATAAAGCACAAGCTTTTCAGTTTCAGTTTTATTCAGATCCACAATTAGCCTCATAAGAGGCTATTCTTCCTGTGGTCTACACATTCATATTTACATACATATATTACAAACGTACAAAAACATTACAAAATTAACAGTACATGGCAAACTTTACACAAATTCACTAAGACAAGCTGCATAAAACTAGACTGATAGGTTTGATCCATATACATGAAAGAAAAAAGCCCAACTCTTGTCGAGAAATGCAATGAGTTCTTTAACATGCTCTAGGTCTAGTCAGCATTTGGCCATACTTACTTTCATGAGTGGCATAGTAGAGCCCCCTAGGAACAGGATAGTGAACAGCACAATGATGAGAGTAGTAGTGATGATGACATGTCTCTTCTCCCCCTCCAACTCCAGATGGAGACTCAGGGCGTAGGCAATGGCACCTCGCAATCCTAATCATAACAGAAACACAAAATAATTTTCCTGTTATAACTACGTCTAGGAGCTACATTGTTGGGTGACTATGCTAGGTAATGGCAGTGACTGTTGGTTTTGAAGACTTTTGTGTATGCAATGATACCACAATTTTTGAACTTGAACAAGAACTTGCTCTATGCAAGGCCAAAAGACCACTTCTGGGCACTGAACTAAGCTGGTGGGAGGTAATAGTATAGGTGTTTATGCTAGGAGACAGCAGAAAACGTTGGTTAGAAGGATTGTGCATAGACAATGGCACCTTGAAAACCTAGCTACTTATAGCCGGAACACACCTCTTCCTATCACACTGGTCATCCTACATTTCCTTATGCAATGGTACCTCACAACCTTGACAATAGGAGAAACAGCAGTCATCAAATCCTATCAAATTTTTCACTAAGAGTTCAATAATTGAGAGGAAAACTTCTCTAAAATCTTACCGCTAAACCACATGACAAATTGCATCTTTTTGGTGATCTTGTGATCTCTGAAGATGTTGACGATATAGGACAGTGGGAAGATGTTGACAGCCCGACCAAGTAAACAAAGAACCTGCAACAACAACAACAGTAAACAATTAGTAGTGACCTTACCTTACATTGTGACAAAAAGAGTATTTGGTACAACACTATGTGGACAGAATGTGTCTGTAACTGTATTGTATAGCCAGTATAACAATTCTAATCAAGGTGTAACACACCAGCTTTGCAGGTGCGTGGTGGCAGCTGGTTATGTTATGGTTAGTCTATGTTATTCTGTAGCTATCTACATTGTAAGGACACAATTACAGAACTTTGTGACAGTGAGTTACACTCTCATTCTCTCAATGTAGGGTGTTGTCGCTCCTACGGAGGAACCCCTACTCTTTGAAAAAAAATAAACGATAAACTTACGATACTCCAGACGACAAAAGCTGGTTTGAAGTTATGTCTGAAGCTGAAGATGGCCAGACCAAGGTAGGCAAACACACAGGTTTCTGGAAAAGCAGGAGAAAATTTAAAGCTTTGAGACTTTCCAAGTCTTAGAGCTGTTCCACTGGTGCTTTGAATGGGAATATGTGCAGTTAGGTGGGGCTGCAGAAGCTGATGTATTACACTTAATAACCTATACTAACCCTTGTACATCAAACTGTAAGCGTTGTTTAAAGCTGTGAGGATGCCCCTAATTTATTTGATGGCAACAAATTCCACTCAGCAATATCTCCAAGAAAAAAAACAAATATTCAAGCACCACTGTTCTGAACCTGCTTCAACTAAAGTACAGACAGTTACGAGAGCTGACCTGCTAGGAAAGCCATGGTTCTGAATGTCTGTTGTATGGTGATCTGTGTGACAGGAGACAGGTTGTAGTGGGTGTAGTGGGACATCACAATTCCACAGAACAGGATCGCCATAATACCTGCAGGGAAAACATATAGACAATCATAGGTTATAATTATACCAAGATAACAGCAAAATGAAATCAATTATATCAGTTTGTTTTTTCTAAACAGAGGAATAAGAGCACTGCTCCCTCATATCAAATTCTCTGATAGAACCCATTCTAGCATTACAAACTGTGTTACTCTCATTAAAAAAAACCCTTGGTCGCTATGCTCCCTCAACATGCTTGCGATCTGCTCCCTCATGCTAAACCCCTCAAATATCCTCTAATGAGTAGGTTTTTTGCATGAGATACTGAAAGCGCAGACTGAACACAAACATTTACAATTTTTCGAATGAAAGCTCATCTGTGTTGGTAGAATCCATAGTTAAAAAGTTTGACTAAGTTCCAACACAAGAAGGAGAACTCGCCATGAATTTTCGGCTGATCCCGTCAACCTTCGTCAGATTTGTGATGCAGTCGCTGACTTTTTGGAAGTCGGAAACGTGATGACGTCAGGAGTGCATCAAAAAGTCAGCGACTGCATCACAAATCTGACGAAGGTTGATGGGATCAGCCAAAAATTCATGGTGAGTTCTCCTTCTTGTGTTGGAACAAGTCAAACTTTTTAACTATTTACAATTTTTGTATTTTTTAAGACCACAGGTTACTGAACTGTCAAATTGTTCAGGTACTGAGATCTGAACTGTTGTATCCAGAGCCATGCTCAGACATGTGTGTGGTTCTGGATAGTCCATGTGCATCCCAAACCATGCCTGGGGAAAATCTATGTTCTTGAATATGCAGAGACTATATCCAGAACCATGTCTGTTCCTACATGTAACACTAACCTACATGTATTTAGGCATAGAACTAGATAGGCATGGTTCTGGATACAATAGACCTATACTTAATCCTCTGTACCTGAAGTTATGTTTTTGGATACACAGAGACTATCCAGAAGTGTGCCTGATCCTATACCTAATCCATTCAAATACAGAACTAAAATAGGTACAGCTCCTGATACAATCATCATTGGCAGTACCTGAAGTTATGTTTAGGTACACAGCCCTAGTCTGGTGTCCCACCCACCTGACAGCTTGAGTCCTTCAGCTAAAACATACGGTGTGTAGGCAAATATCATCATGATGCTGAACTCCAGCGAAGGTGTCCTCTGTAGATTGATGTGCTTCAGTAACTTACAGTACGTTAAGGGAAAGTTTTGACAAGACATCTTCATATAAACTGTTAAAATCAATTGCTTCATCTCCTTCATATCAGGCCACTGTTTAAGGCATCACTATCCCTAATATTACTGGGGTATAACAACATTTTGAATTTATCTATGTACATATGACTCAGTAACACCCAAGAATACTTATCAATATACAGTCCTGTGACCTCTACATAAAGGACCACCTTGCCATTGTGACCACATTTTGACCACAAGCAGTAGTCATATCTATAGTATCCTCCTGTCCGCACAGACCAGATTTTATAGGTCCCTTGAGTGGTCTTCGTGGGCAAGCTTGACTTTATTGATCAGTGTTGAACATTAACATATCAAGTTGAATCCTTCTATCCCATACCCGTAGCCAGGGGTGGTTCGGAAGAACCCCCCACAAGGCTCAAAGGTCCACTTTTTGGTCCACTTTTTATGTAAAGGTTCATTTTTTGGTCCACTTTTTATGTAAAGGTCCAAGATTTTTCTTGGAAAGATGGACTGGAATCATAGAAAAACTGCTCCCTTTGTCATATTTGAATAAAAATTTATCTCTGATTTTTTCTGCACGAAATGCCATTTTAGAAGGTTCATTTTTCAAAATTTTCTGGGGGAGCATGCCCCCGGACCCCCTAGGAACCTCGCGCCGTCGGCACTCGAGGTCCCCTCAAACAGTGGGAGGAACAACCCCATTCAAAATCCTGGCTACGGGCATGTATCCACACCAGCCTACAGGAAGGATACCAGTGCGCTGATGACGGCAAACGACACACCGATGGCAGCGGAGGCGAAAAACATCTTGAGGAAGTTTCCCACCATGAGGAAGAAGGCGGTGGTAGAGTCCACGTCTGCCATGGAGGGGGCCGTCAGCATGATCACAGTACTAAACAGAAGGTAAAGGCAATACATGATATTAACTTAAAGTCAATTCGTGCCCAACAGGGTCAACTGTAACCCTCACTCAGGTGTAGGGACTGACTCGGTAATCCTACTCAAAAAGTCTGTATCTGTATATCTGTACTTGAATCTGTATCTGTACATGAATCTGTATCCGATTGCAAATAAAGATCACAAGTGATTGCCAATTTGTGCCCAAAGTTTAATTGCAAGTAGAATTAAAACGGATAACAAATGATGAAGGACAATACAACATGTAACTACTCAAGGCTGACTCTAAATTCTAATGGAGGAAAAGAAAAGATCCCACTTTTTCTGAGGTTCTGTAAGTTAGTGTTTTATAGATCTTTTCTCCACAACTAGATGTGAATAGGCTAGAGACATGAAAAGATGAATTAACAAACGAACAGGACACTCACTTTGCAAGAACGATGGAGACAGCATCGTTGAGAATGCTCTCCCCAAACACCAGCATGTTGAGGATGGGATCCACTCCGAGAGCGTGGAAGATGGCGATGGTTGCCACGGGATCAATGGCTGAGATCAGGGAACCAAACGCAAAACTGGGAGAGACAGAAAATCATGGCACTGTGATCAACAAGGACAGTAATCTTGGACCAGTTTTCTCTTGCTGAAGAGTTACACATTCACTGGTCGTGACAGAGAAAATAGACACTAAGTACAGTATTGACATATTGATCAGGGAACCAAATGCAAAACTGGAAGAGGAAAAAGATGATTATAACACTGTGATTGATTTTGTTACTTCATGATGCACAGCAAGACTCACAAGGCCAGTGTTATTGTCATGTGTTATTCATAGAATACTTACTAGATAACACTTACTAGATACCTTTGACCAACATTAAAACTACATGTACCCCCAAAATGTATACTAAGTACACACCTTTCTCCAAGGGTCAACTCAAAGGCCACCCCAGCCTGCAACAATAGAAACACATCTTTTAAAACAACTGGGACAGTAATGTAGATAAATATGGCTCAGAAATAAGACTGTCAGTCCTTGCTTTTTGTAGTTTTGTGTATTATTTTCCATTCTCTACCCATCTATTGAGGTCACACTTCTGACTTGAAACAAAGCTTTCATTTTTCCCTGAACATCATCAGTAAGAACATAGAGTCTATCCTGCAGTACCTTCCCTAGCAGATAGATGCCCCCACCGATGACCAGGGATGACAGGATGGTCCCTATCACAGCGAACAGCATGATGGAACCCATGTTCTGGAAAAAGTTTCCCTGCAAGATTTTAAGAATTGAATTAGTAGTTGATAAGGAATTGGAAATTTTCTACTTAATTATAGAGTTTCAGTGAGCATTAAATGAATGTCATTATTCTCTTGCACAACAAAATCCATACATGTTATTGTATTATCATAGCATATATTCATTATTTCAATCGAAGATTACATGATAATTAAATACATATCTAATTGTCAGAGTATGTAAACACAAAATGTCACTGAAAATTGGGAAATATGCAAATGTTCTTGTATTGAATCCTTCAAAAAAAGAATATACAATGACATTGTACTACATTTGTACTCGACTTGAACCACAGTACTGTATTGGTGAAATACCAGTAACATATACATTGTAAATATACCTTATGAAGAGAATACCCTGACTCAAAAATGATTGGAGGTAACATGACCAGGAAAAACGTGGTTGGGTGGAAGGCCTCTTCTCTCTGTATCCAGGGAAAATATACATGATTATACATTATTCGCAAACAACTTAATGTGTTAAATAGCATGGTTCATATAAAATCCAAATGAATCTTCTAAACTGAGCCAACACTTCTAAACCTTACCACAATATTGGACAAAATTACCTCATAAGCGTTCTAGGGATGTAAAAATGCACTATACGTACACGTGTATTAGTGTCAGTACACTTAAGAGTTACACTGCTAGGGACTGAAAAAATCTTTCCTATGGTAATATTTGCAAATTGAAAGTATTTCTTACTGTCCAGTTTCCGAGTTCCAATTTGTTCATCAGTTTGATTATCAACCCAACAACAGCACCTGAAAAACAGAATAGGACACAAGTTCATTGATCTGAACATTATCCCTTTCAACCTGCTATGGATCAATCCCTACTGTAAACAATGTGATGCTTTCAATTAGTTTGTTGAAGGTTTTACTTAGTTAACCACTGATTCTATAGTTCTTGGACCACACAGCTGTGCAAGCACTACAGTATAGGAGGCTAGTCCAATGGTGGTGTTGTGTGTTAAACTACATGTACCATAATCTCTCTTATACATTTGTACATGTAAGTGCTGAAAGCATATAGAAGGCAGAATGTACCATTTCTTAACGGAAGTATTTGGTATGATCAAACCTGTAACCTACATGTACCACATGCAAGCCACACACTTTAGCCACTAGGCCATTACAGCAAAAATGTTTTATTGACAGACACATGGAAACTTTCTCTGCAGACTTACCCAGGAACACAATGGCCACACTCTCAGGTAAATAGTGGAACCTGGTCTTGATCAGTAGATGCACCAGCATGATACACAGGGCTGGAACAAAAAAATAAAGAATTCTAATATCTACACTCAACAAAAATATCACAGGGCTACAAATCCTCTTTTCTACATACCTGCACTGGAATAGGTGAAAGTCAAATTACCTAACCTGTACCAGAAAAGTCTACTTGCACCTTCCCAGGCACCTGAATTTTTGGACATTGGGATTTTCTTTTACACAATCAGTATGTCTCTAAAATGTTTTGGTTTTGGTATCTATCAGAAAGCTTCTCCTAACCTAATGAAACTTTCGCACCTAAATCTTTATTTTACCAGCAGCAGCAGTGCAAAATTCTGTATCTGTATCTGTATCTGTATAGCCAGTATAACCGCCTTTCGGCGTAACACACCAGCTTCGCAGGCACGCGGCGCGGCGGCAGCTGGCTATATTACACCGATCGACTTGTTACACCTAACCCTTGAACTTCTAGCTCTAGACATTGTTTAAAGCTATCTATTGACAGTGCCCCTACTGTACTTGGTGACAGTGAGTTCCACTCTGCGATAGTTCTAGGAAAGAATGAATTCTTGAACACCTCAATCCTTGGTTGATAACTCTGGTACTTGAATGCGTGGCTATTTCTTGTTCTCTTCTGAGCTGGTATTAGGTACTTAGTAGTTGGGACATCCACCAGTTTATTAGTCATTTTGTACATCATGCATAGTCTAGACATCTTTCTTCTGTCTTCAAGTGAGGTCCACTGTAGGTTTCTTTTCATTTCCGTGACACTAGCACCTCTTACATAGTTGTTCAGACAGAATCTTGCAGCTTGATTCTGTACCCTTTCCAATTTGTCTTTGTCTTTCTTTGTATATGGATCCCATACTGTCGCAGCGTATTCTAGGTTCGGTCTTACAAGTGACGTGTATGCAAGTGATTTTACTCTCGTTGGACATGCCCACAGATTACGTTTAATCACTCCCAATGTCTGTTTCGCCTTAGTTGTGATATTATTAACATGTGCACCCCACTTCAGTCCGCTTGTCAGCGTGACGCCCAGATACGGATGGATTTTTGTGGTTGATAAAGCCTGACCACAAAACTGGTAGCTAGTTGCATGTGGTGTTCGTTTGTTTGTTATGTGCATAATATAGCATTTTTCGGGATTAAACTGCATGAGCCATTTGCTTTGCCATTCTTCCAGGGTGTTCAGGTCTTTTTGGAGAAGTTGTGAGTCGGTCTGTGTAGAAAGCTCTACATACAATAGACAGTCATCGGCAAATAACCTCACATTTGAGTCAAGCTGATCTGGTAGGTCATTTATATACAAGAGAAAGAGCAATGGCCCCAGGACGGTTCCTTGAGGGACCCCAGACGCTACTTTAACTGGAGCCGACGCCTTCCCTTCAACCACTACTGTTTGCTCCCTGTTGGTCAGGAAAGCCTTTAACCAATTCAGCGTAGGGCCTTGGATTCCATAATACTCCAGTTTTGAGATGAGCCTGCCATGGGGGACTTTATCAAAGGCTTTAGTGAAATCAAGTATTGCTAAATCAAGTATTGCTAAATCAAGTATTGCTAAATCTACATTCTATTTCCAAAAAGGAATTTTGAGTTATACTGAATTGTTCTTTGAATTCATAACCCAGTACATATCAAAGAATTCAAGTTCCTGAACAGTGAACTGTTGCAGAATGAAAGTAAGTTGCATGAAAATTATGACCTTTTAGAACCAAGCATTATAAGACTTAAATCATTCTAAACAATTCTTCAATTGTAAGGAAACGTTTAATTATTTATACCTTTGTGCATCATTACAATGAAAAACTTGAAAACCCACTGATAGATAGGTAAATCCTGAAGTTCAATTAATATTAAAAGGCTTTTACCATTCAGTTTGATGATGTATTACGTCAAGTATATATTATTGATAAAGTTGAACATATGTCAACTGCAGGTTGTCATCTGATCAAAGCCAACTAATGTGTCTGAACTCTGCACTTGGGTGTGTAAAGCTTTTTATGAGTGTCTTTGTTCAAGACAATGTGACTGAAACAAGATGCCAGGTTTTGTTTCCAGTTGTTTTGTTTTGTGCTGCATTGTACTTGGGTGGCGTGATCTCTGTTGCCATTATAGCAAGTAAACTTCAAGCCCTTCCTGTATGATTTTGACACTTGCAGTGTTTGGTAATTGGAAAATACAAGTTTTTTTTGCCATTTCCCAGTAGTTTTATTACTGTAGTCTTTGGGAATATAGTATATACATCCTGCCCTTTGGGGGAAGGAGTAGTAGGGTTTATTAAGCACTGAAGAAGGTACTGTAGTCTTTGGGAATATAATACATCCTGCCCTTTAATAAAGTTATGAATGAATTGGAGAAAGGAGTAGTAGGGTTCATTAAGCCCTGAGGAAGGTACAATATACAGTCAAACCTGTACAGGGGACCACCTTTATATACCCGTATGTACCACCTGACCATTGTGACCACTAATCTTTGTGATAATTTTCCCATTGACACAAATATTAAGAGCGCTGTCTATAGCAACCACCTGTTCATGGACCAGATTTTCTCAGTCCTCTAAGTGGTCTTCTTGGGCAGTTTTACAAAATGTAACTGTAAATGAATTTATTACAGTAACTGTAAAGTTAGTACCTCTACTCACCTAAACACATACATACATATGCATACATACATACAAACACAAATACCTTCCATTATGATAGTAAGTTTACATAATAAATATATAAACCTTACACATAATAGGTACATGTACATATATATAATTTCAGTACTGCTGCCTACCTAACATGATACAGACATGTACCATTTTTTTCCTAATCTTTACATATACGCACATAATATAACCATATACACTGTACATAATATATGATATCAGTACAGCCATCTGACATGATACAGATGAAGACCATTCTTTACAATACATAACAGTAAACAGTAACATAATAATTATATATAGTATAATATAATTTCCATACTACAGCCCACCTAACATGATACAGATGAAGAACATGGTCATGCTCATGGACTGTTCCAGCCCTGCAGCCTCATCCTCAGGCACCCCGGGGAGGGTGGGGGCAGGGGGAGGTGCGGGCTTCGCTGTGCTGGCCGACACATTCGTGTAGTTTGCCTGCGTCAGGTTAGACAGGCTGAAAAACAGAAATGTTTCAAAAAATTAAAAATAATGTTTTTTTAGTACAGTTAACAATGAAATGTGTTCCGCCACGCCATGTCCCTGCAAAGTGTTATGCCATACTGTTATGCTGAAGGGCGGTTATACAAACTATATAGATACAAATACAGATGTAATAAAGTATGTAAATCAGTTTGTGGCAGTGATGTACCGGTACCTTTGCTCTTAAATTGATTAATAAATCCATGATTAATTAATTAATTATTAATTAATTATTCATTCATTCATTCATCCATTCATTCATTTATCCATTCATTCAGAACTACCAAAATGTACTTCTACAAATGTATAAGGTACATATACAAATGTACATGTAGAATACAACACGGGGTATTCCGTATCGCCCGACCGCGGGTCGGATCGCCCGACGGCTGCAGGCCGGAGGGCGATCCGACTCGCGGGAGGGCCGGGACCGAGGGCGATGCGAAATACACCGTGTTGTATTTTATTTATATCATACCCACCCAAGAAAACGCGCCTTTCAATGCAAGATGAGCCAAAAGTTGGTGCCACTAAACCCTAAAATGCAACGACATCAATTCCAACGTCCGGATTCTGTATTCGAATTTTCGAAAGGGGCACACGCGGTTAGGGCGAAACGCGTTCGAATCGTTTTATGGAAGCCATGGAAGCGTTCGATAACGGGTTCCACACCATACGGTACGGCCCGGTCCGGAACCCGTTATCGAACGTTATCGCGGCCCGGGTATGATATAAATGTATGTACATTACAAAAAGTTGTACATGTAACTGCATCATCAAAAATTAATGAGACTAGATAAATTATATAGAAACACTTACTGATGTGAAACTTAAAAGTTAAATGTCCTAAACCTATTACAGATCTAGACTTATAGCGACACAGTCAAAATGTACTTGCCCTACATAAAAATAATCATAATCTCGCACCATTAACAGATTAAGTTACATTCACTATATGATAAGCAATTATATATAAATAAGTAGCTATTCCAGATCTTGCCTGATGCCCAAATGGGCTGGCATGGTCATGATGGTCTATAAAATAGCATTGCAATTTGCAACACTGTGGCAGTAATGGGTGGGTGTGAAAACTCATATAATAAGCCAGTTTTGATATACTTTCAATATTCTAGTGATGTAGAATCAATAATTATGTACATTGTGATTTGAACTCCTTCTTATTGAAATGTGATCTCTGAACTCAGAGATTTTATGAAGTGGTTTAACGGTTTTGACCTTTGATCTGTGACTGTATATGTGTTGTCTGTTGTCTGTTACAAATGTACACGTAGTACCATAATATTATTTTATGATCCATGGAAGAGCTAAAAGGATATCTTAATAACCAACAAATAATGGCTATTATTTGAATTGATATAACTGTTTGAAACAGTTTACTTGCATATATTTATAAACACTGACTGTTGTTCCATAGGAATATTTCTCCACAGGTTTAATCAGAGACATCAGATGTAGCATACTATGCATACAATCAATTCAATAGATCTTACTTTCAGGTCTATATGACTGGTAACCGTTATACTTCAGAAAGTTCAGTAACAAATTTCAACTCAATGTTGCTTAGATGAGAGCCAGCAGCTGTTGTTAATATTTAATTTTGATGGCCATCATACACAAAGCAGTATGTTACAGTCACTGTACAGTAGTGACTGTTGCCATGCCCCAGGCTAGTGTACGTGTGCAGGCTGCAGCAGGATGTTATCTACAATATTTAATGGATTTTTACCTTTAATGAAATGTCAAAGGATGGATGTTTATGTCACAGGAATGGGCCACCTGTGTAAAAGGTGTCCTTGGGGAGAGTGAAGTAAGATATGGGGAATAGTAATAAAATTTAAAAAATTTAGATATCATATAGAATAGGGAATTTTGAAGGCTTCTCTGAGATAAAATAGCAAGCTGTCATCAAAAAGCTGGCGTGTTATGCTGGAGGGCGGTTATACTGGCTATACAGATACAGAACCTGGTGTGTTACACCGAAGGGCAGTTATACCGGCTATACAGATACAGGAGCTGGTGTGTTATGCCGAAGGGCGGTTATACCGGCTATACACATACTAGTAGAGATACAGAAGCTGGTGTTATGCTGAAGGGCGGTTATACCGGCTAATTACAGATACAGAAGCTGGTGTGTTATGCCGAAGGGCGGGTTATACCGGCTACTAGTATACAGATACAGAGCCTGGTGTGTTATGCAGAAGGGCAGTTATACCGGCTATACAGATACAGAAGCTGGTGTGTTACGCAGAAGGGCGGTTATACCTGCTATACAGATATAGACACAGAAGCTGGTATGTTACACTGAAAGGTGGTTATACCAGCTATACAGGACTACAGGTGCACAAAAATTATTTGGAATATGACCCATCCAAAGCATCTTGGGCATTTCTCCGTGTTTGATTTATTCGCCGGCCTGGCAGATTTAAAAGCACCCATCAGAACAGATAGCCGAGTGGGTTCCTATGCAATGCCCTGTATCAAGCTATTCCATCAGAGTATATTAATTTTTCATACATGGATGCTGCCACATGCACCTAGATTATGATGCTACTTGATATGACCAGATACTAGATCAAAGTATTTGGAGTACAAATTCTGATATTATCTTACAGTCAACTTTGCTCTTCCTCATAAATCTTTGTCATACTGACTGATACGATGGTATTTTTTTTACAAAGGATGTGAAACGAAATGGCAACTTGATTTTCATGCATGCATCATCATCTTTATTTCTTTCATTTTTTTTTCATTTTCATTTTTTTGCTTATTATTTTTTTTGGGGTTCTTTTTGGGTAGATCTTTTTGGGTTGGTGGTACTGATAGCATGGTTGTCACATACATCATTATAATGAAGGGCAGTACACATATACCAGGGTTTGTACTTTTGTATAGACTTGTACAGCAAAATGTGAATTCGTTATCACCTTACATAATAAAAAAGAACAACTGTTTTTAACTAGAAGTGTGCTCCCGAAATCTCATATGTTGCTATATACATCCGTGATGTCATCAATATTCTATTCAACATTGTACATATCATGTGTATATATACACAGTCACAACAAAAACGTGATGTCAAAGTAAAGGTAGGAGTGTGTACATTTTGTCTATACATCCTGAACAGTCTATATAAAGTCATGTTGAACTTGGACACGCCCTGGTACTTCAAACATATGGATATGCTATTGTGCTATAATTTTTTCTGATCCTTGTCACATAATATCCAATTAACCATATGCTGTGTTTTAATTTGTGATAATAGGTTATGGGGAGGTTGGCTACAAGGCTATTAAAGCATTCCTGTGAAACAGATAATCTCTAACCGGTACAAATATAACCACGTTCGTGTTCGTGCATCTTTAGTTTAAAAACGCCCACCTGTCGTTGGCGAGTATGTGCAGCAAAGTTGCAGAGAGATCCGCTGCCGAGTCAGGTTCCCCCATCTTAGCAAAATCCTTTCCGCACGAGTCTCTGAGCTAATCTCTAAGAAAAACGCGTCCTATCTTCCGCTGAAACGGTCCTCCAGCTGCCAGGGGTGACCATATCCTGGAGGGAATTACTCCAGAACCAGAAAATAAATGTGGAATTCCGGATCAGGATAGCCTCTTCACTGTCCTCTTGTGATTACCATATCCAGTCGTGACGCAGCGTGACNAATACATCCTGCCCTTTAATAAAGTTATGAATGAATTGGAGAAAGGAGTAGTAGGGTTCATTAAGCCCTGAGGAAGGTACAATATACAGTCAAACCTGTACAGGGGACCACCTTTATATACCCGTATGTACCACCTGACCATTGTGACCACTAATCTTTGTGATAATTTTCCCATTGACACAAATATTAAGAGCGCTGTCTATAGCAACCACCTGTTCATGGACCAGATTTTCTCAGTCCTCTAAGTGGTCTTCTTGGGCAGTTTTACAAAATGTAACTGTAAATGAATTTATTACAGTAACTGTAAAGTTAGTACCTCTACTCACCTAAACACATACATACATATGCATGCATACATACAAACACAAATACCTTCCATTATGATAAGTTTACATAATAAATATATAAACCTTACACATAATAGGTACATGTACATATATAATTTCAGTACTGCTGCCTACCTAACATGATACAGACATGTACCATTTTTTTCCTAATTACATATACGCACATAATATAACCATATACACTGTACATAATATATGATATCACTTTATCAGTACAGCCATCTAACATGATACAGATGAAGACCATTCTTTACAATACATAACAGTAAACAGTAACATAATAATTATATATAGTATAATATAATTTCCATACTACAGCTCACCTAACATGATACAGATGAAGAACATGGTCATGCTCATGGACTGTTCCAGCCCTGCTGCCTCATCCTCAGGCACCCCGGGGAGGGTGGGGGCAGGGGGAGGGGCGGGCTTCGCCGTGCTGGCCGACACATTCGTGTAGTTAGCCTGCGTCAGGTTAGACAGGCTGGAAAATATAACAGGGCATACAGATACAGAGCCTGGTGTGTTATGCAGAAGGGCAGTTATACTGGCTATACAGATACAGAAGCTGGTGTGTTACGCAGAAGGGCGATTATACCGGCTATACAGATATAGACACAGAAGCTGGTATGTTACACTGAAAGGTGGTTATACCAGCTATACAGGTACAGGTGCACAAAAATTATTTGGAATATGACCCATCCAAAGCGTACTGAGCATTTCTCCATCTTTGATTTATTCGCCTGGCAGATTTAAAAGCACCCATCAGAAAAGATAGCCGAGTGGGTTCCTATGCAATGCCCTGTATCAAGGCATTCCATCAGGGTATATTAATTTTTCATACATGGATGCTGCCACATGCACCTAGATTATGATGCTACCTGATATGACCAGATACCAGATCAAAGTATTTGGAGTACAAATTCTGATATTATCTTACAGTCAACTTTGCTCTTCACGATAAATCTTTGTCATACTGACTGATGATATGATGATATTTTTTCAAAAGGAATCGTGAAACGAAATAGCAACTTGATTTTCATGCATGCATCATCACCTTTATTTATTTCATTTTTGCATTTTCATTTTTTTCATTATTATTTTTTTTGGGGGGGGGGGTACCAGTAGATTTTTTGGGTTGGTGGTACTGCTAGCATGGTTGTCAGTGTCACATACCATTACATCACTTAATTGTTTTCATATTAGCTGTTATATAATGTAGGCCAGTACGTATACCAGGGTAAATGGTTTAGAGTTAGACTTTCACAGCAAAATGTGAATTCAGAATCAACTCTTGACTTTATCTAGAAGTGTGTTCCCCTAAACTCGCAAGTTGCTATACACATCCGTGATGTCATCATCAATTCTATTGAACATTGTAGTATGTGTATATATACACAGCCATAACAAAAACGTGAAGTCAAACTAAGGATAGGTGTGTGTACATTTTGTCTATACATCCTGAACAGTCTATATAAAGTCATGTTGAACTTGGGCACACCCTGGTACTTCAAACATATGGATATGCTATAATTTGCGCTATAAATTTTTCTGATCCTTGTCACATAATATCCAATTAACCATATGCTGTGTTTTAATTTGTGATAGGAGGTTATTGGGAGGTTGGCTTCAACGCTATTAAAGCATTCCTGTGAAACAGATAATCTCTAAATGTTACAGATATACCCAGGTTCGTGTTCGTGCATCTTGAGTTTAAAAACGCCCACCTGTCGTTGGCGAGTAAGTGCAGCAAAGTTGCTGAGAGATCGGCTGCCGAGTCAGGTTCCCCCATCGTTTAGCAAATCCTTTCCGCACGAGTCTCTGAGCTAATCTCTAAGAAAAACGCGTCCTATCTTCCGCTGAAACGGTCCTCCAGCTGCCAGGGGTGACCATATCCTGGAGGGAATTACTCCAGAACCAGAAAATAAATGTGGAATTCCGGATCAGGATAGCCTCTTCACTGTCCTCTTGTGATTACCATATCCAGTCGTGACGCAGCGTGACCTTTGCCCTGATTAGTAATGTTTCCGGTAGGTCAGATGAGTCACCCACTGTTTTGTATCTATGTTCCAAATTCCAAGGCACGGGCTTCGAGTAGTTCGTGTTTTGTGTCTGTAAGTCATTCGCTGAAACATTAAGAAGGTTTTCAGTGAATATTTTCGCGGTCTAGGGTGTTGTGGGTTGTCCCCAAGCCCCACCCATAAAAGTGTTCGTTTCCGGGGTCATTTCGAATCCCGGCATGGCGGAAGGAAGGTGAACATGGTGAACGGCTAGCGGCGAGCGATCACACCAAGTCCGGGAGAGCGACAAAAAAAATACCTCAACGCTTCGCCGAGGGCCCGTAGTTAGCGCCGATGGGCCGGGAAGATGGTTAGGCACAGGACTAGTAGAATGAGAGTGAAACTGCGGGCGCTCTTCGCGGCGCTGATGCTGTTTTCCGTGCTGTGCTCGGTGATGTACTATATCTATGCGGCCCCCGGTGCAGGTGAGTGCTCGTCGCATTCCTCATTTCCATTTGCCATCGCTGTTTACACCTTGCAGGGCTCCCCCGCGGGGAACGTCGTCCTCCAAACGACGGGACGTCCGTTTCGCGACGTTATGGGATTAAACTGCGGGTGTTTTCGGTGGTTTTTAATAGGATTTACCCCTTTTCGATTTGCCTTAGTTACGATCCACACGCGGGCGCGCTTGTGGGTTGGAGGGCGTGTATATTCAGCGGGGTACTTCCGTTGTGTCCCCAAAGTCACCCCCACGTTTACCGCCAAAAATCCCGCCCTCCGGTGTTTATAGTTCAGCCTAAACCTTTGCTGAACCACACGTGGTCCGGGCTAGATGTTTGGAAAGGGCGGATGGTTGTGGTATCGCTGTGACGACCAACGGTTGGACAACAACCATTGTCCTACAGTCCTTACCAGCTAGATTTATTACACACGTAACGGTGACATCATGTGCGCAAGAGTACACATGTACGGGCTTCCTAACGCCCCCAAAGGCTAGAAAAAGATCCCAAGAGACTTTCCAGCACAGCTGGCTTCACGAAACAATCATGATTTGTCTATTAATACTTTCCTTGGCTCAAGCTGTGCAGGAGAATTTGTGTTCTTGTTTAGAAAGCTGTTGTGTTTTGAATCGTAATTTTATCTCTCTACAGGCTAATGTAATTGACGACTCCCCATTCTTAGGGCGGACAGTTTCTCAGGTCCTTGACACATGTTTTGTTTTGCTGTTGCTGTTGACAGAGACATCCGTTCAATCGTACAAAAAAACTTTATTGTCTTGTCCATAGTGAAAAAAATTCTTATTTTCACCTCTGTAGTGTCACTGCCATTCCCATAATTTTTACATCTAATAAAAAAATAATGAACTCCTCGCTACCAGACTTGTACATCTAGAAGAACTGTGACCAATTTGTTAGGAAGTCGGACCTTAATGATGTTGCTCCCTACTATTTTGTCCTTCCAACTTAGCGAAACCGTTAAATGAACAAATAAACAGGTTGGCCAAACATGTATCACATTTCTCTTCTCAATTTTCTGGCATTTTCCACACCACCCACCAATGGAATGCCCTGCCGTGATTGGTAGTTACTGCTTCCACAGTGTTGAAACATTCCCAGTTAAAATGAGTTCTGCCCACCCAACCCAAGTTTTCAGTCCTCTACCTAATCTCCAAGCAGATCCTAGGGTGGCAAAGGATCTGCTTGGAGATTATCCTCTACCCCCTGTTACTGTTAGAAAAACTGGCTGGTCAGAAATCTTGAGAACTATTCACCCAAACATCTACTTGGAGATTAGATCTTGATTAGCCATTAATCAAAATGAAGATCTTGTTTGCTGAAACCACTGCTTCAGAGCTGGTGGGAGTGACGAAAGATAACCATCTGTAGTGTGAACACAGATCCACTTAACAGTCCAGCTGACTTTTGAAGTGAGCCACCAAAGATGATGGTTATTACAGCTGTAAGCCATGACTTGCAGAAAGACTTGGCACTGCATCCTAAGTGTTTTTGCTGTGTTGTGTTGGCCTCTGGCCTGGCGTGTGTCACCCATGGACCCTAAAGCCAGAATGACATGCCTCCCATAAGAAAGAATTGTTGGCATTCTAAACATTGGAAAAATCCTTGGATAATCTGCGCCAAAGCACGTTCACAGGAAGCCTATACATTTTTGTAACTCCAATTCAAATCTTGTTTTTTTGCTTTTTTAGTTTGCATTCTATTATTTAAGTTTTTCTTGATGTGGTCTTAGAAAATAGCTATGTAAGTATTACGTAATGGCCGTTAACAGTACAGTCAATAGCAATGTTAATCATTGAAAGACTTTCTAATAGCACTAATGTACCCAAGGAAGGGTAGTTTGCAGACTAGAGAAGCGTGTTTTTATGTTTTTGTAAAATTCATGTAAACACCTGTCTCGGGACATGGCAGCCCATTGAGTCTGGGAATTTGAAATACAATGGAACCAAATAGCCAAACAAAGTGAAAGGAAATTAAAAGAGAATGCTGTTTAGCATTTTTACTCATGCTCCCAAAAGTGACAATAATTTCAGTATTTCTCTCCTCAAAAAATAAAGAGAAAAATAATAAAACCTCTACAATACAGCATACCAATACAGATAAGCTTATATCCCCCCCAAAATTAGTGTTTCTTTCCTTGTTTACTTTTTTGGGGGTGGGGACAACCCATAAATTAACATTCTTTATTGACATATATAACACTGCAGATGTAACAAAGAAGAAAGAAAAAAGAAACAGTTCACTAGGAGTACTTACTTACACATTTGGTTGCCATGTTCACACAGTTTTTGTTTGTTTTGTTTACTATTGCCCTCTACTCTGAACCATAAACAGTTCAAGTATGAAACCTTGCCAAGAGAGAGTCCATTCTCACATAGCTGAGACACAGTCACGCAGAGGTACCCTAATGTCACCCCAGTATTGTGTTTACCTTAAATACCTACATGTAGAACAGGATAATTATCTGCATAACCCAATAGACCGTAAGACACAAGTGAATCCCTGTATTATCAAGATATTTAAAGCATTTATGTGCGATTAGCTGCATACTGTATTAGGGAAAATGGTATAAGATTATAATAGCAGTTAATATGAAACAGTTACATAGCAGATGTTGATATTAAAGCGATAAGATAGGTCCAACCCCAACATCTGCTTGGAGATTATTGATAAAAGGCTTGTGATTTACAAAAATAGCAGACATGACAGATGAGGCTGTCCTTGAGCTGGTTTAAATGCCTGTAATACTAAGAGCACTTAGATAGGTCCCCAGAAAGGGACCAGGCTATGGTCAGGACTCTACCATGTGTGTGTGTTTAGCTTGACCATGTCCGGATATGTGATGACATATTCAGGGTAAATTCATCACTTCAATGTACAGTTCACTTCAGTTCAGCTCATCCTTCTATGTACAGTAGAAATTCTCTCACTCATGTTTGTATTTCCCCACAAAAGCAGATTTTTACTTTCTTTTTTTGACCTTCAAGGAAACACTGCTAGATTTACCAATTTGTTTTTAGAAGTACAGTATGCACAAATTATATGCTGTTATGTTATTCTTTTTCACATAAAATTGTAAGGAAAAAATATACACCAAACCCTTAAAACACCCACCCAACGCTACTGGTATGTCCCTCCTATCATGTGTCCTATTGCACTGCATTTGCAGTGCTATCACTGTTGTAGCAGGATTTATGGTTATACCCCTGGACACCCTGACCTGATGGTAAGTAGACCCAATACAAGCTGCCTGGAATTAAAGCCAAAGCCATCGTCCCTACTGCAGCTAGTACTAACTATCATCATCATGCATGCCAGGGGGATTTTGCTCCTGTGGAGGAACATATCCTTTGACTAGCCTCAGTAGCAGGCTTATAGAACTGGGGGATTGGTGGTTTTCGGCTGTTTTCTGATTAGCCCAGTTCTAAAAACGGGGGTAATTCAACCAGGCCGGCTATGTTGTCTATATGCAATCAGAAAATAGCACATAAAAGACCCTGAAGACCCCCCAAACCCCCAGTTTTTGGCATGCTGTGGAGGCTATCCTTTGACTGATTCCTGTTGAGAAATAATTATAACCAATATGAATTTGGTGCGAAAAGGACGACCATAGCAGTCTGAAGGTAAATCAATATTTGTCGCCTTGGAATTGTGGGGCCCAGATTGCCCCAGAAGTGCAGGGTAATGAAAAAAGCTGATGTTGTAAAGTTTTATTTGCTAAATGGCAGAGATTTGTTTGATTGGAAGATTGGTTGGTTGGTTGTGTGAAATAACTGTCCCCGTCCCAAGGCTCAGGTCATGGAAACAGGTCAGCAATCATTTCAAAACAGCACTTGCAATAGAAGACCATATAAACGTTTTCTGACCAGACAGGTGTCCTGACAATTCTTCATCTTAGTGTCTGCAAGAGAAATTAAACCAGGCCAGTCTGGAAACAGATGTGAACCCCAACATCTGCTTGGAGATTAGTAGTCAAGGCAGATTTGAATTTCTAATCAGCAGATTCTGATGATAAATAAATAAATTAGATACCGGTATAGATGTAAATAGAGACAAAGCACACAAGATTATTATTTATTCATACTCAATAATATAATAATATGCATCTGATCTGCTATCACTTTACGTATCATCTATCTATCTATCAATTGTGTACAAACATACAGGATCATCCCTATGCTGCACCATCAATAAAGATCTGATCAGTATTCAATGTCTCACCTCTTTGACTGGTTCCAACCAGAAAGTCTGTCATGCCCCCCCCCCCAAATGTAACTACATGTACGTGACATAACATCATTAAACATTGTCTGTGGGAAATCTTACACCTGGCCTCTGTCTGACTCTATCCAACATTCTATTCAACAATATATGTATCTTAGCCAGAGCTCCATAATTTCTTTCCATTTTTTGGGAGATTTGATATGGATGCTGCCTGTCAGTGTCACATGTGCCCTTAGGAAAGTCAAGGACATCAGAAACAGTCTGCAAATAAATGTAATAAAACGGACCTGTCAGTTTAGTGTGCCCAGACATGAGAGATCACCGTATGGCTGCTCCCTCAGGAAATTAATTGCCCCTGGTCCACGGGACACTCATGTCCCCAATTTAAACTACGGGGGAAAATGAGTGCGTAAAATGTCGTGTTTGAATGATGGTGATTTGATTTGTTACATTGATGTGTATAATCCGGGTCAGAGCACCAGTTATAGGGGCATGAATAGATTAACCTGGATGAGTGTACAGTTTCAATTACATCAGGGACTGGAGAATGTTCTGGATAGATGGGGAGGAAGGATGAGGAAAAAGAAGCTTTATTGATGTATCAAAAAGTTCACTGGCTATCTTATTACAATAGAAAATACAAAATAAATCATGAATTGTTCTGCCATTTGTCAGTAACTTTTCTGATGATAAAGAAGTCTTAAAGTTTTATGTATTTACCTATTTAGGATTAATGAGAATTCGAATATTCTGGATATGGAGGGATGAATGAGGAAGAAGATTTATTGCTACAACAGAAAGTAGTGACTTTTATAAGTAAGATCAACTACAAATAGAAATGTAAAATGAATCTTAAAATTCTGTGATACGAAATGTATCTTGATCATGGTTTTCAGTGTCTTTTCCAATAATCCAGCAATCTTTCATGCATTTACCTATTTTGCATTGATGAGGAAGGCCTAATGTAAATGCATTTTGAATATTGCCGGCATTTAAGTTAATTTTCAAGTGTTCCATATTAATACTCATATATTTAGTTTTGGCATCATCAGATATGAGTATACAATAACATCCTGTTTCAAAAAAATGTCAATGCATATGCAATTTACTACAATTGCCCTGCAAATATTGAATTGGCATTGTAACCACTTTATTGTCTACACATGAATGATTTATTTATTCCTTTTGAAAGGTTGCTGTTGGTGAGGCACAGGTACAATCTTCATTTGAAATGTTTCTGTTCACATGAAACACAATACAAGTAGAACTAGGCTACTGACCCATTAGTAATGTATACTCCGTGCCAAACTTCCATCTCCAGGTTTAGCCCAGCCCTGATTTAGACCCGTAGGCCGTGTCAGGGTTAGAGTCGGTCGTTTATATCCACCGTGTTATTGACAGGCTGTTGGAGGACGCGCCGTGATTTGCATGTCTATAAGTATAGCGCCACGTCTGTCTCTGGAGAGAGGCCCAAAATAGATATCGTGTAGTCTAGATCAGTGGATGTGCTGGGATTGTATATTGTTTCTGAATGTATTATTAGATATATTGCCCATAATCCGGAGCCATTATCCTTTTAGCTTGCTGCATTGCGAGTTAATCATATTTTTACCTGCAGACTGTTCTACAAGTTACACTTACAGGTAGTGTATTTCCAGCACAAATAAAAGATGTAACGGAACTAAAAACATCCCTGTTCCATGACCCTGTTTATGTTGTCTTAATCTCCAAGCAGATGTTTCGGTGGCTGCAAAATACAGTATCAAATTGGCCAAGCAGTATATATCTATTGTAAATGGATACAGTCTGGCCAATGGATACTGCCTGGCCAATTTGATACTATATATTTTGCAGCCACCAAAACATCTGCTTGGAGATTAGGAATATATTGTTTCTGATTATGTATTATTAAATATGTGGCTCATAATACTGAGCCTTTATCCTTTTAGTTTGCTTCATTGCGAGTTGTTCATATTTTCACCTGCGGTTGTCTGCTAATTACAGCTGCAGGTTGCATGAGGGTACATGTATTTCCAGCACGAATAAAAGATGAAACGGAAGTTAAAACATCCTTGTTGCATGATTCCTGTATATATTGTATCTACGCCATGCATGTCACTCAACTATGGAATGTCATGAACTCATCTCCAAGCAGATGTTGGGTGAAAGATTGTTTGTAGATGGTCACAAACATGAGGTCGGGTTATGGTTTGTTTTGCAGCAACAGCCTCTTCAAGAACTAGGTCAACAAGCAGACAGACATGCCAGAGAGACTCTTAGCAACAGACGTGAAGAGTTGATGTGCAAAATGTGCATGTAGGCAGGAAAGAGAAAAATTTTGAATCTAGTTGACTTGTTCTACTAAACTGTTCTGTTGTTATTCGCCATTTCTCGTCTTAATTAGTTCTACTAATTACCCCAAATATGTTTGTTTGGGAATTTATGACATGAGGCTGTTATGGGGTTTGGGAGTTTTTATAGGCATTATCATATAATACAGTCAAACCTACCCAAGAAGACCACATAGGGGACCATTAAAATCTGGATTTATGTTATGGACAGGTTGTTTTTGATTCCTGTGTCAGTGGGGAAAGGGGCAACCAAAAAGTGGTCACATTTCCAGGTGGTCCTTATGTAGAGGTGGTCAGTAGTACAGGTTTGACTGTATAATATGTATTATACTCACAACGGTAAAGTCAATGGCCTATGCCCAAGGATGAGCAGTAGGCCTAAGTAAGTAAGTAGTATGGTAATGCCTATAGTCCACCCTTACTTATCTCATTAAGCCACCTGTTTGTGAAGAGTCGAGTGTTTACCTTACCTTGTGCAAATATTTTTCTCTCACTAGTTTGTTCTCCATTCAGTTACGTTTTGTTGTTCATGGAAGTAATGTTGACTTTCTTTTGTTACCTTGTAGGTTAACTTCATTTGTTGTTCTTTGTTACTATTGACTAAATACATGTTACACACATGAATAGCATTCAAGTTGTAACGTTTCTTTCAGGTAATAATAGAATTGTTTTACATTGAGGGAGTTTCAAATGTTCTACCAGTATTGTTGTCAGTTGACCGCCATTTTGCATCACGGTTTCACCTTTTATTCCAGTTGATTGTAAATCTGATACACAATGTCTTTCTTGAGTTGTTTACTCAGTTACGAGAGCAAATAAAGAAGCATGACTTCTTCTATAACATAGTTCTTAATGGCACACAACCAAAGGGTTTCTGTAGTCCTTCAGTTACCTTTTTTAGAACAATACTGACTGTCTCTACTTCCTATTGCTAAGTAGCAGAATGACAAAATGAAAACATTTCATTTAATCCTCATTATATTTTTAGCCAAGAAACAACATGTGGCCACTTTGAAATTTGTCAAAGGGCCCCATAGCTACATTGGTATTGGTACCTAAACCCTTTGGTTGTGCAACAAAAAATTGTTACCTGTTTACCTGTATGTACTGACCAGGTGAAACTTTTCACAGATGAAACGTGACCTCTTCTTTATGTTCTGCCAACACCTTGTGGTTCAAAGGGCCATATGTTGATTTTGGTACCTAAATCCCTTGGTTGGTAGTTCCCATTCACAGATGTGTACCAACCAGACGAAACTTTTTGCAGATGAAAAGTTAACATGACTTTGTCCTTCTGTGTTTTTCCCCAGCTAACACCCTGTGGTTCACGTACCTTGCCTTCAACAAGGACATAGCAGAGAAGATAGTGAGCTGGAAGGATGCGTTAGTGCCTGACAGAATAGTCATCCCACCTGAACAATGGGAACTCATGCAGAAAAATAACATCTCCTATGGTAAGGGTTTATTACCTTCAATAAAGGGTTATGCTTTTGGTAGCATTTTTGTATGTATGTATATATGTATGTGCTTCAGCATGATAACTCAAGAATCTATAGATGGATTGTCATGAAACTTGGTAGGTGGATAGATCTTGATGAGACCTCAGAATGATTAGATTTTGGATCCCCTAGCAGTTTGCTATGGTACAGCAGTGAAACTAATATACCTGTTAAGTACTGTAACTATTCGTTTTGTAAACAGTGTATGTGAAAGATGGGCTAGAATTTTTTATGGGTCATTTCTGTCAAGGCTCAAACCTTGATATATTTCTTTATTTCCGTTATCCAATCAAGTCATCTGTGACCCACCAAATTTGGAGCTGTACACATACATGAACTTGTCAATAAGTTGTGATAAAACGGACGTATATGCAGAGGTCAAGGTCCTACACACACATCACAGCTGCACAACAATGATGTCAGATGTCCAAAGTTCACTACTGATGTTCGTGTCCCTGTTGGAGACATAACAGACCCTGGAGGTGTAATGTTTACAGTGCCACCTGCTGTCAACACTGCTCAGGGCAATCTGCAAATACTTGTTGTGCCTCCCACACCAAGAATGTGTGGTTGAAGAGGTTCACCAGTCATGTATAGATTAACAGCTAGTAGGACATTCATCAATCAGTGACCGTTTTGAAAGGTAGCAAACATGTTGTGTGTTATCAACAATTGGACATATGAGACAGTGGTCTTGAACTATTTTTTCAGAATTAGTCAGGTAGACTCAAAAAATATCTGCACGGTTCAAATTTTACCTGTTCAAACCTCTACATGGAAGACGGGTATTTTGACTTGAGTGCTTTTGATTTTATCATCTTGGCAGAGTGCAGGTTATGTACATGTAGGCATCAGAAACACCTACATGTACACAGGTCCAATTTTACCTACACTAACCTGCATATACCCAGTACATGGACCAGTGCAGGTTAGGTGCAGGTAGACATCAGAAATACCTGCACGGCTCCAATTTCACTAACCTGCATATACCCAGTACATGGACCAGCACAGGTTAGGTGCTGTTAGATATCAGAAATACCTGCACGGCTACAGTTTTCTTTTTAGTTATATGCATATGCAGGTGGTACTTTGAGCCCTGATAGTACAATATATGCTAGCACATGTATGTGTCAAGAGAAAGACATAACACCACTTGGGTCTGACAGAGATTTTGTGCAACACTCCATGAAATGAGAAGTTCACAGATTGCCATTATCTTGAAACAATCCACATGGTATCCATAGACTGTAAGAAACCCATGGGTATTTGAAGTTTTGTTTTAGCTTTAACCTTTGTTCTATCAGAATTGTTGTTCATGAACTATCATAATAACTTGTGGGCTTGTGGCACACCTCGTGTAATGAGAAATACTACACAAGATTGGTATCAGCGTAACGCATTCCTTGCCACTGATGATACTGCTGATAGGAAAGTCGTGGGTATTTCTCATTTTGCTTGCCTGCCCACCTTTGTCTAACCTGTATAACACAAACTCTCTCTGTTCTGGACCCATTCCAGAGTTTGTAGACAATCTCTCACTCTCAGTCTGGTAACCAATTTCGAAAAAAAAAAAATGAGATACCAACGCCAATATGGGAGCCACTCTGAAGAAATACATTTTTGAGCACACTTGACTGGAAACATGACCTAAGAAGCTATAGCAAGCGTAATCTCAAATTCTGTTACAATAATATAAAACGTGATCTTAACGTTAGCCATATTAGGACTAATAGGAGCATCCAATTCCCCGGCTTAGAACTATTTTCCATCAAGCGTCTAGAAAACCTGCGGTTCGTAGGTCTGCTGGGGGCACGATTTAATCAGACCAACCTTCATCCATCCCCCACAGTTCAAGTAATATCAGCAGACAGGTGTAATGACATTTGGGCTGGTGGAACACTCTGGGTAATGAAAACATGGAGATGGCTATCAGCTTAAGGCAACCCACACACACAGGGCTGGGGGTGATAAGGACGGGAAGTGTTTATCTGTGGTGAGAACAGATTGATCCTGGGCTGTTTCAGGGTTGTAGGATGTAATTTTAACGTAGTGGCACTGGCCGCCTGTCAATGGGCCCTCCTTCCGCATTGCAGAGCTTTTAAAAATTTGAGCTATAAAATTGGCCATTTGAGGGATACCCAAAGGGAAAAAAATGTTATTTCTAAGGTATGTATGTAATGTATCCTTGATTGACATTTGATCTGGCATTCTTGAACAAAGAAATAGTCACAATGCCCCTATACTGTATGTGAAGGGGGGGAAATTTAGCATAGGGGTCAAAATTTTAGCATAGGGGGAAATTTAGCGTAGGGGTCAAAATTTTAGCATAGGGGGGAAATTTAGCGTAGGGGTACTAGGGGGTCAAAATTTTAGCGTAGGGGGCCCCTACGCTACTTTGTGCTAGCTAGAACCAGGTGGATCCTGGCCACAGTCCTGCCAACAGATCCCGTCTACCTCTCCACACTGTGGTACAAATTACTGCACACTCAATACGATCAGTGCACACTGTGTTATTGCTGTGCTTTCTGTGAGCGCCAGATCTTGTATGTTGTAGTTGGATGTACAGTATTTCATTGCCCCCACTTCCGCAAGTATAATTTACTTAGTTTTTATTGTGTAAGTTACTGTTTGAGGTTGAAAATGTTAGGTGCAATTTAGGTTTTGCTGCAAGGCTGAATTGTTCTCTCAAATCAACCAATTACTATCATGATGGTACTAGTACGGCTAAGGTTTCATGGTTCGAAAATGTATGTTCGAACGAAAGACTTCGAACAAATCGAACTTCAAAGAACGAACAAATCCAAAGACTTGAAGAAAGATTTGATTGAATATTTACACACAGATTTTCATGATTTAGTAATGGTATGAGGGATTTGCATACTATACCTGAGTCTACATGTGTTGACAAGTACATTGTACGTTATAAGACTGCAAAGAACACTGTTGAGAAAGCATGACGTGTACTTTGTTGTGTTGTCAATCATATTAGCAAGCCCACACAGAAACTTGATACATGTTTACCCAGTACTATAGCGACCTACACTGATGCGTGTCGCTGGCTTTGTCTGCACAATTTTCTACTGAATACCTTTTAAGAGAACTGCTCTAGTAAAATGTGGCGTTGAATGGACCAGTGGCTTAAGGCACACACGAGATTGAGAGCCTAAAGTCATGGGTTCAATTCCCTGCATTCTAGGCTAGATGCTGTGTCTTCGAGAAATGCACTTAACAGTACTTTCCTTCTTTGCGAAAGGCACTTAACAGTATACGTACTTTCCTCACTCCACCCAGGTGTAAGATGGGTGCTTGACTTTGGTTAGGGAGGTGTAAAAACCGAAAGGGGCGAGCATGTCACAACCGGGAATCGAACCCGAGTTGTCTTGCATGGGACTCTTAATCCCAGGGTCGTGGGTTCGAGCCCCACGTTGGGCGCCACTGTAAAAACCGAAAGGGGCGAGCATGTCACAACCGGGAATCGAACCCGAGTTGTCCGCTTGGCGGTCACCAACGCTAACCATTACACTAAAAGGTCGCACGACCATTTAGCATGGTCAGTTAGCACTGTTACAGAGGTAAAAGGCAGTAGAAGGAGAGGGATGGGCTCCACCTTCCAATACCAGGGCTCTCTCCAAGCAATGAAGCATGGGTGCTCCCCCTCTCCCCCAAAATCCTAGCAATGTTCAAATTTAGGGTTTTCTCTTAGTATTTTCATGTAAATTTGCTAATTTTTCTAAGTGACATCAACTGTTTAGGGAGCACCGCTTCCATAAAAATTTCCAGGGAGACCCCTGCAATACCGTGCCAATTCGGCCTCATAAAGGCCATTACCTATAGTAGTAACACATACATGTACAGCGATGTGTGACCTTAAATGACATTTGTTCGTTGCTTTCTACAGAGAATCTACTCGAAGAGTACAAAAGAAACCTGTCCAGGTGGAATGAAGTGAGCACCACGTTCGCACCCCCGAATCTGGTGCTGAATGCGAATGAGCTCTGTCCAGAGAGATTACCCTCAATGAGTGAGTATTAGTGTTGATTGATTTTATTTGCCATTGATGCCTTCAATACAACTTGGAGCTGCTGTCTGTTGCCAGATTTTTATAGTATAGCGATACTGAAAGTAGATAGTTTTACATTCAGTACTTGTTGTCTACCTCCATGTTTCAGATACAGATGATATGTACCTGTATATTATATTCATTCCCTTTTCATTCAATTTCAATACAAGAAATCCTTGTCTTGCAGCCAGGTTTGTAACTGCAAAGACATAAATTATATTTCACATTTAATGTGTAATTTGATTGTACATTGTACTATGTATTGACTAGCAGAATCATTGCCTATTTTGAGCAAGCTATAAAGATATTATCCAGCCACTGTACAGACTTAGAAGATCAATTGCTGCATAATAAATGATGGTGTAGGTATGGATTGTTCAATGCAGAATGACATAAAGGACAGTCGCCCTCTCTTTGTTTGACTTTATAATGTTACCCTGGCGCCATGGATCAAATTTGGGTTAGGATTATACTTGCACATGTTTCTGAGTCATAGTTTGTCTGTAAATACCCTCCACAAAAATGTATTTGTCCAAGAATAAAGACCTAGGTGTCCTAATTATGTTTACCTTCGAAAAAAAAAAAATACATATTGTTTTTGCTATGTTTCTTCCTCTTCTTCTTCTCAAAGCAAATAAAGTCAATGACCTTGACTTCAGACTAGACGTCTGTCACCATGGTAACTAGTGTTGTAGCTGACACCCTTTGGCGTTGGGTTACATTTTGTAGCAGGAGAGCTGGAGTGGCAGCTCACCATATATTATCAATGTGTTTGAGTAACAATTATGAATTAACATAGCAGTAGTTTGTTAGTAATGTTAGGCAAGAGCAATTGTGACGGTAAACATTATGCATTAACCTTACTAGTGTTGCATGACTGTTGTGTTCTTGTGAACTTGACCTAATGTTGTGTCTGTTGTGTTCCAGCGGGTGAGATAGAGGTGAACATGACTGAGGTGAACTTGACCTGATGTGTGCGTTGTGTTCTTGTGAACTTGACCTAATGTTGTGTCTGTTGTGTTCCAGCGGGAGAGATAGAGGTGAACATGACTGAGGTGAACTTGACCTGATGTGTGTGTTGTGTTCTTGTGAACTTGACCTAATGTTGTGTCTGTTGTTTTCCAGCGGGAGAGATAGAGGTGAACATGACTGAGGTGAACTTGACCACAGTGATGAATGAAATTCTCCTGGACGGTCCCATCAAACCAGGGGGGCACTGGGCACCAACAGACTGTAAAGCAAAATACAAGGTGGGCTGGTACACTTGTAGATATTCTGATATTTATGTTTACAGAAGGAAAATGTACCGTTTTTGCTCTATTTCTTCTTCTTGTCCAAACGAATAAAGTCAATGACCCGAACCAGACGTCTGTCACCATGGTAACTGGTGCTGTAGCAGACACCTTGTGGTGTTGGGGGACATTATGTAGCAAGTTGCAGGACAGAGTTGGAGGGGCTGGTCATCACTAGATTTTACATGTACCAAGAGCTGATACAATCGTAAATTGTGCATTATAAGCCTCCAGAAAGCCTGATTCATACTATTCATAGAGCCTGCTATACCCTAAGAAAATGTGTTTGTTTGTTTGTTTGTTTTTATTTGTTTACCCAGGGTGTACATATCGCCACTAAGGCGTTTTTCAATGTGCCCTGCAGGCATACATAAATAAAATATACAAGAAAATAACAGATATAACAAAATGATAAGTCAACTTATAAGTACAAATTAAAGTCAACTTAGTACAAATAAAAGTAAAAGTACTATATAATGCCGCAACTCAGTAAGGTGGTAATAAAACAAACTTGTCAAACCAAGAGCCACAACTCATAGTAATTAAGGCAATAATACAAAAACAAATCAAGGAAATAACAAAGGAATATAACAAAGGAATATAACAAAGGAATTTGCATATCAATGCTGTTTGATAACAAGTTATGATGTGGCAACACACTCCTGGTTGTAAAGGCGCTTAAAGGAAGAAACAGAATCTGCTCTTTTTAACTGAGGTGGGAGTGAGTTCCATAATGTGGCACCAGTACAAGAGAGGGATTTCTTTTTGTGTAGCTCTTGTAACCTAATTAATTTGGCATCTATTTCTCTTAACTCTGTGTCTTTCTTTACTGAGTTCTCTTGTCTGGTTTCAGGTTGCAATCTTAGTCCCTTACCGGAACAGGGAGGAGCACATCCCCATCCTGTATCGCCATCTCATTCCAATGCTGCGCAGACAGAAACTCGAGTTTGGCTTCTACTTCATAGAGCAAGTAAGAACTCACCCACTCACTATCCGGTTTATCGTCTGTTGTTCCCCATCTTCTGAGGGTTAGACGTGCTTGCCCTCCAATACGGAGGCAATGTTTTGTGTAAGTAGTTTCAACAGTTTGGTGAATGATTTAATAGCAAAGCCCTTTATTCACAACCACTTGTTTAACCAAGAGCTGACGTTTCGATGACCATCTGTCATCTTCATCAGGGCAATTATGACTGGTTCATCGGTGAACCTAATTTCAGTGCACAGTGAACTAAACTTCAGTGCACAGTGAACTAAACTTCAGTGCACAGTGAACTAAACTTCAGTGCACAGTGAACTAAACTTCAGTGCACACTGAACCTAACTTCAGTGCACAGTGAACCAAACTTCAGTGCACAGTGAACTAAACTTCAGTGCACAGTGAACCAGTCACAATTGCCCTGATGAAGATGACAGATGGTCATTGAAATGTCTGCTCTTGTTGTACAAGTGGTTCTGAATGAAGAACTTTGCTATTGAGACATTCACGAGATTGCAACTATTCTATTATTTAAGAACAATGTAAGTTGCTATTGAGTTTTCAGTTGAATTTATGTTGTCTTGCATTGACTGCAGGACTTTAAAACCCTAGTCCTGCGGTGCCCAACAATTGTTGGGTTTCACGTACAGTACCATCTATATCGAGCCCTGTATATGTACGATCTGGGGGTATTTCTCGTGCAATGCATCACACTACATAAAAATTCAACAAATGCAAAAGTAACTATGCCACCGCAGGGCAAAAAAAAGTCAAAGGTTTAAGACCTGATTAAGACATCAAATTATATGAAAATATTCTGCAAAAAATGCCAGCAGGATAAGGGTTAAAGCATTACTTTATGCTTTAGTTTCATTGTGTCACCTTTGATAAGAGAGCAAACTAACACTGATCCCTTTACTCCTACCTCCAGGCTGGGACCAACCCCTTCAACAGAGCAATGCTTTTTAACGTCGGCTTCAAGGAGGCCATGAAGCGCTATCCCTGGGACTGTTTCGTCTTCCAAGACGTAGACCACATTCCTGAGAACAATAGAAACTACTATGGCTGTGGACAGATGCCCAGACACTTCGCAGTCAAGCTGGACAAGTACATGTACAGGTAGGGAGAGTTACCTTCGCCAAGAAGGTTATGTTTTCAGTAGCCTTTGTGTGTGTGTGTAGTGTGTGTGTGTGTGTGGTTTAGCATGATAACTCAAGAAGTTTTTGATGGATTGTCATGAAACTTGGTAGGTGGGTAGGTCTTGATAAGACCTAGAAACGGTTAGATTCTGTGCCTCTTGGTGGCTTCCCTAGGTACTGCAGCAGAACTTACGGTTTTGATATCTTAAGACATGCTGGGTTCACGAATTTTGGTTGTTAAATAGCTCTTGGGCTAGGGAAAAACTGACATTAGTTTGGGCCCCCTAGTCTTTCATTGTTAAGCTGGGCCATATGATGGTAAACATAAAATAATGCATTTGCTTTGCAACTGTTAAAGTTTCTATAGTTTTGACTTTACTCTTGTACTGACCGTGTCTGCTTGACCCACCAGACTACCTTATGACGAGTTCTTCGGAGGCGTGAGCGGACTGACCACAGAGCAGTTCAAGAAAATTAACGGCTTCCCCAATGCATTCTGGGGCTGGGGCGGGGAGGACGATGACCTCTGGGCCAGGTGAGATTTAGCCTACAATTCACTGCAATGTCAATATCTTGTGTTTTTAGTCCAGTACAATCAAACCTGCCCAAGGGGACCGTAGAAAAGTGGTTGCTTTGGACAGGTGGCCTCCTTAAAGAGGGTCAACTCAAACATGACTGAGCAGGGCTCGAAATACTGGGTGCATGTGCACCTTGGTGCACCCAAAATTGGAGCTGTGCACCCAATTTTTTTCTGTGGGTGCACCAGTGCACCCAAACATTTTTGTGATATTTTTGTACATATGAAATGTATAATAGTATACAGGATATGCCAAAAAACAGTTACTCAAGCAACTGGATATGATTTTGAAAACGTCAGACGTTTCAGCTAGTATCCACTAGCCTTCGTCAGTGACTGAGAGACCAGAGGGGAAAGCAGGTTTATATACACAACCTGTTGATTGATATGCAAATAAAGTGAAGACAAATTTTTTTTGGAAGTCGAAAAAGGAACAAAAGTCAGACAAGTCAAGACAAGATGATGCAGGAGCCAAGCCATGGCAACATGCTCCCTTTCCTAGACACCAAAACTATTGTAGAGGAAGATGGTAACCTTCGTTTCGAAGTGTACAGGAAACCAACCCACACTGATCAGTACCTGGCCTTTGATTCCTACCACCCTTTGGAACACAAACTAGCAGTGATCAAAACTCTCTTCCATCGTGCAGACAACATTGTCACTTCAGACCAAGCCAAAACAGACGAACATAGACACCTCCGAGGTGCCCTGGCTAAATGTGGCTACCAAAACTGGACTTTCAACAAAGCGCTCAAACCTTCAGATCAGTCTAAGAAAACCCAGAAGTGCAAACCTTTGACCAACAAAAACAAGGCCAACATCACTATTCCGTATGTCCAAGGAGTATCTGAGAAACTCCGACGGATCTTCCAAAACTTCAACATAGCCAATAACTTCAAACCTCACTCAACCCTCAGACAAAGACTGGTACACCCTAAGGACCGACCTCACAAGGGTACCAAGGCGAATGTTATTTACAGACTCAAATGTGAGGAGCCCAATTGTAACAACACCTACATCGGAGAGACAAGTCGACCGCTTAAAGTAAGGTACAAAGAACATTGCCGACCTAGTGCCAACGGCTACTCCTCAGCTATTTTCCACCACCTACAACACAACCAGGGTCACTCTTTCAAACTCGAGTCCACGGATGTCTTAGACCGCGAAACACGCTGGTGGGAACGGGGTGTTAAAGAGGCAATATATGAAAGAATGTACAACCCCACCCTCAACAGGGAAGGGGGGCTACGAGTCGATCTTTCCGGCACTTGGGATTTGGCACTCCCAGCCCCGAGGACAGACAACACTTAAGCTCCTGTCCTGTATAACAGGAGCTTTCAGACTAATTTGCATCATCTTGTCTTGACTTGTCTGACTTTTGTTCCTTTTTCGACTTCCAAAAAAAAATTTGTCTTCACTTTATTTGCATATCAATCAACAGGTTGTGTATATAAACCTGCTTTCCCCTCTGGTCTCTCAGTCACTGACGAAGGCTAGTGGATACTAGCTGAAACGTCTGACGTTTTCAAAATCATATCCAGTTGCTTGAGTAACTGTTTTTTGGCATATCGTATTACCTGGATGTCTAACCTTCATCGACGTAAGTATACAGGATAGTCTTGGCAATGAAGTGTCAGAAATATAGTAAATTCTTGCATTTTGAAGTTCCCATTTCAGATTCTAGGTCAGAAGAGGAGCAGTCAAGATCTGTAATTACGTTTTGTTTCATGTGGTACACCCAGAAAATGTTTTGTGCACCTAATTTTTTAGGTTGGGTGCACCAGTGCGCCTATTCCCAAAAAATGGATTTCGAGCCCTGCTGAGACATATACTTATATATAGTTGTTTTAAGTTGAGGTGTTTTCATGTCAAAAACTGTAAGTTGCAAATGCTGTGTATGCGGTTTTTCGAAAGCCTTTTTTGTTTGCCTACATTTGATGACTCTGTCTGCAGTGTTTCAAATGCTGGCTACGAGGGTTTTGAAAAGCCTTGTTTGATGGTTTTCTAGAGCCTTTTTTGTTAACAGATGTTTGACTCTGTTTGTCCCCAGAGTTGCGAATGCTGGTTACGAGGTGTCCAGACCACCAGGCGATGTAGGGAAGTACAAGTCCATCCCTCATCATCATAGAGGGGAGGCCCAGTTCCTGGGAAGGTGAGTTATGTTTGAACTTCTTAACTTTAAAGAACACTTGTAGTTACATTTGCGAGGGTTGGGTTTAACAGGTCATTTGGTGTAATATAACCAGCTGCTGTTGTGCCATGCTCTGTGCCTGCGAAGCTGAGTGATGTGTTAAGCTGAATGGGCAATTACACTTGCTATACAGAATTTACAGATACAGATTACCTGATGGACCTAATAAAACATGCTGACTGATTTCTTACATCACAGGAGAATGAAAGCGTACTTCTGTGCTTGTTGGCAACCATGCTCAGTAATGGATAAGTTAGGTGAGATTAAGTTTGTACAGAGTTGTGTTCAGCATCTTGTTTCTCCTCCTCTCCCCAGGTGGGGCCTTCTGAAGCAGTCGAAGACGCGGAACTTCTTAGACGGGCTGAACAACATCGTGTACGAGCCCCTCATCACGGTTCACCCGCTGTACGTCAACATCACCGTGGACCTACAACCCATGGAGGTGGACTATCCCGAGGAGAGCTAGCACAGGGGGGAGGGGGGCACTCCGAGATAGAGGTTGTACTACTCCGTAAATAACCCCCTGGGCCCTCTGTGCATCGTCCCCAGGCCTGGTCAGCAAGAAGGGCGCATGACGAAAATTTGATGAAACATTTTTTGATGCCCTTTTGATACCTCACAGATGTAAGAGTGGTTGTATGTGCAAGCCGGTGTTGAAATACTGTGAAATGTTGTTAAGTAAGTTATCTCTCTCTCTGAGTGTAATCGTAGCCAAATGTATGAGTCGACCAAGGCCTTATTAAAGGGGGTTGCACACAGGACCTTGGGAAACCAAAGTGAGTCAGTGTAAAACTAGAAGCAGGCTGCTATAAGTTAAAACTGCAGTAAAATTATATCTGCCAGACACCAAGAAATGCCTGAACACGTCAAGCCAGGCTTGCACCTACAAGGGTAGTCCTACAGTCCGGCCCAGTCCTGGACAACTTTCAAAGGTGGTCCAACCTCGAAACTTCTCCCAATATTCCTGCCATGTTAGGTGTTAAGTGTCCCACAGTATTTTTTACAGCTTGGTTGATATTGCAGGCAGCCCAACTTCAACGGTTGCCAGCCTCACTAAAATTTGACCTGAACAAAATGTGCACTGTACAGAAGTTGTCCACTCAATCAATCAATTCCGCGTTTGTTGTTCCCACATACATGTACATTTGTAGTTTAAAGGTGCAACTGTACGGTGAGAAGATGCAGTTGTCTAGAAGTGAATCCGTTTATTTCACGCTTCTCATCTGGAGGTTGAGAATGATTCAGGTAGTCAGGTACACGTTAGTATATGCCAAACTCAATTTGGTAGTTCAAAGCTGAAGCTTGCTGGGCATCTGAACAAGTCATCCGAAAACAGCAACACGAGGAATAATAAGAAGCAATTATTGGTCTCTAATCAGAGGCAGGGTCTGACTGAAGTGTTTTTGAGGCTTTTTGTACGTCTTTCTAGGAGAGAGTATTCGGAAAATGCAGACCCAAAGTAAAACTTACAACGAGCCTCAAAAACAGGCACAAAACCGTGCAGAGCCCAGCCTGAGTGCCATCCAATTTGCTATAGGCTCCCTATATACTCATTGGCCATAGCAAATCAGTTGGCACCCAGGCTACAAAAGCTGGACACTACTTGGAGATTCGCAATGTTAGGCCAGTTCAGTACTTTTGCGCTTGAGTACTTTCTTTTTTTTTTAAACACTTATTAAGTGTAACCTAATGTTTGTATATTGTTTGATATACATGTATGCGGCTGGGGACGTTTCCTTTAACTGATGCGTTGTTGAAAGTCAAATCAAAGAGTGCGAAAAAACATATGATCTTCTCTGGCAGCTGATGCGATCATGATCAGTTAGGTTAAACGCCGCTTTTTTCGTCAGGTTACGTTACGGGATCAGAGTTGTGTAAATATTCTTTATTCAGATGTGATGGTATACCTATACCTTGTTTACTATTGCGTATATCAGTTAAGTTGATAAGAGGAGTGTGTAAAGAGTACTTGAATGTATTTTTTATTCAGGATATACACGTATGTGCTAGTCCGGATGGCCCTGAATTGTCAAACTCTGAAAACATAAGGTACAGTTGTCAGAATAGATTTGCTGATGAGGAATTTCATCTACAACACAAGTAAAAGCAGTATGGTCCGATTGGCAAAACCTTGCCTGATTGAAATGATCAACCCAATGCAGTTGTTGTACAAAAACACTATCTGGTATACCAGGTGTAGATATGAGGCCATCGGAGTTTGACATTCAGTGTCCAATAGGCATATCACAAATCTTGATGGGCAGACATACTGTATATCTTTTATCATGTATTTTATGTATCTGCCAAAAACTTTTGTCTTTGAAAGAAAGAAATTTTTCTAAGTTGGTATGTTTCAAGCAAAGAGGCCTACTTAATGATTGTGTTACATTTGTGCTTAAAATTGCTTTATACTTGAAACTTTATACTTACAAAAGCGCCATGGCTGAAACTTCAAGCAAAAGGGTGGACAGTGGTGTATCAGGAGAAAATGTATTGTTTGAGATCTGTCTTGGAGTTGTTTTGCAGCCTCAAAGGCTAGTATTAATTTCTGATGGTGCTTTTTTTTTGTGTACAAACTTCCCTGGCCTGTCTTTATAGCTTATCTGTTAGAGTGAAGTTCTGTCTGATGCTTAACTTGTTGCTGATTTTTGTTTATTAACCTGTACCTTAACTTCCAACTCATGTATCATGTCACCAATAATCATTGTTGATCGTAAATTAAACAGAATATTATGGAGCACCACTGTACTTTGTAGGTAGAGCCAAAGAAATTCCTCTTTTTCAACTCCACTCGGTAAATTTTACTACTAGTAACTACAGTGCTTTTTCAAATTTTGTACCTTGACAAACTTAAGCAGGCCGCCATCAGCAAATAGGTAGATACAGTGGTTGGAGACAGGCTTAGTTTGTGTTGTTGCTCGCACTATAATCATGACATGCTTTACTGCACTTGAAAATTTCTTCAAATGCTTTTAAAAAGTTACTACCCCGTGTATTTGTGATGAACTCACTGACAACTGTAACATGATACAGGTATCAAATCATGTAATTAGCGACCAACTTAGACATGTTTAGACTTAATTAATTAGACTGCTTTAGTGGGCCATCCATAGGTCTTGAAGCAGCAATGTTCAAGACAGTTCTTAGATGGTGCTGAGACTAAAACACTTGCATCATAAGCTGCTCTGTGCATGGGGTACTTAATATACATGAATGTGTATGTGGTGAGCTTAAATCATATCTTTAATGGACTGATGTATCCACGTGAGACTTATTTAAGAACTACTGTGGCAAGACAACTTGTTCTTTTAGTTTCTACCATGTAATAGTCTCCACCAGACGAACTATGTTAGTTCAAAAATTGTAGAATCTATGGCCAAATTTGCCAGGGGGGTTTGGCCACTGTAGGGTTGATTTGCATGTGCAGTTTGGGCCAAAGTTACCCATACTGTGGGCTCACTCCCCTGACCAATTACCCTACTTCTGCTGAATTCCACTATCTGTTGCCCTATAAAAAGACCTGGTGGAGGCTAGTCATCTCAAGCTACATGTATATTCTAAAATCTAGCAGCCGAAATGTGTAGATAGGCCAAAATGTTTGTGACGTCTGAGACATGTAGCCAAAGAAGCGTGTTGCCATCTGTGCATGATGATTTATTTTGACTGTAAGTAACAGTTGTTTTGATAACAGGTGGTTAGATGCTATAGACACAATTATGGCAGTGGAAAGTGGTCAACTTGATGAACTTAGAAGTGTATATGCTAGTGCTTTTAATGTGGAGTAATTAGTGGTGTGATGTGAGAGCAGTGTTGGCTAAATACTTGAATTGCTATCAAGAAGCACTTAATATTATTATATGCAGAGGAAGGGGCAAAATTTGCGGATTCTATGACTTTTTTTTGAAATTGGAAACAGGGCATGTACGAAACACCTGTGTCCTGAGCTCCATGCTGAAGTACAGTTCATGTAAAATGATCGAATCTTGATATTTCATGTGTTTAGGGCATGGGACCCAGTTTTCATAACATAACAAATTTTCAACCAACACTACACAATCTTCTATGTGTGCGTCAAAGTCAAACACACACACAATGGATAGCCTCATCAGTTACAGACCCTGCCAAACTTTTTTTCTTTTAACTGTGTATGTTCTGATGTGTACCAAGTTTGACCTAGCCTACCAAGACTACCAACAAATTTGGGCAAGCTAGCCAAATCTGGTAGCCATCAGAAAACTGCCTGGTTAAGAAAAGAAATATTATAAAAAAAACTTCCCGTGGGGTGTGTGACGGAGGCTATGCAATGCTAGCCTCTACCAGGCACTGCGGATCACTGGAAAAAATAGTACAAATTGGGCAAAATAAAGGGATAGTATACCAGAAGAGTTAGAAGATCCAATATGCCCAATATACCCACAGACATTGGATCCTCTCTGGCGAGCAAACTCTGGTATACTATCCCTTTATTTCTACTATTTTTCCAGCAATCCGCGATGCCTGGTAGAGGCTAATGCGATGCCTTTCCTGCAGTAGCAATGCCATGATGAGATTTTTTGTCAGTCCTGGACCAATGACAGAATGACTGTGAGATATCTGGAGTCCCATGTTCTGTGATGCTGCCCCAATGATTCTGCCAACAGAAGCTACAGTAGCTGTGTCTGTGCTTAAATTTAAATGCTCTGTACTGTGGCTGTCGCAGTGTACTTAGCTGTCCTGGTGTACAAGCTTTTTTAATCGCTAACAATAAAAGTAGACATATCAAGAGACCTGAGTGATGTTGTTTTTGTATTAAAGCCATACACGCGTACTGTTTCCACAGCAAATAGGGATACACATCTAATACATAACATCAGGTACAGTTACCAGTATTGAGGTTCTGACCTACGTGTATTACTAATTATTTGAGCATATTTATTATCATATACAATTTGGCATGAATTCATGATAAATGTTACACACGTTTCAAATCATAGAAATATACAACTGTGTACAAAATGTTTCTTCTACCAGAGGTGCAGCGAATTTACTTTGAAAATGATTCCTTGGGGTCACTGTCATACATTGCATTTACAAAATATAATTATAGTTGTGTATACATTGTTACATTATTCATATACACGTATGTACATAGCAGTAATACCGGGAATAGTCATAAAACTGATTTTTCTGGGTCTAAAACAATCTTCCATAAAACTCTCTTCTATCATATCTTTTTAGCAGTCAAAACATGATAACTCAAGTCTCAATTAAAACATCAATCACATTACTTGTTTCTGTTAACTGCACGGTAGCAGATCTAAGTAGAGAAATGTTAGATTCTCAATCTATTGCACAAACTGGACTTTGTTTTTGGTTATTCATAATCTTAAAATGGGAATGGATATTCATTAAAAATTTGAATACACAATTTTATATGATTATTATGGCTTATAAAATTGGATATTTACCACAATGATTTACAGCCCATGTCTTCCTGCGTTCATTGAACAAAAACTACTTAATATGTATATAGCAAATACGCTGGACTAATAGTCATGAGACTATGAGTACTCAAGGAGTTAAAACCTTTTTGGTTCTAAACCCACCTTTCATAAATCTCTCATCAAAACATCACTACCAGTGGATTAGCCCCCTGTTGTAGTTATTACAAAACTGTGTGGCCCAAGGGCTACTGAACCAGAGATGGGCGCTGCCCTATGCACCACGTGGTGGGGAAAGGACTTTAACATTTTTTAAAACTTGATATAAAATGTATCACAATTCCCACACAGTGATCCATACAGCATATAATCCTGTACCTAAAAGACAAAAGCTACAACACTTTATTTGCTTCCATTCCTTTAAAACTGCAAGGTTTCAGTTTTGTTGCCTTTTAACCCAAAATCCTGTTTGCAAAAGGTTTGGTTTCTACCACTCCCACACACATGGGGGTGATATTTTACAAAGGGGTGTAAGGGACTGGTATAAACCAATGAATCGCATTTTGCAAACAGGATTTTAGGTTGAAAGGCATCAAAACTGAAATTACCTTACTTGAAAGCTACAACACTTCCGGCTCCCAGGGGAACGGTTCCTTCTCAGACTTGAGCGTGATGCGCTGCAGACCGGGGCGCAGTTTCAGGATGGCGGCGACCGTGTCCTTTGCCAGTACACAGTACACGTGTAGCTCTCTGAGCCGGGGAGACTTGGTCACCAGCTCCAGCAGCCCCTGGTCCAGCTGTGGGCTGGGGTGGGTGTGTAGCACCAGCACCTCGATAGTCCTGTAGGGAGTGAGTGAATGAATGAGTATTTTATATATAGTGTTGGGACACTGTGTGGCTGGCCGGTGAAGTTGCTGAGACCCTGACCCGTAAGGGTATTGACACTATGCTGTGCTTAAGAAACACAGGACAGAGGCAAATGGCAAACTACCATCAAGCCGCAGCATCAGTGTGCGAGCATGTCTAACCCTCAGAACATGGGGAACAACACACAAATCAGACAGAGAGAGAGAGAGAGAGAGAGTGTGTCTTGCGACTTTAATTTCTTTGTCGCCCAGCCCAAATCACCAGAAGTCATCATCATCATCATCCTCCGAAGAGGTGGAGCATACAAAGTTTGATCTCCAGAACCGCATGATCTCCAGAAGTCATAAAGTAACTAAAGTCAACTCAAAGCACTGTGCCACATAAAGTCAACTCAAAAGTACATTAAATGAACTGAAAAGTACGTACATGTAGTAGTGTTCGCAGCAGAAGCGGACCAGGTACAGCAGGGGGTGCCAGTTCTCCACGCGCAGCACCGACACCGGGATCTCCGGCTTCAGCAGCACAGGGATCCGCGACGTCGGGCAGTAGTCACCGAAGATCAGCGACACGCGCAGCGCCCGGTTGTGCTCCGTCAGCGCCGTCCAAAACTCCGACTCCCACACCTTTGCGAAGCCCATCTTGTCGTCCTTTTGGCAACACACAGAAAGATGCTCAAGAGGAGTCCTGTCTTTGTCTGCTAGAGCTGTCAGTACCTCCTCAGACAGGCTGTAGTAGTGGACTCTCAGGTCCACAAGCTTGGTACAGGTGGTGATGATCTTCAAAAGGCAGTCTGACGTCACCTTACAGACCAGGGAAGCGTTCTGGATGTTGAGGAACCTCAGGTTTGGATTATTCTCAGCGAGTGGGAGGAAGAGTTTGTCTGAGTACGCGATGGACAGCTTCCCTAGATCCACATGTTCTAGAGTAGAGATGACGTTACACTGGGTGGGAGGGGGGCCGAAGAGATCCTCTATAGCTTCATGCATCTCCTGGCCGGCATAGAAGTAGGGGTTCATCCCAGAGAAGATGACGATGAAGCGTTTCAGCCGCCGTTCCGGAAGCCGCGCCAGCCCGTTGATGAAGTCGCAGGTGATCCTCCTGTTGACCACGTTCTCCTGGTTACAGTCGATGTGGACCGTCCGGAAGTGCATCCCGTACCGTTTGAGACACCTGCAACGTATATAACAGTCATAGCTTTTGTGATTATGGTAATTTGTAGGTGACCATTTGGAAAGAGATGTTTGCATGTATATTCAGCAGTGCAATAGATTTGGAACCAAGAGGTCCTGGGTTCGATTCCTGACATGCCACTAATCTTGTACCCTTGGGAAAGGCACTTTACATGACTTTCCCCACTAACTCATGTCTGTCAAGTACTCGTTTCTATGTACAGCACTCAACACCAGCGGAAGCTGCCCACATGTATTGCAGTGCACTGTTGTAATTTGCAATTTCAATAAATCAAATCAAATCAAACCAAATATTTCGCTTAGGTGAAAATGAGTATGCCAGAATGATCATTGTCATGATCGTGGGAAAACCAAGCAAACCATATTACCCACCCGAGCCAGCGCGTGTCCTTCTCGGAGTGGAAGGTGACCCTGACGTGTCGCCAGAGCAGCGGGGAGTTGAAGGCGCGGTTCCAGGCGCGGCACACGGCGCCGGCGGGAGGGCGATGGTGGGCAGGCAGGTACGACAGGATGTGGATCACGATGTGGTCTGTCAGGTTCTCCCACGACTGCTCCTCCATGTTAATTGATTACCCTTAATGACCTGGATGTACAAATAATAGGGGGGAAATGAATATCTTATTTTATTCAGTTCTGGACAAAGTCCCATGCGGGACATAACGTCCAGTAGGGTGCTCGACTTAAATAGTGCAGCCGGTGGAATAGGAGTCTGAATTGTTGATGTTATCTATATTCTTTTTATCAACATCATGTTTGACAATTCCACATGGTATACAAAAGGGCACTGTGGTTTGTTGGAGTTAACTGGAGTTCAAAGTCTCCTTTAGCTGTAGTACTTACATGTATGCTAAGTGACAGCTAGTCTTCCAGGAGAGTACTTGTAACATAAATAAAATTCCAAAATTACATGGGGTGTAGTTTTATATGGTCATAAAAACATAAAATAGACATTACAACTTACTTTCAACTATGGAATTAATTCGTTCAGGTGTTAAGGTCAGGTACGTAAATAGGTAACACTGGATATACAAATAAACTTGAATGGGACTATTCATCATAAATTAAATTTATAAGGGCGACCTCTGGGCCAACCTGTCAACACAACAAGTTGTTGCATACAACGATCAAATTATAAAGTCCAGTAACAAGTTGGAGGGAAAATATCCTTACCGCGTAACGTTCACAAGCAGTCCCACCTTCTTCGCCCTTTGCCTAAGACTGTAAAGTATTTACCGTTATGTCATCGGTCTAAAGTACACTATGACGGCACAGACTCTTGTAGTAAAGAAGGCGGAAGGGGGAGGGGGGCATGATGTCATAGATCTGGTATTTCGCGAAACGTTATATGAGACCGTAACTGGTTCAAGACATTCTGTGGATAGACAAGTGCTTTGAGTTGAAAATGGCGATTGACAAATATCTCACGATCGGGCAAGATCGAATTTGTTTTATAGGGGAAAACGCTGAGCTGTCAAGTTGGAGATCGGGAAGACAGTTTGGTGGAAGTGCCACCCCTGTAGAGCAGTGGAATCTTCCAAATACGTCATCGTTGCTCTCGAACCCAGTAAAATGTGTGCTTTTTAGGGGTAAAGAGCTCACTATTTCAAGTTAGACATTCGAAATATAATCTGTATACACTAGTTTAGTCTATGCATGTATGTTAGTTCATGGAAATATTTGCGTAGACCTGACATAAAGGTTAGACAGCCAATTATGTCATTTTAGCTCTGGGAACGAGACCGGTAGGTAGTCCCAAAATGGCGGAATCTTTGAAAAACGAAGAACTGGAGAAGACCTTTCGCCGATCAGTGCATGTTGCCTGTTTTATTATGACCGTGCTAAGGGTTATAACTGGATAGTGTGGTCACTAGCAAACATGGGATCCAACAAGGACGATATTGACCTCACACCACTGCTGAATAAGCTCGGTAAGTGACGAAAATTACGTTGTTACCCTCCATGAAAATGGGGGTACTGTTTTTACTCCGTTTCATGTTTGGTCTGATATCTGAAGATCGGTGAGAAGGAACTGTACGATATTTGGCAGATTGATGGATGGGGCCTTGGAGATTGTGTAGGTTGACTTTGAGCCCCTGGTGATTGACCTTGGTACTGCAGTTTAATTTTTTTATTCTGTTGTTTGCGCGTTATGGACTGTTTGTGCGATATTAAGGTAGCATGTAGTTGTTATTACCACGGTTTAGTGGTTTAAATTTGGGCTTCCTAGCTGTTTGCGTTTGATATTTACAATATGTTTAAAGTTGGTCTTTTTGTGTTGAATGTTTGGAAAATCTGGTGGATGGTTTGGTATAATTTTTGGTATGTGGGTAGTTGTTGAGTCTCTTTGCGTTTTAGAGTGCATTAGCAGGTTATCGTATATTTTTATTGCTTAATTTAAAAGGATTTTCATTTTTTCACCCCTACTTCATAATAGGATGGTCTGTTTGACCCAAAAGTTGGGACAGATCTAGAGTGTTTTTGTTTATATACCTCCAGCTGGCAGGCCAGGCTGAGGCAGCCCAATCTATTTTTACCCCTAGACAGAGACTGAAGGAAATATAGTCCCGTTGAATGGGGTGCTTGAGAGGTCATTGACCTCACCTCTTCACTATGGTTGGTTGGCTGGTTTTATTATAGGTCTGTTAGTGCTGTTAATGATATTCATGGCCATATAACGTCAAATTACATTTAAACCCATCTGCCTTCTTCTAACCATTCTTCATCTTCATCTGAACATACCTTCCATATACAATGAATACAGGTGATAACATAAATAAAACCTTACAACACCAACCTCCTCCATGGAGGGAAGATGTCCCTGACTTCTCCTTGTTTCTGTATGTTAGCCCCCTCCCCCTTATGTTCTATGCGTGTCTAATTTCCCCGTACTTGCGTTGGTTCAGGACTTTCTTTTGATTTCTACAAAATGATAGAACATTCAAGCTAACAAAGAAACAAAGATTTGTCACAATTCCAGTAAAATGAAATCATTATTGGATACTGTCCCAAAATTGGATACTTGATACTTTATTAGGATATCCATTTAGTCGCACAAATTTTTGTGCGACTAATCTTCCTGGATTCCAAGAACATAAGACGAAACAATTCAATCAATCAAGATTCAAGGACAGTTCAAGAACTTCAACTTTGATTTGCATGCTGCTGCTACTGCTACTGACTACTGATGATGACAATGAATAAACTTGGTTCAAAGTCAAACAAGTACTAAGTAAACTGATTCCACAGGCTGGTGTGTGTGTGTGTGTGTGGCAGACCTGGTGTCTGATTGATTGATTGATTGATTGATTGATTGATTGATTGATTGATTGATCCCCAGGCCATGATCTGGAGGAGATTCGTGTGCGAGCGCTGCTGAACATCCTGAGTAAGCTGGAGCACGGGCTGGTGTGTGAGGCGGACCTGGTGTCTGTGATTGATTGATTGATTGATTGATTGATTGATTGATCCCCAGGCCATGATCTGGAGGAGATCCGTGTGCGAGCGCTGCTGAACATCCTGAGTAAGCTGGAGCACGGGCTGGTGTGTGAGGCAGACCTGGTGTCTGTGATTGATTGATTGATTGATTGATTGATTGATTGATTGATTGATTGATTGATTGATTGATTGATTGATTGATTGATTGATCCCCAGGCCATGATCTGGAGGAGATCCGTGTGCGAGCGCTGCTTAACATCCTGAGTAAGCTGGAGCACGGGCTGGTGTGTGAGGCAGACCTTGTGCAGCAGCGCCCCCTACATGCCCGTCTGCTGGAGTGGTTCAACTTCAGGTCCTGCCCTCTGCAGGAGGAGGTGCTGAGGCTGCTGCACAGACTGGCACAGGTCAGGATGGCAAACTGCAGTCTTCTAATCATTTTAACAAAATATGTGGTTCAAAAGTATAAATGTCAATGTACACTGGTCAATCTTTTAAAAATTAAGGCTGCTGCAGGTTAGGATGACAAACTGGAATTGATTTGATTTGATTTGATTTATTGAAGTTGCAACAGTGCAATACATGCGGAAGAGAGGCAGCTGTTGCTGGTGTTGTGTCCCACACATAGAAACGAATACTGGACAGACAATACTCATTTTCACTTGAGTCTAGTGGGGAAAGTCGTGTAAAGTGCCTTTTCCAAGGGCACAAGATCGGTGGCATGTCAGGACTCGAATCCGGGACCTCTAAGACTTGATTCCGAGTTGCGCACGCTGCCCTTCATGTACAAGGGGTATTGTATGTTGTCGGTGTCTGCAGGTATCAGAATGCTGTACATAGCAGTATGAGGTAGAATGGGTCAGTACTAAATGGGTCAGTACTACCAACACTGCTGCCCTGAGGAAGGTAGCAGGACTAGCCAAACTTTCCATTGTCATTGGTTGTATACACAGAACCATTCAACCTTGGCTTTGATACCCATTGTCCAATGTCTTTTCCCAGCATGCCTCAGCAGTGGAAATCCTGGTCTCGCTCGGCGCGGTTCCGTTCCTGTCCAACCTGCGGAAGGACGTTCCCGCGGAGCTTCAGCCAATCACGGACCAGATCCTGAACCAGCTGATGATGCTGCCCCGCCCCGGGCCAGAGGAACACACCAGGGAGTGCATCTACCAGCACAGGGCTGTCAAATTTACTTCACCACTTTTAACAGGTAATTAGTATCAGTGGCAAGGTGGTCTTGTGGTTAGGGTTAGTGACTCAGAATCTGAATGTTCTTGGTTCGAATCCCTTATTTCCTTGACTGAACTGAAAATCAGTACCTAGCTTTGGCTAGGGACGTAAAGCCTGAGAGGTCCCATCTTTAAGTAGAGCCACACCACAAGCACATTAAAGATCCCACCGCACTTACATCCAAAAGAGTAGGAGTGAGGCAGATCAAATCTTACCATCCGGTCTCTGGGTTTATGTCTTGAAAAGCAAATATAAAGATGATAGCCACCTGTTATGTCAGTCCTTCCACTGTTGTCTTTTTCAATCATATGTCTCTGTATGATCTTACAGAATCCACTATACCACCCATGCAAGAAGACACACAGCCCAAACAGTTGATGACTGAAGCGTCAGGCTCCCTGATGAGTCAGCAACACAGCAGCCTGACCAGCCAGACAGGTTCAAGTCTCAATTCTTTCTTAACATACCAAACAAGGCAAACATAACAGACAAACATGGCTTACAATGTTGCCTGAATGGCATTGATACTTACATTGTACATGTATACAAAATGTCAAATATCATATATTTACAAAAACTATAAAAACACCCGTAAATAATTTAATCAGGTTGGAAGATACTTAGGGTATAGAATTTTCTTCTTACACAACCATAGAGTTTCTCACCTGCTTACGTTTCGATGTCTATCAGACACCTTCCTACATTGGCGTTAAATAGCGGCGAGTTGCAGAACTCCAGTCAGAAGCTCTGAGGAAGGTGTCTGATAGACATCGAAACGTAAGCAGGTGAGAAACTCTATGGTTGTGTAAGAAGAAAATTCTATACCCTAACTATAAAAACAGTACAGTAACAGTTACTGGACAACCCAGATATTTACAAGCTCCGTTATGTTGTGCCTCAGATAGTGAAGTCTGCGAGAAGCTTTTTGGACCATAGAGAGATGACTTGTTCCTGGAGAGTGAGGTTCTTGTCAAGGATGAAGCCAAGATCTTTTTCAGAGTCGACCCACGGTACACATACTCCCCCGAGGGTTAGCCTTGGTGGGCTGGGAACAGATCTGCAGAGGCAAATCTGTAACAGTTGATTTTTCTTCCAGTTTCAGTTTATTGCGATACCCTTTAGCCCGTTAGAGCTAATCTTCCAGGGCTCATCACACATTATTACACATTACACACACAGTACAAATATACACATATAACTACAAATTTACATACATGAGGTCACAGGTCAGACAAGGTACTAATTATAGCTAAAATCATTAAACGAGCATATTATCGGCTGAGTATAAAACTAATATTACCATTACTAAAAAATTTAGAAGCAGGTTCCCACGGTCCGCTGCCCTACATGGAGCCCAGAGTCGGGTACTTCCGCAGAGACAGCGGCAGCACGGCCAGCCTCATGGCAAACTACCAGCAGGAGCAGCAGGATCAGGGGCCGCTGCCCTCACCAACATGTCTGAAGTTCTCCACCTTCCCATGGCTGTCTCTCACTCCTACGGACAGGCATGTGTTAGCTGCTACCAACAGGTAAGTCATTTGTAAATGGATATTAAAAATTACAGGTTAGTGTAGCCTGTAGGCAAACTTAGAGCTGTACAGGTGTTTCTAAACCTGACATGTACCGGTCCATGTACTGGGTATATGCAGATTAGTGCAGGTAAAACTAGAGCTGTGCAGATATTTCTGATGTCTACCTGCACCTAACCTGCACTGGTCCATGTACTGGGTATATGCAGGTTAGTGCAGGTAAAATTGGAGCTGTGTAGGTATTTCTGATGTCTACCTGTACCTAACCTGCACTGGGCCATGTACTGGGTATATACAGGTTAGTGCAGGTAAAATTGGAGCTGTGCAGGTGTTTCTGATGTCTACCTGCACCTAACCTTCACTGGTCCATGTACTGGGTATATACAGGTTAGTGTCTACCTGCACTCGTCCACTGGTTTTGAAGTGCATTTTAAAATAGAAGGTTTCAACAGTAACAAGAGAAGCTTGAAACATTTTTTTCTCCGTACCTCAGGTCCCTGAACAGTGGGAACCCCCAGCTTGTGACCAGCTCCTGTGAGTTCCTCAGTAACGTGGTGTTCTACGACTTCCCAGCAGAAACCTTCCTACAGAGACCGGCCATAGTCAAGGTAGAACTTCCCATTTTTTTTAGCACAGTCCATGCTTTGTGGCTATACAAAATAAAGACTTTGACTTTGACTATATTGGGATCCACACTTAGCTTACAAAGCAAGGAACAGTTGGATAAATTCCCTGAATACTTACTTTCTGCAACGGTATAATCCACTGCTCACAGAGTCATGTGTGTTATCTGCATAACATGCTATCACAGACCGCGTCTGTGATAGCATGTTATTCATTCATAAGTATGTTGCTCATTCCTTGGCAAAGAAAGGCTGATGTTTTCCAGTGGAAAATTTGGGTAAGGCCAGTTTCTTGTGTTGGAAGTTACAGTTTGTTTAAACTTGCTTATGAAAACTTATTATTATAATCCTTGTCTGCCTGCACAGACACTGGTGTCCTTACTGAAGGTACCAGCTGATGGAGGTCACGACCCTTCCCAGGGTGCAGTTATGTGCCTGCGGAACCTGTGTGTCCATCTGCAGGCCAGACTGGCCTTCTACCAGGACCCTGCACTCTACTGTCCAAAACAAGGTAAACCAATTAAATCTCATCCTTTTCATTTTGCCTCTGATGTCTTTCCTCTCAAGCAACATCAATACAGCTAAGAACAGCAAAGAATGGAGCATTTTCTTCACCTTTATTTCTATGTTCTAGGTACCTTGTCCTTTTAATTTTCTCTTCAATGCATTTCCTCATAACCGATATCAATACAGTTAAGCTCTGAAGACAAACGCTGGGACACTCTACTGTCTGAGACAAGGTGCCTCAAATCGTCTCCTTTTAACTTTCTCTCTGATGTCTTTCCTCCTCAAAAGTGGCCAAGGTGGCTTGTGGTTGGAGATGATGACTACCATTTACTCAAGAAAGGCACTTTTCACCAGCACATTGGCAGATTATGAACTAAAACTGGATCGCTGGAACACTTTCCTGTCCATTTTTCCAGACGACGTGTCCCAGGCCAGTTCCACAGTGACCACAGAGATGAGCAGTCCGACTCCCCAGTCTGACTCACCGCTGTCTGAACAAACAAACAAACAAACAAACAAACAAACTTTATTTCCTGTCCATTTTACAGATGACCTGTCCCAGGCCAGTTCCACAGTAGCCACAGAGATGAGCAGTCCGACTCCCCAGTCTGACTCTCCGCTGTCTGCAAACAAACAAACAAACAAACAAACAAACAAACTTTATTTCCTGTCCTGTATTCCAGATGACGTGTCCCAGGCCAGTTCCACAGTGACCACAGAGATGAGCAGTCCGACGCCCCAGTCTGACTCTCCGCTGTCTGAACAAACAAAGAAACAAACAAACTTATGCTTTATTTCCTGTCCTGTATTCCAGACGACCTGTCCCAGGCCAGTTCCACAGTGACCACAGAGCTGAGCAGTCCGACTCCCCAGTCTGACTCTCCGCTGTCTGAACAAACAAACAAACAAACAAACTTTATTTCCTGTCCATTTTACAGATGACCTGTCCCAGGCCAGTTCCACAGTAGCCACAGAGATGAGCAGTCCGACTCCCCAGTCTGACTCACCGCTGTCTGAACAAACAAACAAACAAACAAACAAACAAACTTTATTTCCTGTCCATTTTTCCAGATGACGTGTCCCAGGCCAGTTCCACGGTGACCACAGAGATGAGCAGTCCGACTCCCCAGTCTGACTCTCCGCTGTCTGAACAAACAAACAAACAAACAAACTTGTGCTTTATTTCCTGTCCATTTTCCAGACGACCTGTCCCAGGCCAGTTCCACAGTGACCACAGAGATGAGCAGTCCGACTCCCCAGTCTGACTCTCCGCTGTCTGAACAAACAAACAAACAAACTTTATTTCCTGTCCCTTTTCCAGATGACCTGTCCCAGGCCAGTTCCACGGTGACCACAGAGATGAGCAGTCCAACTCCCCAGTCTGAGTCACCGCTGTCTGAACAAACAAACAAACAAACAAACTTTATTTCCTGTCCCTTTTCCAGATGACCTGTCCCAGGCCAGTTCCACAGTGACCACAGAGATGAGCAGTCCGACGCCCCAGTCTGACTCACCGCTGTCTGAACAAACAAACAAACAAACAAACAAACTTTATTTCCTGTCCTGTATTCCAGACGACCTGTCCCAGGCCAGTTCCACAGTGACCACAGAGATGAGCAGTCCGACGCCCCAGTCTGACTCTGTGCTGTCTGGTCTGGAGGAGACGCCTGACAGGCCCCGGGGAGATGGCAGGGACAGGAACACGCCCTCTTCCACGTAAGGATATGCTGTGTTTGTTTGTTTGTTTTGGTTTGTTTGCGTAATTAGTAAGCTGCTGCATGTTTAATGTAACACTCGGCGCTGTCTGGTCTGGAGGAGACGCCTGACAGGCCCCGGGGAGATGGCAGGGACAGGAACACGCCCTCTTCCACGTAAGGATGTCTTGACGTCATACCTTTAGCTATTCAAAGGCAGTATTAAAACTCTACTACTGATAAATTACTATGAGATTATTATAATTACCTCTGGACATTTCCAGTGACAACCGTCATTCTTTAGTGTCACTAATTAACTTAGAGTAACTTTTTTTGTCTTCTACAAACAAATAAGGTCAATGATTGATATAATGGACCAGACAGCTGTCACCATGGTAACTGGTACAGTAGCAGACACCCTGTGGTGTTGGATTACATTATGTTGCAAGGGGCCGGTCACCATATATATATGAAATTGTTCTAGTAACAATAAACAGAGCAGTAGTTTGTTAGGCTAAACCAATTGTGAAGGTAAACATTGTGCTTTTTGTGCACTTTGCAAATGTTACGTTTCTAGTTAACTTCAAATTTGTTTTTCCACTGTTCTCAGATCCTCCACGTCCCCCTCGATCACGGCCAGCAGCGTGAGATCAGCCGTGAGTGATCCCATGGAGGATCTGGATCCCAATCTTGTTATTAACCAGTTTTTTCGCTGTTATCAGATCCTCCACGTCCCGTTCGATCACGGGGAGCAGCGTGAGATCTGCCGTGAGTGATCCCATGGAGGATCTGGATCGCGATCTTGTTATTAACATGTTTTTCCGCTGTTCTTAGATCCTCCACGTCCTGCTCGATCACGGGGAGCAGCGTGAGATCTGCCGTGAGTGATCCCATGGAGGATCTGGATCACGATCTTGTTATTAACTTGTTTTTCTGCTGTTCTCAGATCCTCCACGTCCCGCTCGATCACGGCGAGCAGCGTGAGATCCGGCGCGAGTGATCCCATGGAGGATCTGGATCCTGAGGACATGCTGGCCCTGCAGTTCAGCCAGCTCAGCCTGCCACAGTTCTGCTCCAACCTGCTGGCCAATGGGGTTTGTTTATTCTATCATTAAAGTTCATCTGTGTTGGTAGTTAGTTGTTTAAAGTTAAAACTTTTGATCCAACACAACTTAGGGGCACTTTAGACTGACGACGGTTCGATAGTCGTACGAATGTTTATCGTCAAGATGTTGCCGGCGACGGTATTTTACCACCGTCTAAACACGATCAAAATAGTCGCACGACGGTAATCCTCGAATCGTCATCACTACCACCTCGGACCCTATCGTGCGATCCTTCAGCGGGGGGTCCGAGGAGGATTTTCCACCGTCTAAAGTGAACCGTCGCCGGCGAAGGAAGTGGGAGGTCATTGGCCTTATGCAAATAAGCCTGCAAGCGTTATTTCATGTCCAAACACATCGCCTGTATCATTAAATGTCGTCAAACCAAAGACTTTATATCGTCATACGTGTCTAGTACAATCCCCTGCCACCAATCGCTACTTCTCTGATACAAACCGATCCGCCGATCCACATTTCCCGGCCAATGTAGCCAGGCCGACGGCAGCACCGAACGCCGGGTTCAAACCCGGAGTATTGCCCCGCTCGGTACATGTGCCATATACCCCTTCTTTGCTGGGCACAAACTCGGTGTCTCATCAACAGGACAACGAGTTAAAAGCAGAATAAAAACAATCTGCTGCAGCATGCCGAAAAAGGGGGTTCTCTCGCCATTTTGAATTGGCGCGCGGCGTGCCATCTTGCGCTGCGGGTGTCCGACACACTTTCTGGTCATGTGTCTAAAGCCAGCCGTCGCCCACAACGTTTGTCGTGCGATCGTATACCGTTGTCAGTCTAAAGTCGGCCAAAGTTCTATTACCTAGACCAGTCACTCAGGTCTTCCTCAGTAGACTGACCCAGTGAGGCTTGCCATGTGGCTTCTTTGAAGTGTGACCTCAACACTGGGTCAAAGGCGGCCGACATCGTCTACCAGATACCTTTGACCCAGTGTTGATGTCACACTTCAAAGAAGCCACGTGACAAACCTCACTGCGTCAGTCTACTGAGGAAGACCAGAGTAACCGGTCGAAAGCTCTAGGTGAGAGGGTATGTTTATTATTTATTGGCAGTTTGCACTTAAAAACACATCACATTCCTTGTACATAACTAATGACATAATGTCATTTTTTATGTTATGTCAAAATAAATAAATACCAAATGATACCACAGGTGGCCCTGCTGAAGTCGCATGACCCTGCAGCTGTGACGCAGGTGCTGGAGCTGCTGCAGCAGGCTGCAGGGCTGATGGGAGAGGCGCTGACACAGCAGGTGTGGGAGGACCAGAGCACCGTCGCAGCAGAACTGGTCAGGATAACCTGCTTTTACAATTTCCACTAGATGGCAATCACTGATCAACTGATAAGAAACCAAACATGCATATTTTTTTATTAAGTATTAAACACTTAATATTAACAGTGAGAGATCAAGTAGAAAACAAGGCTGCAGAACTAGTCAGAAAAACTTCCATCAGAAATCATTCCCCCTTTTCCAAAAGATAGCCTGGGTGCCAGACTGTTTCCATTGCCTACACAGACCAGTTCCTTGGCTCCAGGGCCAACATGCCCCCAAGAAAATTATTACCACAGCCCCCTTCAGTTAGCACCCTGGCTAACTCTGGGTCTAGTGTGCTATTGCTATGGCATTCCAGGCTATCCAAAAGTCTGAGTGATTGTTGAGCAAATAAAATTGGATTTGTATTATACGTTCTTTGTAAAATTCAATTGGATAATCTTGTCAAATTGTGTTATCCAGTTGTGATGATGTTCATTCACACTGTCATGTCTGAATTATTTTTTTTAAGATAGTGACCTTTTGGTGCTTTGGACAGAAATTATTTTGCATCTATTTCATGCACTCATTTAATACTGAACACGTCAGAGGTCTGTTTAACAACACCCTTTGCCACATCCAGGTAGAAGAGTTGATAGAAGCCCTGGACAACACTGGTGAGGTGTTACACTTCCACAACATGCAGAGCAGAGGAGCCAGGACACCAGAGAACGAGGTTACCCACCACAGGATGGTGTACATGGCACTGGCTATCCTCAGTACTCACCTACTGCAGGCTTTTGTGCCACTGGAGAAGGTTAGCATTGACCCTTACCTAAAGTAGTATTAGTACATGTAGTAGCATATAGTAGTAGTAGAGCAGAAGAGTGACAGGAACAGGGCAGATTTTGTAACTGCAGATTTACAGGAAGGTCCACGTGCACAGGTGGTCCCAACTTAGGGCTTGTCACAAGAAGTTAATGTGTATGCACTTCTTTTCTCTCAGCCTGTTTCTGTCCCAGGATCATTGTAGTATGTCAGTCCACCTGTTTGGTTGTGCAAATAAATTCACAAGATCTCTACATCCGAGAGGTTTGTAATCCCCAGTTTCTTCTTTGTTTTTTCCTACCTCCCTGTCCAGGCTGCCGACATCCTGCCAGAAAGCCTGTCCTCAGCGCTGGCCCTGCTGACCATGGACCCAGTCTTCCAGCTGACCCACCCCGCCGCACACGAGGTCACGGTCGCGTACGTGGAACAGACCAGCGAAGACGACTACCGACTGTACGGCCACGCCCAGCACATCTGTACATCCATGGACTGCAGCGTGCAGTTTGTCAAGGAGCAGGGATTTGAAGTAACTGCTTGTTCCTTTGTCAATTTGTTTGTTGAACCCTCTGTCAGAAATCTTTCAGTCCTCCATGTCAAACTTGCTTGTTGTTTTATCCAATCATTTTTTTGGCTACAGTTACAATGTAGATTATATTGGCTAAAATTTGTGTTGTATCTTTTGTGACAGTTATGATAATGTAAGTATGGTAAAGGTTTGTAAGAATTTGAACATACGTGTTTGCATTGATCTTAAGTTAATGGTAATTGTTGCTAGTCTTGCTAGTCAATGCGCTCTTGTGGAAAACTGAACTTACTGTTCATGCCTTTTCCCAGGGTGGCCGCTCCCTGCAGGACATGGTAGAGCTGGCAGAGGGAGCTTTAAGCAGTCTGTCGTACCACCAACACTTGGCCCTGGTCTCACAGTTCGTCCGCCTTTGTTCAGACATGTAGGTATTTTTGTATTTTTTCATTGGCAGTTGCTTTGCTACCTTCATCAGGGCAACTTGGTAGTAACCTAACTTTGGTTGGGGAGGTAAATGGCAGTGGAAGAAGAGAGATTGGCTCCACCTTAAAACATGTGCCCGTAACACACAATATATGGATCAACAATCCACAGCTACTATACAGCTTGAAACAGGCTATGGGACTACCTTTACCTTTTTATCAAAAAAAACTATGTTGAGTAGAAAGTTACCCAACAAGTTGACGAACACCATTATACAGAATAGAAATGCCAATTATTGCCAATACAATGTTAAATGATTCTACCGGTTTTCATTAGATGTAAGCCGGTCCATGCCAACCCCCAACTGGTCCAAGACTGCACCAGAGTCCTGCTGAAGTTTCTGTCCCATCCAGATGAGAAAGTGCGACACACGGTCTACCAGACATGTCTCAACACTGCCAAGGTATGGTCAACACTTATCTCTACAATTTGTTACATCCAATCATACAAAAAGGTTTTGTTTTCTGTCTGTTTATTTGCTTGTGACTGTGTCCATGGTGATTTGAATACATTTTGAACCAAGTTTTAACTTTAATTCCAACACAAGAATGCACAATGCACTCAGCCAAATTCTCAACTGTACAACTCCAGTCTTTATCAAGGAATGAGCGATCTACCGCTTCTGTGACATCACGTTGGCACACCTGACTCGGTGAGCAGTGGATCATAGGTTGTAGAAAGTCGGTAGTGTTGTTAAGGGATAGATGAAATACCCTGATGTAGATGGCCTCTTTAATAGCTTAATTTCCTGTTTCCTTTTGTACTACTTGTTGACAGGAAGTCCTGGGGATCAGTCGTGCTGCTGAGACAGCCTCGCTGTCCTGTCGCTCGGTGCTGTTCCTGCTCGACCCACACGTGCTGTACCAGCTCTGCTGCTTCGGACTCGCAGAAAACAAAACTAAGGTACACATGCATCTACGGTATATCTGTTAGAACTGCCCAGCAGCGTAACACGCCAGCTTCTCATCAAAGGACTAGTTACATGTACATCTTACCAGGTCTGCTGCTTCAGACTGGCTGAAAACAAAAGTAAAGTAAGGTTAGAATGATCCTTCAACCATATTCTGGTTCTGGTTGGTTACCATTTAGTAAAGCACACAGGAAGTGGTAATGCAGTTATTACCAGTTCCTCAGGTGTTGGGAGACCTCTTCCCTGAACAAAAGTTCCTTGGGAATTTGCATTCATTATCATGTCAGTGTTTTGAGGGTTTGATTGTATTGACCTGTAAGCTTGCCTTTTGACTAAGTGTTGTCAGAAGTATTGTATAACCTTACATCTGCCCTCTGCACTTGTTCCCAGGTATCTGAGATGGCAGCAGAGCTGCTGTTGTACCTTCTTCAGGGCAGACTGATCATGACCACTGCTGTCTGGAACAAGCTCATGGACGCCCTCTTACCTGTGCTGCCAGTACTGCAGGTAATGAGAATGCACCTAAGTCAGCAAGTGTACATGGCATGTAGATGATATTGATCTGTAAGTAAGCGCAACATTGCTTGGTACAACATGGCTGGAAGAAAGGATATTAAAGTTGAAGGAATAAAAGAAACAAAAATTTGTGGTCTAAAAGTTAAAGGACCATTATCATTAGTGGTTGAAGTGTGGTTCTTCCCAAAAGACTGGACCTCCGGCCTCTATCTGGCTCAACTCCTATCCAACAGATGACCTAAACCAAAGCTACTGGTTCTCATTTTCACCTGAGTCGATTCAGGAAATAGGTGTTAAGTTCCTTTCCCAAGGGCACAACACTGCATGGGGTCTGCTAGGGATTCGAACCCAGAACCTTTAGATTCTAAGTGAAGAATCCTAACCACATGTACTACCATGTTTCTCAGGGCTATGCCAGTGTGGAGACCAAACTTGGCCGGTGTGTAGTCGGACTGTTCCACCCGTCCTCAGAGGGGGAGGCAGGGTGTCTGCCCAAACTGGAGCGGTTAAGGGGAGGGCTGAGGCTGCTTCTGTCCAGAGAGGCTAGGTAGGCAGCAGGTGTCTGTGGTAAACACACAATACCTTTTCGTTGAACAGTTTTTCTGCTTTTTTCCTCTTTTTTTTGACGGAGTAGTGTAGAAGGGATTCTGAAACAGCTGCTTTTCTGTTACCTTCCTTAATGGGTTCTATGACTGTTTTTTATACTGTCTTTTATAATATGCATTTCCCTAATATAGAATATCACTTCTATTTGTACTCGCACTGAGCCCCCCCTCCCAAAAAAAGCATTAAAAAAAGCCCCAGTTGTAGAGCCTGATAATAGTTGCTGCATGAATCTTTTTTAAGATGCATTTAGTTGCTCCCAGTTCATCTGCCTTTATGGTAGCCAAATTTTTAAACTAGAAGCATTTCTATAACAGCCTTCTTCTTCTAACTGAAAACAGTATGCTGGAATTTTTGTCAGTATTGCATCATATGGAAGTTATGGCATAGCATGTTAACAAAAGAAATGACATCCCATGTATGCTACAGCACACGTGAGGAGGCATCAGCCCTGGTGAGTCAGCACCTGGCCCTGGAGACCGGACGCTCACAGCTCCTACCTCAGGAGGCAGGACAGGCCATCCTCAAGGCTCAGGACATCCTTATAGTCAGGCAGCAGAAACAGCCAAGTGGGGAGAACCAGGCCTCTATATTCCAGGTAAGTTTGTTAAAAACTTTAACTAGGAAGTGAGGATGGAAGAAAAAAAATCTTGGGTAAGTAACACAGAATAGGCCATTCTCAAGAAGCAGGACATCCTTATTGTCAGGCAAAAGCAGCAACAATCGAGTGCCCATGGGGAGAATTAGGCTTCTATATTCCAGGTCAGCTGAGTGTGTTTTAAGCTTAGATCTCTCAGGACATCCTAATTATTGTCAGGCAACAGCAGAAACAACCAAGTGGGGAGAACCAGGCTTCTATATTCCAGGTCTGACAAGTTTGTTTAAAGCTATCTGGTGAAGATTCCTCTACTGTACTTGTGGAAAGGAGTTCTACTCCACGATAGTTCTAGGAAAAAGCAAGTTTTTGAACACCTCAATCTTAAGTTGGTAACCCAATGGTACTTGAATACATGACTACTGTACAGTATTTTTTCTGAGCTGTCATGTCATGGTCACACCAGGTCATCCGTCACAGTTCTCCAAGTGGTTTTGGATCTGCCTCTTGTTCTTTTACCAACAGGCCTGTTTTAAATATTCTTGAGACTTCCTTTCTTACCGGTAGTACATGACCAAGCCATTTCAGTCTCCTGTTGGTGATTAGGTCCGTGTATTTGTGTTTTTCAGCCAGAGGATGTACTGAAGCTGTGGGACCTGTACACGTCTCCTACTGTGGAGGGAGTAGTCAGGAGGTCTGCTGCACAGCAGTTCACTACTATACTGGCTGGTAAGAAAGATCATTACCATTATTTAATCATACTTCATAGGTGTTAGCAGTCAATGCAGCAAATAAAAACCCTCATACACCATGAAGTATATAGAAAGCTGGTACATGGACCAGTGCAGGTGTAGACCTCAGAAATACCTGCACTATCTTGCGTAGGTAGAATTTCAAGCCCTGTATACATTGTATATGCATGTCTTCGTAAACACCTGCCTCTATCATTTCATTCAAGTGTCACAATATATATTACTTTCAGACAAACTGATGCACGAGACATTCCGGAGACAGGGTGGGGTGGATGTGACTGTGAACTACCTGAGACAGGCCATTCAGGGGGATAACCAGGAGGTAGGTCTTTTCTACTTGTCGAAAAGAGCTAGGAGAGTTTCCCTGGTACAATGAACTTGCATGTACTGTACCTAGAATCTGTCTTCTCTGTCACGACCAGTGGAACAGCAGATCAACTGTTCATTGAGGCCATTTGAGCTAAATATTTTCAAGATCACAGTTATAACTTCTTTCCAGCTGGAGAAGCGAGCCCTGGTGCCCCCGTGCCTGTGTATCCTGAGACTGTTGGTACAGGAGGACCCTTCACTCAGACATGCCCTCAGACAGGAGATGTCTCTCTACCTCACTGTGCTCAGATGTAAGTAATTATCTTACATGTTACGTCATGTTCACATATTGTCATGCCTCAGTTTAAGTGAAATATTGTAAAACATCACAAAGTAAGTTGAGTTAAACTTGTAAATATGAACTCTAACAGACCTGTTGGGACAAGAAAAGAAACATCATCCAGAACACTGCTCCTTCATTTTGGCTGCGCTCATCTCTGTCACTTCAGCTCTTGCAATTGGGACACAAAATTGTGGAATCAGTACAGCAGGGAGTTAGTCTACTGGAAGTGGTGTGTGTTTAATTTCCATGCTCTTTGGACTAGATGAGTGCTAAGCAAATAAAGCATGTACCATTTCAACAGTCACAAAGTTGAGAAATATATTTTGCTATATCTCTACTACAGGTGCCCTACAGAGTTCGTATGATGACAGGACCTGTACAGAGGCTGCCAGGCTCCTCACACTACTGCTGTTTGATGAAGTTGCCTCCATTCAAACATGGAGCCAAGACAGCGAACAGGCCTCAACAGAACATTTCAGCCTGCCACTCAATGTTGTGACAAGGTAAGGACTGCCTCTTACCTCGTGTAACTCTGTGTATGGAATTTTTGTTTCCAGTGTGTCCATTTGTGTGATTGATTGGTTTTCTTAGTTATTTTCTCATGCTACATGGAGACAGAGACAGGAATTTGTGTCAAAGTCCCAGAAAAAGGCAGGTCATTTTGTGTCTTCAATTTCCTGCTATGTACATGTCTGTTGCCTTCTGGAAGCCAGTGAAAAATGCACAGAAAAATCAGCTAGAAATTCACAAAACTTATATGTAATGGAAAATAAAACCTCTGCAAAAAGATGTGTATTATATTGCTTGAAAATCTTAATTTCCTTTCCCCTATCATATAGAATACATTAGTACCAGTAGTACCTTACTTGCTATGATTATACTCTATGTGTGCAGGTACAGACTGCTGTTCCAGCCCCCAACCCACCACCAGACCAGCCCCCACCGTCCCGAATCATTTCAAGAATTATACTATCATTCAGAATCTTGTCTATTCCCCCTTAAAGTACATTTATAACACCTTACTCGCTATAATCACACTTAATCAATCGTATGTTTTCAGGTACTGCCTGCCGTTCCAGCCCCCGACCCACCACCACACATTTCAAGAATTTAAGTATCATTCCAAAAATGTCTATTCTCCTTTAAAATACATTTGTTGCTATAATCACACTCGATCAATCATGTGTTTGCAGGTACAGCCTGCCATTCCATCCCCCGACCCACCACCACACCAGCCCCCACCACCCCGAGTGTGACGCGGACACAGGACAGCTGGCAGAGGGACCCCCAGCAGAGATGCTGCGTCTGGCCTGGAACGTGCCGTGGGCGGGAGGCATCGACCAGCTGGCAGCTGACGCCGGCGAGCAGGATACAGTAGACGGGTACAGGGTTTTCTAGAAATTTAGCATGAGGGAGCAGATCACTAAGCATGGTGAGGAAGCAAAGCGACCGTTTGGGGGGGTTGGTGCAGGATTTTGGAAGTTTTGCAGGAGTAACACAGTTTATAATTACATGTATGCTAGATTGTATTGTTATGACATTTTGTTTTTGCGTTTTCGCTGGAAAAAGAGCATTTTGAGAAAGACTTAATGTTGTGTATGTAGCCACTTAGGATTTAATCAGAAAATTGATAAGGGGGTGTTGGCTGGCTACATGAGGGAGCAGCGCCCTTTTTCCCTGGTTCAGAAAAACCCCTGGGGTACATGTCAGTTGCTGTTTAACGTCAGTTGATCCCTTTCTCTCAAGGGTTAGACTTGCTAACATGTTGATGCTGAGACTTGATGGCAGCCTATCATTCTATAAATTTTTTTTTTTTTTCAGAATCCGACCTTCCCTTGTCCTCACCTCCCGGGACAAGCTGTTGCTGAGAGCAACTCACATCAAGACGGCCCTGCAGTGCAACATCCAGGATATAGAGGGAGCTCCTTCACACTACGTTGCTAAGCTGGCCCTGATGAGACTCGCCCTGCTGCTGACCAGCGATGCGATGGGGAGCGGGGATGGAGCTGCTGCTAGTGGCTCTGTAGCTGAAGTCCTGTTTGGTCTGGATTGGAAGCCTGTCTTCAAAAGGTGATCTTCCTGTATTTTGTAGAGAACAAAATCTTTCAAAACAATAAATATTTCACACCTTTGTAAAGTATTTAGCATTGTTCTGAATTTCTTGTTTGTTTTCATTACTATTAATTCCTTGTTGATTCTATCTAATATATGCATTTTCTCACTGGCAACATATGCCTAATGTATATAGCAGAAAATGACAACCACTTCTATTGGCCTTTAGCCTAACTTCCTGTCAGTATCCCTCACATGCTTAGGATGTGAAAATAATAGGAAAAACAAGCAAAAAAGTGGTTTATCTACTTGTAGCATTGTGTTTACTGCAATGGTTGCTACATTGTATGAGCTGTAATGTGTTTTTACTTGGTATGCAGGTTTCTTGAGGTGATGCCGGCCAACGGAGAAGATGACTTGTTACTCTCCGAGGTGCTGAAAGTTTTGCTGTTGTTCTTCAAGACCAGGAAAAGCATCCGAGGTAAGGCCAGGTAATGGGATACTTAAAACTGTCTGGCATTTCAAGTAGCATCCCCTACCTGTTGTCAGTGACTTACAGAAATAAGAGGATGGTACTTTAAATGTTTGACAGTTCTCAAAATTCATCATCTGCATGTTCAACAATTTCCTTGTGCATCAGAGTACAGTACTTAGGATGGGACGTCAAGCCACTGTTTATTGTGCTTGTCAAAAAGAGCTAGGGGAATTTCCCCAGTACAATAAACCTGTAAAACCTGTATACAGCATCTGTCTTTGTTAAGACCAGTAGGTGATTAGCTCTTCTGTGAGATAAAACTTGACCAAGATCACTTTCCTATCTTCGTTTGCCCAGACTCCGTCAGCCACTGGTTGTTGGACCTGGTGCTGAGTAGAGGCAGTCCCCTGCTGTGGTTACTGAGTCAGGGAGACAACAAGGAGCAGGAGACTATGGCAGGGCCGAAGGTCCCGGTCCTGACGGCACATCGGACACTGCAGAAACAACTCATGGCCCTGCTGTCTGCGCTGTGTGGGCATCTGGTGCACAGGGAACAGGGGTGAGGACCACTTTATGTTAGCTTTTGACATTTTTTCTATAAACATATCAGGCAACTAGCAAACTAACCAACATTTGGTAGCTGGTATACATGTAACTGCCCCTCAGCATAACACACCAGCTTTGCAGGCACACGGCATGGCAGCAGCTGGCTATATTACACCGAGCGACTTGATACATCAAGGCTTTAAACATTTAACTCTAAACATTATTGAAAACTATCTGGTGATGATGCCTCTACTGTGTACTTGGTGCCAGCGAGTTCCACTCCGCGATTGTTCTAGGAAAGAACAAGTTTTTCAACACCTCAATCCTTGGTTGATAACTCTGGTACTTGACTACATCTTTTTGAAGCAGGACCCACCAGCCGATGGTAGGGGACCTGGCACAAGGGTTCCTACAGAGGTTACACCTGGCCGACCCCTCTCACTTCTATGACCTGGCCTCGCTGGAGAGCACACTGCACTGTCTGGTACATGTTACTGCAAGGTACTTACTTTTCCTTTTAAGACACAAGGCCATGACTTTGCCTTCCAGGGTAGCCTTTAGCCTTTACCAAGCTTCATAATTGGCTGGAAAGAGTAGAAATTGGCAAATAGACAGATAACATACTGGGGGAGTTGGTCCACTAAAGGAGTACAAATTTCGGGTGTGGCAAATTGTACACCCTCAGTGGACCAACGCCCCTGGTATGTTATCTGTCTATTTAGCAAATTTCTACTCTTATAACACGCTTCCGAAGCCTAATAGAGGGTAGATAGTTTCATGCATGCCAGGTTCAACTTTAACTCTTACTGAATTGTCTTCAAAAGCTCTAGTACAAAGACCATGTGTATGTAATACTAGTAGATTTACGATCTTTATTCCCTATCCAGACCAGACTGGAGCACTGGCAGCAGCACCATTAACAGGGAAACTCTGTGTCAGGAGCTGTTGGAGACTCTCCGAGAGGTCTGTACACACATTTTCTCATTACAAATAATCTTACCATAGTTCAGTTAAAGCCCTGTCAACAAGAGAGTGCACACATCCTTCATTGTACCTTACATTAATTTGGTGACTAGCAGTGCGTTGCTGCTTGCAAGTGACCAAACCTGCCTCGGCGCCATCTCCTTAGCCCACTACCATGCCTCCTGAGTTGCCCAGAGACGAGGCCACACGCCCAATAGCAAACTGTAATGTGATGGAGTTTCCAGCCCATGAAATCAGATCCTGTATTAAATTATCAGCCATTCATCTTCTCTTTAAGTTGTATTGCTGTTGTGTTTCTCCTTGGTTTTGATAGCCAATGGTCAGGCAGGCAGACAGGACTTTAGGGGAAGTAAAAGGCATTACAAGGAGACTCTGCTTTCCAATACCATGCCCTATACACCGTTGATTAACAACCCACTACCCTTACAACCTCCAAAAGGCTTCAGGACCTTTATCTTTACCTTTTTCCTGCCCCTTTCACAGGTGGTCCTGTCCTTCCATGTGGGGCGAGGCAGCACCACCAGATCCTACATGGGGAAGGGAGTCATCAAAAACGCCTCCATCAGTCTCAAACATCTGGCACTGGAGATGGCAAACACAAGTACTAACAAGGTTAGTGATTCTATAACCATGCAACTCCATATTGCACTCATACATACTTACAAGAACACATTGTCAGTGGTGAACCCAGGGACACTGGGTGTTTTGATCATCGTAATCAAAATATATGATTATAATCATCATCAACATGTACACCCTCACCCAGGCAACCCAGCCTAGGGTGATCAATTGTGTTCAAGTGACTGACTTCACAGATCCCCATGAAATCACAACCACAATAGTTAAAGGAGTTCATGCATTCTTGAAAAAGATACACATAAAAAAATGTTCTATGTGATCTGTTCTCTTGAGGTATCTATGCCCTAATATGCCTGGTGTGTTTCAGGACTGGCCGTCGCTGTGGTTGAACACCAAGTCTGAGGAGAGTGCAGGTCTGGACTGGCTGGTTCCTCTCTGGGCTTACAGGGATCCAGAGGTGATCATGTCGCTGTTGTGTTAACATTTGCTATCCTAATGCCCATCACACAGCAGGAAAATCGATCATTAATGACACACCCCCAAGCTCTGAAGGACATATTTGGAAATAATACGCCAATTATATGATTTTTAGGAATCGACCAATGTTCACAGCCATTTAGACCTGTGATAGCATATGATGATGATGATAGTTACATGTACATGTTTAAAGTTAAAACTTTTGATCCAACAATAAAGTTTTTGCACCTTGAGCTTTTGGCCAGTCACTGAAAGAAAGAGGCTATTTACATCAAGGCCCATCACCCTTCACTTGACATCGTCTACCAGATACCTTTGACCCAGTGTTGACGTCACACTTCAAAAAAGCCACATAACAAGCCTCACTGGGTCAGTCTACTGAGGAAGACCAGAGTGACTGGTCAAAAGCTCTAGTTGAGAGAACTTTTATCATCTTGTATCAAAAGTTTTAACTTTAAACAATGACAATGATAATGAACTTTATTCATATTCAAGCTCTACATGAGCCAAATGCACTAAGTTAGATAACTTGGGTACAAGTGTAGAAGAAACAGGTGTTACATTTCTGTACTACATTTATCTACTACGTATATCTATAGGATGTATCTACAAGATACAACTTGCACCTTACTTGTTGTGCCCCCCACACACACACACACACAGGTTCGTGCAGCTGGGCTGGGCATCGCTGTGCTGTTGTCGGGGAGTGAGGAGGGTCGCATCGCCCTGACGACAGGCTGTCAGCAGGTGACAGGCGGCATCTGGGGCACCAGTATAAGTGTTCTACTGGACCACACCGAGTGCAGCCTGGTCAGGCAACAGGTAACTCACAGTCTTAATACAGGCAAACCTGTGTTATTCTGTGCTAAGTCTCATGCTGACAAGCTGTTTAGGTTTAGGCTGTGGCTTAGTTTTTTAAGTGTTGTGTTGGGAGGCATCTGGGGCACCAGCATAAGTGTTCTGCTGGACCACACCGAGTGCAGCCTGGTCAGACAACAGGTAAAACACATCAAATTAGATACGAATTTCCGTCTGTTTTTACATATTGGGAAACTCATCTTTTAGTCCAGTATTGAACCTGCCGAATTTCAGCGGTCATTCAAAGCCAAAAAGCGAAAGCGGCCATTCATCCAAACTAATGATGGTCCGTTACATTACACATTGACAAGGCAATTGTTACTCAAGCAACTGGACAGATAAATCTTTATACAAATTTATCCAGTTGCTTGAGTAACAATTTCCTTGTGTACCCCATTACCTGGAGGTCTAACCTTCATCCATGTCCATCAATGACCCATGCAAAGAACCCTGTTTATAGGAGTGAAGTCCCTTGAGTGGTCACTATAGACAGGGTTGGCTGTTGTCTCTTCGTTCAAAATCGTCAATAACATTGTCTCTGTCCCTCCCAGGCGGCGGCCGTGCTGGTGAACTTGACCTCCCAGCCGCTGCCCACCACCCCAGCCCAAGCTGACGATAGTGCCTGGCAGGGTCCGAGCGTGACTGACGAGGACACGGGCTTCACCCTGGTGGGCCTTCCCGCACTGCTGGCCCTGTTTCACCACTGCCAGTTCTACACACACCTCAGCTTCATGCTGGGGAACTACTACCCTCACAGCGTCATCCAGCCAGTTAGTGTGGCCTTCAGGCAGGCTACAGAGTCTCAGAGCGATACAGGAGGCACTACGTCAACTTCAGGTGGGTGAAAGTGTCCTAACTACAAACACACACAGTTACACACACACCTCAGCTTCATGCTGGGGAACTACTACCCTCACAGTGTCATCCAGCCGGTTAGTGTGGCCTTCAGGCAGGCTACAGAGTCACAGAGCGATACAGGGGGTACTACGTCAACGTCAGGTGGGTCTACATTTCCTAACTACACACACACACATACACACACACACACACACACACACACGTCAGCTTCATGCTGGGGAACTACTACCCTCACAGTGTCATCCAGCCGGTTAGTGTGGCCTTCAGGCAGGCGACAGAGTCACAGAGCGATACAGGGGGTACTACGTCAACGTCAGGTGGGTCTACATTTCCTAACTACACACACACACACACACACACACACACACACACGTACACACACTCACACACAGACACACTCACACACAGACACACTCACACGTCAGCTTCATGCTGGGGAACTACTACCCTCACAGTGTCATCCAGCCGGTTAGTGTGGCCTTCAGGCTGGCTACGGAGTCACAGAGTGATACTGGGGGTACCACATCAACATCAGGTATGTAAAACATCCTAACTCGATACGCACAAGCACACACACACCTCAGCTTCATGCTGGGGGAACTACTACCCTCACAGTGTCATCCAGCCGGTTAGTGTGGCCTTCAGGCAGGCTACGGAGTCACAGAGTGATACTGGTGGCACTACGTCAACTTCAGGTGGGTAAAACTGATTGAACACACACACACGCACGCATGCATTCACACACGTGCACACATGTCAGCTACTGCGCAACTATTACCCTCACAGTGTCATCCAGCCAGTTAGTGTGGCCTTCAGGTAGGCCACTGAGATCCACACATCCTAACCCCCCACATGTACGTGTAGATGTACAATGTACACATGCATCTGCAAAATTAGGGGCACTACGTCAACTTTATGTGGATCAAAAACATGTTTTATTGAGTACCTCTGGTATCACACTTTGCCCGTCAAGCAAGTTACTTTCTGCTGTTGCTAACTGTTGCTTGTTTTTCCACCCCAGATCACAGCACCCCTACAGGCGATGTGGCCTCCTCCCACAGCAGTCTGACTTCAGGAGAACAGTACTTCACATCCACAGCTACACTCACCACTCAGGTATACCTCAACTAGTTATTCATTTTGTAAACGAATTTAAACTGGGGTTCGAAGCCAGAACCTTGTGGTTGCTCGTCAAATGCTCTAGACTAACCATTTTTTTTAGACCACATGACGGAACTTCATTTACCAATTATGTAATCAAATTAAACAAACTCACTTTTGCTATAATACTAATGGACATTATAACAAACACACTTAAGATTTAGAAAAATGAAAATTTAATCAACTTTAGGCCTTTTAAAACAAGCTATCTAATTTTCAGATGTCGGCCACCCCAGTGCCTCAGCCAGCAGTAGTACAGGGTCCTGTGGGAGCCAGAGCTCCTTCTAGACAGTCTACAGACTCTACTGAAGGTGGGACAGTTACACTTTTTTCTGCTCAAACTAACTAACATATAAGAATGTAGCAACTGAGTTGTCAAAGCCATGTTCAACTTCTTCCCGCTCTAGTACCAAAGATTCTATTACTTTGTGCACTGGTTTTATTTTGCAGTAGAAGGGAAAAGGATATTTCTGCAGAATTCTGTAGTACATTTAGTGATAACATTGGAGACATATATTGACTGTGTTCTGAATTTGCAATGAAGAGCTCACTGTAAAAACCTTGAAAAGAAAACCACTGCGAGCATCTCCTGATTTGCAATAACATATTTTAACCAAGTTTCAATTTCTTTTAACTCTGTTTCAATGCAATTTGCAAGGAATTTAAAAATGACTTTTTCTCTCAATGTTACCCCCCCCCCCAGGTTCTGCCTACAGTGAGCTAGTCGGGTGGACTACCCCAGCGTGGTGACCCCTGACCTTTTGGCCGCTCTGACACGCCTCGTTTCCAACATGGTGGTCATGGCTTCCCACGATGCACTGCAGTCCATCTCTCAGCACAACATTTTCAATAGCTTACTCAGGTAAAACGTTATACATTTACACATTATGCTTTTTGCTGAATCCTTTAGGAATGGTCAGTAAACTATGAAATGACCACTTATCTGTTTTTCGTTTTCGTAGATTTCTAGATGCTGACATCCTCCGGATTCAGTTAAAAGAGCAGAAAGAGTCAACAGCAGCAAAGTGCAGTACCATAAAGCTCCTGTTGGGGGAGCTGCTGCACATGCACTGTTCCATCCTCGGGCTGATGCAAACCTGTGTGCTGAACAAACCAGGCCTGGGGAAGACTTTCACACAGGGCAGGAACAACGTAAAAACTGTCCTGCAGCTTCTGCTTGTTGGGAGAACACTCGATGAAGGTAAGCTCATAAGTCCTATCGAGAATGACAATATGGTTCATCAAAAGGAGTTTGAAACCCCCAAAGATACCGGTAACTGTAAGGACTCGTGTTTACGTGCAGATTATTTTGTAATGTGGACTGCTAAATGCGATCACAGCTTAAAGATTATGGGCAAAAATGCATCTAGTCAGAAAGAAGTCATCACAAAAAAATTGTCATCCTTAATTCGTTCCTTTTAGCCTAAATGATTTACTTATTTTTTGGTGTTTATTTCCCATACGAAGTAAACCGCCTTGAAATGAACACACCAGTTTTGTACAGTAAGTACTAGCTGCACTCTAAAGTTTTGATTTACTGTTTTTCCTAGGAGATGCTCTATCCTTATCCTGCTATGCCCTGTGGAGGAGTGTGTACAGTTTCCTTAGCTGTGTGGTACAAACTGACTCTAACCTAAGCCATATTCCCCCCTTTTTACCACCAGGAGACCCCCTGTCCCCGCCCTGCAGTGCCCTGTGGAGGAGTGTGTACAGTTTCCTCAGCTGTGTGGTACAGACTGATGGCAGGGACGCTGCACAAGACATCACCGTCTCAATCGCTAACAACTGGGACACGTTCTTCGGTAAGGGGCAGAAATATGCTGTTTTTGGTTTGCATGTTTGCATTTGTGGGTGTACTTTAGTGAATACAGAGTTACAGAAAGTGAGGGGGGAATGGTGTAACCACAGTTATCACGTCCTCTCTCACTAACAACTGGGTCACATTCATGACGTTTATCTACATTTTAAGCGGACATTCAGATGCCAATTGTGGCCATTCTTTGGTGGTTCCTTAGGTAATTTTCCCCATTGACACAAGCATTAAGAGTCCTGTTTATAGTGACCACCGGTACACATAGACCAGATTTTATGAGAGTTATTTTCTTGTCCTTCCAGACTCAGTGCAGTCCTGTCTGGCTGTGTCTGCTCCTTCCGAGCTTCAGCTGTCCACGGTACAGCTCCTGGCCTTGCTGCTGTCACAGGATGGACAGCTTCTGGGGAAACCTTCTACGGGCGCTGACACGGCGCCATCGTTAAGTCTGCTGCTGGACAGAGCGAAGATCAAAGATACAGGTTTGTGCAACAGTTTGGGGTGAAAAATAGATCTACATCACTCAGTCTATTCAGAGCACACAAGTAGGTCTGAGTGGCATAAGACTTTCCAGGCTTTCGTAGGTGACATCATCTGTTGTGCTCATTCAAGGTTTAACAGATATGAAAATGACTGACGCATATATTTATTTAGTCATTTCCCATATTAACAATCAAAAGTCATGGTGTTTCTGCAACAAAAACAAAATATTCCAATAAAATTCATGTTTCAGCACGAAGGACAGCACTTGTTATGTCAAAGGTGTTATTAGTATAAGCCACATTTTCTAAGTTCTAGTCCTTCAGCTGACTATTTTGTCATAATGATTCTTATTCTTACATTATTATATGAGTTAACATCTATAATTAAGGGTTAATGACCCACCCCGAGGTGAATATGGTGTGATAAAGCCTTATCAGTTGCTATAACCACAAATAAAGCCATGTGGAATGGAGCCTTCTGATTGGTCAATGTCACCTGGATAATGATACATAATTGAATGTGTTGGTTCAAAATTAGTACATCAAATTTTGTAATTTAAAAAAAAGCCACCCACTGTAACCTGTTGTAAATTTACGACGATTTTCCCATCCAGAAGAGGAGAGTGGGAGTGAGAAGACAGATCCTGTGTCCTGTGGGTCGGGGCTGTGCCGCTGCCTGGTACAGCTGTACGACAGTCTGGACAGCAACATGGACAGCAGGACAGCTGTGGGGAACAGCCTCGCTCTGCTGCTGGCTCACAGCAGGACAGCCAAGCACACAGCTCTAAAGTGTATGTCTGTCATACCTACTGATGTCAGCGAAATGTTACTAAATTAACCTAACTCTTCATAGCTTGAGTCTGAAATTCTATAAACCTTTTGAGAAAGGTTTTGTTATTTTTTCTGATAATCAGATACTAGTACCACAAACATTCTGCATGCTAGTGTGCAATATGTAGTTCCTTTATGTATGTACAGCGAGAGACTGTATAATGCTCATCTCATTTCTGAATGGGGGCCCGGTTGGAGTTTTTACGATTGAAAAATAATCATTGAGTTCATATCATTTAAACAATATACAGAAATGATACTCATGATTAGTTATTTCAACTTTTGGTGTTTGTTGTCTGTCATAACATTATAACTTTTGTTGCTGGAAACTGCCCGGCTGGGCCCTGGGCTGGGAATTGTGACAATAGCATATTAAATAGCTAATAAACTGTCTAACTGGTTCATACCCTTGTGTTTCCAGCTGGTTTTGTGGACAGCACCGTGGAGCACATGAAGGACCTGCATGCCCAGTTGAACCTGGACTCTCTCAACTCAGGCAAGCCGGCCGCACGTAGGAAGGATGACCCGGCCGTCACAGAGCTGCTACTGTCACTGCACCTGCTCAGGAACTTCATGCTCAAATATCCGGATGGGAAGGTGCTGTAGCTGTGTTCACATTCCTGTTTATTTCATTTCTGAGTAGGATATTTTCTCAGTGTTTTGCTATTGAAACAATTCTTTAGTACTGTTACATTGCAAACGCTGCACCTCCTCGGGAACTTCATGCTCAAATATCCGGATGGAAAGGTGCTGTAGATGTGTTCACATTCCTGTTCGTTTCATTTCTGAGTAGGATATTTATTGTCTGAGTAGGATATGTTAGTGTTTTGACATTGAAACAGTTCTGTAGTAGTCTTACATTGCTAACACTGCACCTCCTCGGGAACTTCATGCTGAAATATCCGGATGGAAAGGTGCTGTAACTGTCTTCACATTCGTTGTCATTTCATTTTGCGCTGTAGGAAAGAAAAGTGTGATAAGTTTGCATTGGAAACAATTCTGTAGTACCATCACCTTGCATTTGGAGTGCTTTTGTTTCATATTTCTTCTTTTAAGGACACACTTTTTGACATTTCAAATCTTAAATAGGAGCTATAAAATTCCACTGCAGATGCTCTGCTGAACTTCACTCCCTCGTACCCCCACTCAGAACATTCTCTGCAAGAACACGCTTAGCCACCTCAACAGCAGAAAATCACCCTTTCTTCCTCAATAGTCCATCAGTCAAGAGAAAATTTCATGCGAGCCTTGTTTTGAGGTGAATTCTGAAGTAAATAAAAAAAAAAAAAAAGCTTCAGGTCAAAGCCAAAGTCCAGGTGCTCACTTTATTCAGGTTTTACCTGAGAAAAACCGGGACACAGCCAGTCATTACGTGCCATGGTAGTGCCCAGAGCAGCAGAACTGAAACCACAAGAAAGGTTTCAAGAGTTGCAGTACACTTTTTCCCTCCTGTACCTGTTTGATCTATTGTTTATTGTATTATCTACTATTTTGTTGTGCAAATAAATAAATAAATAAGAACCATAATGTCTCCCTCCCCAGGCTGCTGCAGTAGAGGCAGGCCTGAGCCAGGTGGTTCACAAGCTGTGGTCCTGGGGCATGGCTAACCACTCACTCATGGTGTCCATGCTGGGACTGCTGGCCACGTACACTGCACAGTGTCCTAAAGGTTTGTACATTTCATTTAGATGTACCTGCAGTATACTTATCATGGCTCAAAACACTGGGTGCTATAAGTGTGTAGGGTTCTTAACATGGTTCAAACATGAGACCTCTATCTAACGTCCCATCTGAGATGGCCAACCACTCACTCATGGCCTCCATGCTGGGACTACTGGCCACGTACACTGCACAGTGTCCTAAAGGTCTGTTCCACCATGTGTGGTACACTACACAGTGTACACATCATCCACACACAAACATGCCTGTCCTTGGTGCTGAACAATGGGCTGTGCACAATCCTCGTATTTCCTCTCCAGTGTGCAGTTCCCAGTATTGTCACATAAATATTGGTAAAAAGCAATAATAGAATAATTGTCAGTTAATGTCAATGTGGTCCCAAACATGACTGAAGTGACAGACAGTCATGGAATCATCTGCTCTTGGTTGTATTTTAAAGAACTTTGCTATTCTTTTCTAAATGGTTAGGCCAGAACTAGCCCCTTGCTCCTCTTCATTTTTTCCCACCAGGCAGCACTGTCCTTAGCTTTTTGTTCAGCAAACTTGAGGGACCATTCATGATCCAGTGTCATATGCTATTTGGTTCCGCCATCTTTTTGGGGGTCTTCCTCAAGGCCTGGGGTTTTCAAAATCTTGGTGGTAGGCCCCATATACAGGATAAAGGATTGTATTTCCTCCCCAGCCTGCGGTTCCCTGGCCTCCAGCAGCAGGGCAGCTGTGAAGACATCTCATGAGGCGTCGGCCGGGAGTTCAGTGGTGCACAGCCTGGTCAAGATGGCCACCAGACAGACCACGCAGGGCGGCAGGGCACATCTGAAGACTGTCTTCGCCGTCCTGGCAAACCTGGCACTGTCTAATGTCTGCAGAGGCATTCTGTGGAAGGTGAGGGGTGTGGATTATTCTGGGGCTTTTACAGAAATAGAGCAAAGACAGTGATGAAGGTTAGGCATCCAGTTAGATAGTACAAAAAAATCAAGCAACTAGTGCTGTTTTTTCATCAGTGACTGGGACTGATGAAAGGTAGCAGGTGCTATCTGAAATCTCGGACTTTGGAGAATTTGTACCTCACTTTACTGTTTAGTATAATTGTACATCACTGACTTGATCAAAAGTTTAAATATAATTGTTTAGACACAATACTGAAGCATAGAGCTACATGACCAAATTTTTGGCTGTAAGATTCAATATAAATTTCATATTTTTCTTGCAGAGTAACTTCCTGCAGGGCTTTTCCGGTGTGGTGCCAGGGAAAGGGGGTAAGGACAAGAAGCAGAACAGCCTGGCAGCCAGGTGGTTGGCTGTTCTTGTTAATGTGTCGTTCTCCCTGGATGGTCAACAGATGCTAATCAAAATACCAGGTAGGTTTTCAAAGCAACACAATGTGTCATTAGATTTTGCTGACATGACATCACATTATGCACATAAACTTTTTATGTACCTATAGTTTTTTAAGCCAGGGGCAGCAGGGCACATATTTCCAAATATGAATAGCTCTGTATGTGTAATAGAATTTCATCCCTAGACATGCTAGGTTTGCTGATGGAACTATGTAACTACCCGACACTGTATAAAGATGTATATGGCCTCCTTCGGTCAGTACTGACCATGTTAAAATCTTAATTGTTAACAGCTCTACAGCTTTGGCTATGGTTGAACAGTCCTATACAAGAATGATAGTCTCTCTGCCACATAGTGTGAGCTGACTCAGGCCTGTTGTCGACACTGTACGCTATTTATTTCTGTACATTGTATTTCCGCAGACATGCTAGGTTTGCTAGTGGAACACATCCAGAGTTCCCCCCGACCCTGTCAGACCCTCGCCCTGCTGGTCCTGAGGAACATGTGCTTCCACCCGGCCAACAAACCCAGGATGGTCGCACATGGTCGGTAACACTTCTCCTGCTGTACTGCTTTGCAGGGATTGAAGATTATTCCTTTCTTAGAAGGCATAAAGGAAAAAGATTGAAAGTACAAAAAGATTGTTCCTTTTTAAATTAAATTGCTCAGTGCAAGTCCTCAGACACCACTTCCATGCACCAAACTAAGCACAGGTTACTGGAACAGTATCTTTTCTCCGTAAGTCAGGAACATCATTGCTGGAGACAAGCTTGCCTCACTGAAACTTAGGACCAACTGATATAGTAGGAGAAGCAGAAGTTACAGAGGCATCTAGATAGAACAGAACATAATGTCAAACATTTAAGAATTTAGATACTAGTAGCAGTCATAATACATATCTTACAGATACATGCTACATACATACATATGTTGAGGGTAAGAGCTTGTATGTTGCATTGTATTAAGTACAGTCTGCACTGTAAAGCCGTAGCCTCCTCAGCACTCTGGTTTCTTGGTTTATACTGTTATGTATTACATACAGTACTTGATGTTTCCCCCCTCTCCATGTGTACAGAGAAAGTTGTGGAGACCCTGCTGAGGTGTATGGAGACTGGCAGTCTGCACTGTAAAGCTGTAGCCTCCTCAGCACTCTGGTTTCTTGGTTTATACTGTTATGTATTACATACAGTACTTGATGTTTCCCCCCTCTCCATGTGTACAGAGAAAGTTGTGGAGACCCTGCTGAGGTGTATGGAGACAGGCAGTCTGCACTGTAAAGCCGTGGCCTCCTCAGCTCTCTGGGCGCTCGTCACCAACTGTCAGAAGGGAAAAGTGGGACTGAAGAACGCTGCGGTTGTGCACAGGCTGGAGGAGTCATGGCAGGCCATACGCAGGGGTAAACATTTGTTTGTTTGCTTGATAGTTTGTTTGTAAATAGATGTACATGAAATACTAAAATTGACCTGCTAGCCACTTTTGATTGAGGTCAATGATTTGTTTGTTTATTTGTTTGTTTGTTTGTTTGTTTGTTTGTAACTATACAAGGTACTCAATCAATCTGCTGGCCACTTTTGATTGAGGTCAATGAGGGAAGAGGTCAGGATCAGACAAAATATAACAAGGTCCTATTTATATTATTGAAGTCCTAACAAACATATTGTTGTAATAAATTGATAGCACATAACAAACTAAATGTGTGCATATGGTTTGCCCTTTTTTGGCTTGTACTACCGGTATGAACAGTGGTATGAAGTCACATTCTAAGGACTCAAACCCTTTCCAGTAGTATGCATTTTGGGTGGTCTTAGTCATCATGTGTTAGTACACACAGTTAAATATCAATCACCACCATACTAGTAATGTTGATCAAGTTGTTTTGTATCTTTACAGACCCACCAAGCAGCAGCAAGGACCAGCAGTTGGTGCAGCAGTGTCTGTACAACATGAAGACTATCGTGTCAGTGGTCCGGAGCTGACGGTTACCCTTGGTCAAAAGTTAAAATCCTTTGCACACATTTCAATGTACAGAGCAGTGCCGATCTCTGTTTCTATAGCTTTTGAGTAGAGCTGTGTACCTAAACAAATTTTAGGTATATACAGGTACACAGGTTTAGGTACAGGTCTGGACCTTGAAATTTTGTACCGAAACAATTTGACAAATTAAGACACATGTATGTTCTTTGAACTTCCTCAATAATGATAGAAACAGAAATAAAGAGACAGAATCTTTATTCAAATGAAACAGGATGGAATGTTTGTTTTTTGTTGCATTACTACTGTAACAATACTCCATCTTCCCTAAAAGATCCGTTGCGTATTAGTTATCCTCCCTCTAGATTTCATTTTGGTCCCATTTGTTTCACATGAGGCCATTAGAGTAGTGTTGATTTATATCAATACAGTACCAGGACAAATTTTAGACCTGTACTTTTTTTAGACCTGCACTCAATTTTCACAGTACAGTACTAGTGCGCAGCCCTATAATCCCACACTTTCGTATTGTAGCCACAAAATTTCCATGTTCCGTCCTTGTTTTACATGAAGTTTACAGAACTTTGTAGGTGAAGATGATTCCATTGTAATCGTCCGCGTAGTCCTTGGCAACAACCCTGGACATGTTCTCCCAGAGGCCCTGGTCCTGTAGCTCTGACATACGTGGCTCCAGCTTCTTGTACTCTTCCTCTGACTGGAGGAACACCTCCTTTACAATCAGACAAATGATGCCGCCTGGAAGAAACAACATGGAAACCTGTTAGCAATCGTGTGCTCATGCAGTGTCCATAGGATTGTACACCAAGCCCTAACCTTGCATTCAGCGGCAGACGAAAGAAAGGAAGGCCTAAAGCAGCTGGAGAAGGGGCACAGAAATGTTGTCTGTGCATGACCTGTGTTCAGCATCAAGGACAGGTATGTTCATGTGTGGATGGTGTTCAGCACCAAGGACAGGTATGTTCGTGTGTGGATGGTGTTCAGCATCAAGGACAGGTATGTTCATGTGTGGATGGTGTTCAGCACCAAGGACAGGTATGTTCGTGTGTGGATGGTGTTCAGCACCAAGGACAGGTATGTTCGTGTGTGGATGGTATTCAGCACCAGGGATAGGTATATTTGTGTGTGTATGTGTGGATGGTGTTCAGCAACAAGAACAGGTATATTTGAGAGTGGATGGTGTTCAGCACCAAGGACAGGCATGTTTGCGTGTGGCTTGTGTTCAGCACCAAGGACAGGTATGTTTGTGTGTGGCTGGTGTTCAGCACCAAAGACAGGTATATTTGTGAGTGGATGGTGTTCAGCACCAAGGATAGGCTTGTATGTGAGTGGATGCTGTTCAGCACCAAGGATAGGCTTGTATGTGAGTGGATGGTGTTCAGCACCAAGGATAGGTATATTTGTGTGTGTGTGAGTGTGGATTGTATGTATGTGAATGGAGATGAGGAGCATCAGCAACAAGAAATGTTGCACACAGCTCAAACTTTGCATGAGAATGGAAGATGACACTAAATCCATAGAAAATATCAGTTATGGTTTGAGCTACTTAACAGTGCACAACCCAAGTCTTCCGTCAACATTAGACAATCTTTTGAAAACCTTAGAAATGATTGAGCTGCCACTGACCTGGCTTCACGACCCTGATCATTTCCTCCAAACAGTCACACTTCAGGTGTCCGTGAGAGAAGGAGCCAGAACAACACAGGGCGTCATACGTGTCTGCAAGTATCAGAACAACACAGGGCGTCATACGTGTCTGCAAGTATCAGAACAACACAGGGCGTCATACGTGTCTGCAAGGAACAGCAAACTGATTGCAAACCTTCCGTTGAAGCTAGGTTTTTTAATTTTTAATATTCCAACATTTCATGACTAGACATGGTGACAGCACTTATTAACTTATTTTATGCCATCACCAACGCAGAGGACAAATACAGGACAAGACAATACTCAGTAAAGTCGTGTAAAGTTCCTTTCCTAAGGGCACATGATCGGTGGCATGTCAGGACTCGAACCCGGGATCTCTTGGTTCCGAGTCGAGCACGCTGCCGCTACGCCACACGACACTAGGTTCAATCTTCAAGCAAGTGTCAGAATTAAGGGAAGATCATATGAGATTTGTGACAAAATACAAGTTACATGATTGAAGCAAAGGGGTAACTACGATCACAACAATGGGACATTTGGAAAATTACAAGATCTTGCCTCTCAACATCTTGTATTGGGCATCGTGGACTACTACTGGTACTAGTAACGTTTTATTTATCAAAGCTCCATAAACACATAGCCATATTTTAGAGAAATTCAAGGCACAGTGTAAAAGACCCTCACCGTCGGCTATCTGTAGTCGTTTGGGCCCCAGAAGGTCCTGGATCAAGTTTTTGTACACGTTCTTGCCTTCAGCGACTTTCAGCATTTCTTTGTTGGCGTCCAGTGCGTCCAAGTTGCTGAATCCCAATTTACGTAGCTAGGAAAACAGAAAATAGAAATAATGTTTCAATACATGTAATTCAATAACTTGGAAGGAGATATGCTATGATCATAAAATACAGACAAAACCTCGGTACACAGATGTAACATAAAAACCCTGACCTGACTCCTGACAGTAAAGTCTCACCTCTTCGCCAACTAGTCCAGTACCCGCCGCTGCGTCCAGAATACGAGCATCTTTTCTGTCTCCCAAAATCCCCGCCAGAGCCTCTGCTATCTGTTCTGGGCCCTTGTAGATCTCTTTTGTCAGATCCTGATAAATGAATGAAAGAATGAAGATCAAAACGTTAACCTTAACCTTTATTGTACATTTTGTCCACCCAGCATGCTGGTACTGCCTCATGTGTTAGAAGATATGGGAGCCCCTTAGTCTAGTAAAATTATGAAAGTCACACTCTCCTTTTTCAGCACTGATGCAGTGCGGCAAAATTATGGGAGGGGTTCGGCACTGGAAAATGAGTGTTTAGCCAAGGTTCAGCTCTAGAATTCCAGTCACAAAGGGGCTTCAGCACTGGAGCAATCCTATGCTGGACTTCTTTTTTTAGCACTAACAGAGCATTAACTGCTGACACCGTTTGGACAATTGAGGCAGCACCATAGTCAAACCTCCTTGCATAGACTTGCCTAGATCACCCTCTACTACCACACGTTTCCAGCCATATCAATATGATAAATTTTATACATTGCTATACTTAATAAACTAAAGTAGAGTAGTACACTGAGCTTCCTCTGAGAGTAGGTCCTCCCACCTTGTCATACCCAGGTGCCCAGGTGGAGTAGATCCCCTGAGACTCCTCCGTAGTGATGCCGGGCCGCTGCACGCTCCACACCCCGCTCTCGTCTTGCTGCGAGGCCATAATCTGAGAAGCAAGGAACGTAGATATGGCAACACTAGCAGGAATGCGGGAAGACCTGTATCTCTGTAGACTTGAGAGTAGATGTTAGTTAGCCTAGATATGTAGTACTGAAGAGTTTGCCATGCATTGTACCCGTTACAGTTGTTGTGCAATAATTTGACTTGACTTGTATAAAAAGGCTCAGACTACATTCTCCAGTCGTAGAGTCAGACAGCAAGATTTGCTTATAATGAGAACTAAGGAGAACTAAGGAATATTCTCACAACACACATGTGCATAGCACCAGCCAAAGGCACCAGAAATCCACCCCTAGAAATCTAGAGGAATGTCATAATGCAGAGAAGCAACAGTAGTGAGCCTAAATGCAAACTTTGCTAACGATATTATTACAAACCCACGAAACTTCTACTCTCTGTTGAATCGCTGTGGAATCATAAAATTATTTCTTACTTGCAGGAAAGCAGCTACGAACTTGACTCGGACCAGCTCGGTCTGGGTACGTGGACTTAAGAACCTCTCACCTACTAACCTAGAGAACCTGACCTATACGTAACGTGCATGTTTGCGGGTCAACCAAAAGAAAGGCGGGTTTTCATAGGATTTATTTATCTGCTAGGATCTGAAAACCGTTAACACAACATTTCCCCCTAGGCCCAAGGAGTTTGAAACCAAAAAGGTGGCCTTTCTGATCGGAATAACGCACAAAATGCCACGTGTCCGTTCAACTTTGGAGCCCTCCTGAACTTTGTTGTGATGATTCTGAGAACCCGGAAGTGAACAACCCACCCGCGCTAAGGGTCATGGGAAGGCTCAAGTCCAAAACACACACCGTCGTCGACAGTGGGAGGAAGTCACGAGTTTCAGGTGTTTTTTATGACTCATAATCCAAACGTAACGCAACAAAGGACCTTCTAACAGGGACATGAAACCTTCTGGAACCTTACCACGTCACAAGGCTGCGATGTTTGTCCTATTGGGTGCGTCGTTTCGATTCCTCATCATGCAGTAAGTTCGCCACTCTAAAAAAACGTACCGAAACTTCCTGGGTTTCTTCAAGGAGGTTAAACTTGGTTTCTTGCTGTGTCCAGACTTCCTTACATGTCGACATCGCGTCTTTAAGACGATCGCCAGTGTTCTAAGCAGCACAGATGGCGTCTTCGGAGAGCCACCAGGCCGATGAGTTGACGATCCCGAAGGAGAGTCTCCCGTTGTTGGAGCAAGCCTTGCCCAGAGTGCAGAGGACGCACGGAGTGAGGGTGAGCCTGTTGCCCACCACCCCCGAACTGTCCCAGCAGTGGGTCCGCCTGGAGGGGCCGGCCGCGGGGCGGAACAAGGCCAAGGTACAACATAACTTGGCTAGAACTGAACTTGGTACTGTCTGTTTCTCACAGTTATCATCTGAGTAAGCAAGGTCATTGATTAGATATTACAATATGGTCTACTCTCCTGCTACTTTCAATATCTCAGTTGTTTTTAGCCGTGGACGACTCTGGTAACCCTTTTTGCATGATAATGCCGACTTATCATGCAAAAAGGGCTTACCAGAGTCGTCCACGGCTAAGTTGTTTTGTTTGTGTGTGTGTGTGTGTTTGTGAGAGTAATTTGTGTGCGTGACATGTAATGTGTACATTAGATAAGTGCCATTGTAATCTGGCATCAATCTAAAATTATTCTGACATTAGAAAACAAAAATGCAATATTATGCTTGGATGGCAATTATGTTATTTAGATAATGCCCAGTCTCCACTATTGACAAAACCTCTCTGTCTACCGAACAGCAATAAAAAATTGTCTAATTTCATATTCATCTTGCGTCATCTCCAATGATTGAACTTGTCCCCCCCAAGATTACATCAAGGCCCTGTGCAGCCCTGATGTGGGGATGGACGTGAGCTACTCCCAGCCGCTGCACTGCATCTGGGCCGGGGTAGGGGGCCCTTGTATTGTCTCTGTAGTAATCTAACTTGAACTTGTCTCCAATCCCCAGGATTACATCAAGGCCCTGTGCAGCCCTGATGTGGGGATGGACGTGAGCTACTCCCAGCCGCTGCACTGCATCTGGGCTGGGGCAGGGGGTGCTTGGCACCGCGCCGTGGAGAACCTGTCGGGCGCCGCCGTCACGGTGACGGAGGTCGGGACGCTGCACGTCAGTGGGACGGATCTGCAGGTAAATAATCTCCAAGCAGATCATACGGTGGCAAGGCAGTATCCATTCAATGGTTAATAGACACTCCTCCTTGCCACTGTATGATCGTCTTAGAGATTACAGGTGATAGGGTTACAATTAACCTTAACCTTCTCCCTTACCCCAAACCCAGTCCGAACTTGGTTGCCTGACAAAATCTGAAATTAGCTGCCGAGTCTGTTTTGTGCTTTCCGCAGTTGAGGCTGGACATGTAACCAGGCTACAAATTTGGTGCCTTAATGCTATCTAGGTCTCATCAAGACCTACCCACCTACCAAGTTTCATGACAACCCTTCCATAGCTTCTTGAGTTATAGTGCTAAACCTCATACATACATACATGATTGTTTTTAATTCGCTTAAATGTCGCAGCTACAAAAATATCTATTTTAAAGATTATGAATGATTGAAAAATGTTTTTAAAATGTACATATACTGCGAATTTTAGTATTTGAAGTTAGAATGTTATAAGTAACAATGTTAATTTAACATATTTTTCGAAATGTAATAAGATAGTCTAACAATTGTAACGTGTTCACTACTTTTTTCAGACCTCACAATTCAGCCGTGAGGCTGCGATGGGTTTTGGTTGTCAATAATCAATACATGTAGTACACAAGTACATACAATGCTGCAAAAAAATCTTCTGGCAAAGGCAATTATCAAAAGCCTAAATTAAACCTCTGCTTGAAGAGTAAGATGCCGACGGTGTGAATGATGTTCATGTACTTACTGTAAGTTGTTAAAAATGTACATTTGGTGCGTTGTTCCCAGGTGATGATGGCCATCTCCACACTAGAGAACCTGCAGTCTGTCTACAGGGGCAGTGAGAAGGCAGCCGCCACCAGGGAGAGCCTGGACCAGGACCGCAGGTTGGCTTGTTTTATATAACTACTCAGTAGTAAACTGCCTTTAGGCATAACAGTTTTGTACAGTAAGTACAAGCTGTGTAAGACTGGACTGCAGGGTTTGATCCACTTACACCAAGATGGACCCTTATGCTTTTGTTGTATGTTGGTATGCTCTAATATGCTTGAGGTATGGCATTCCTCTACATGCTATTGAAGAGGACATCCCTAACCAAAGCTAGGTATGTAATGATTGACTGAATCAAGTGAGAAAATAGGTGTAAGCTACAGTTAAGTGCCTTTCCAAGGGCACAATATTGGGCCTGCTAGGGAACTGAACCCAGAACCTTTTGATTCCAAGTCAACAATCTTTTATTCTAGACTTGATGCAATTCAGCCGTTTTGGCTGCCATGTTTGAGACAATTTTATTAGACTTTTGAAATACTAAACCATTCATAATATACATGTAATGTATATACAACAACCCTAACCACAAGTCTGTGTTGCCACCTGCAGGTTCAGACGGCTGCTGCAGACCATCGGTGACGGGTCGGCCTGTGATGAACAGCTACAGGACCTGCCGTCTGCTGTGAAACAGCTGCTGATGGAGTGGATCGAGGAGGACGCGGGAGACACTTCCTTGTCACGAGATCTGGATCTGGACGAGGACGAGTCTTCAGATGATTCCTTCGAGCTCATAGAAGATGTAGTGCCGATGAAAAGCAGTTCAAAGGATCAACCAGAGACAGATGCTGCTGACAAAGATGATGCAGCCCATACAGGTATCGCTTCTTTCACCAGTGGCACACGAGAGTCGGACACGAGAGATGATCAGACAAGCGACGTTCCCTCAGAAGCTGATTCTTTCCTACTTTGTGCTACATCAACGTTGTCTAGTTCAAGAGCTGAAGCTGCAGGCAGTTCCAGTCATTGCAAGACTGCGTCTCGCCATGACCAGAAAAATACAGACAACGTCAGATTCCTGAAAAACTTTGCTGCCCGCCTTCAGATCTCTGAAGACTTGGTCGATCGTGCCATTTTGCACTTAGGCACGGAGGTGGACATTAACACCCTGCTAGATTACGTAGAGAGAATTCAGACCAGTGAGCCAGATCAAAATGACGATGATGATTCAATGGAAATAGCAGATGACAAGCAGCAAAAGAGACAGGCCAGCAGTGATGATGACATTGTTGAGATTCCAGTTGGCAGCAGCAACAGGCCTGTGACGAAAACCATTCCAGAAAGGCAAACTACGTCGCGAAACACGCCTAAAGTGAACAGAACGGAAAATGCAGCAGACGTTTCCATCAACAAGGGTTTTCGTTACGACAAGCCTCCCAACCAGGAAAACATCAGATTGTTGAAGAAGTTTGCAGAAGATTTCGAGATACCCGAGCACCTCGTGGATCGCGCTATCGCAGATTTAGGGTCCGAAGTGGATGTAAACACCATGCTGGACCACATCGCGACGATAAATTCTGGACAAGATGTTGTCGTCATGGAAACCGGAGACGACAAAGAGGAAACTACAGGCAGTGGTGATGATGATGATGTTACTGAAGTAGAGAACAGCAGAAGGACCACAGAAGAAAGCGGAGAAAAAAGTGATGGCCTCATTTCCTCGTGTAAGATATGTAGAGACCTCGGGTACACTGATGAAGAAATTGCAATGGCAGTGAGTAGAGTTGGAGAAGAGGCAAGTCTGCCTGCGCTGCTACAGGAGGTCAGAAACATCAACAGAGAAAAACAGAAAAAGGAGAGAGCGAAACCTGAGGAGTCAAACTATAAAGCAGGAGAAACTGTTGTTTTGCCTCCGACAAGGAAAATCTTTCCAGCCGGCAATGCTGCTAATAACAGGTCAGCGGATGTGATGTTGAGACCGCAGGCTCCACAGACCATACCTACTGTGGGCTACGTTCCTCTGTTAGGACGTAACCCTTACCCAAACCAGGCGGTTGTCAGACCGGTACCTGTTATCCTCCTGCCTACACCCCAACAGGCCATGGTCCGACCCTACCACAGCCTGGCTGCTGAGGTTCAGGCCGCCCAAAACCGACAATTTCATCATGCCAGGAACAGGACTCCTCCAAGTGCTAGTCAGAGCTCTGCTGCTGGAACTGGAAATTCCTTTAAAGTTGGGAGCCCTCCTAAGAAGCAAAATAAACAGTTCCAGGACCAGTCTGTTGTTCGGGAACAGGCAGTTGTACCTAACCTGGTGGAGAAAGTCCAGAAGATGGGAGAGTATAAGCTGGACCTGCCAGATGGTCCAGGGGATGACAGCCTACGGCCTGTGGTCATCGATGGCAGTAATGTTGCTATGAGGTGGGTTACTTAAGCTACCTACTGTAAATCTTTTTGACTCAGAATCTAAAGGGTTTGAGTTCGAATCCCCGACAGGCCCCAATGTTGTGCCTTCAGGGAAAGGCACTCAACACCTATTTCCTCATTTGACACAGGTGTAAATGAGCACCTAGCTTTGGTCAGGGACGTCCTCTCAGACGGAGAGCCACACCTCAAACATGTTTAAAATTCCACCACACTTGTTGAAAAGATAAGTGTGGAATAAGTAGTTCAAATCTTAGGGTCTTACACATATACAGATTGTATGTTCTGTACAACACTGGTGTGTTATGCCTACATGTACAATTATAATTCTTTGTGAAGAATCTGTTAGCGAGTCTAAGTTGCATGGTTATAATTTATTTGATGTGAAAAAACAACATTTTTATCACATTTTTTTGTAGCCATGGTAAAAGGAACTTCTCCAGCCGTGGCATTGCCCTCTGCGTGGAATACTTCTGGAAGCGAGGCCACCGGGACATCACGGTTTTCGTGCCCAACTTCCGGAAGGGCGCGTCCACGGAGTCGTACCTGCTGATTGAGCTGGAGGAGAAGGGTCTGCTGTCCTTCACACCCTCCAGGAGGATCAAGGGGAGGACTGTCGCCTCTTATGATGACAGGTACATGATGATTAGATAACTAGAGAAGTAACATTTGTAAAGCAAATGCATAATGTTTACCTTCGGACATGGTCTGCCCTTTTAATTTTTACTCAAATATATTCACATACATACGTGCTACTAGTAACGTTATATGGTGACAGGAGCAGAGCAGACCATGAAGTTTGCAACATTATGTAACCCAACACCAGTCACCATGGTGACAGACATCAACAAATGTCATTGGCCAGGTCAGAGGTTAGTGTTTGGAGAAGAAGAAGAGGAAGAGGAAATTGAGTAAAAACAATATGTTTTCCTTCGGTAAACATAATAACCTTCTCCCTTTCTAATCTCCAAGCAGATCCTACAATGGCATGACAGTATCCATTGGCTAGAACTGTGACCACTAGCCACCCTGTAACCATATTAGCCACTGCAGGATCTGCTTGGAGATTGCTTCCTTCTTCCATTTGCTCATTGTATGTACTGAATTGCAATCAAGTATTTTCACTGAAGACTGTCACAGGAATCCAAGTTCCAAATGTCTGTTTGATCCCTCTTACCATGCCAATACAGAGAACCCTGAAGCTCTTGTTTATTGAATTCGCTAATTGATTCTACATGAACTATTTGGCATTGACGTATTGTATCCAGAATCATGCCTGATTGGGCTTAGGTATAGGATCAGGTATGGTCATGGATAGTCTGCGCATATACAATTTTTCTCCAGGTATGGTTCTGTCTACACATGGACTATCCAGAACTGTGCCTGAGCAAGGTTCTGGATAAGCATGATTCTGGATATAACAGAAGCAATCAGAAGGATGAACCAAAGTTGGTTATTTTCTCGTCCCAGGTACATTGTACGGTTGGCAGCAGAGAAGGGAGGGGTGATCGTGTCCAATGACAATTACAGGGACTTACTGGATGAGTCCGAGGCTTGGAGGGACGTCATAGAGAACAGGTAAAACTTGTACAAATCTTTTATTTAAAAGAGTGGATTCATTCCGCAAGCTAACCAATATCTCGCACATGGCAGTTGTCCCTCAGTGAAACATCTAGAGCCACATAGTTCCCGTTTAGAACTTGCATTCAGCCTACCTTGACTTGTTTTGCCCTGTGGGAAGACAAGTATACAGAGGCTAAATCCAGATTGACTGCGCCCTCTGTAGTTTCCGCAGGGCCCAGCAACATTAGGGAGCAGGTGGAACCTACAGAGGATGGCACCCAGGCTAGAATAAAAGTTCTACACAGGAACTATCCGTGTATACATTGTAAAAACAGGGCAAATATACATTGTCTGCAATTATGTGAGTTTTGTCAAGTCCATTTTTTTTCAACTGAAAACCATACCTAGTTGTTACAAGATTGTTTTCACCTCTTTGTTTTTACAGGTTGTTGCTGTTCACGTTTGTTGGTGACCGTTTCATGCCCCCCGATGACCCCTTCGGCAGAAATGGGCCAAGTCTAGATGACCTGTTAAGAAAACAGTCACAAAAGCCACACAGGTAATAGGGCAACTGACTTTTCAACTTTTTTTGTGTTTGTTGTCTCTTGTGTCCCCGGGCTGGGAATTGTGTAAGAAGTCAGAAAGACTTTCAACAGGCAGTCCTTTTAGTTGTGCAACTTTATCATTCATTTATACTCCAACTTAATGCAACTATTTATAATAAGTGATATGCCATTTTTGCAATCAGTGATGACATATTAAGTTCTTCTTGTGCCCAATTTTCCATGTAGGGGCCACAATGTCCCACCACAGGGGCCCAAGGCTGGCTATCCAGGTGTCGGGAATGAACCCCTGCTGCCAGGTGCTGCAGCTGCAGCTGCTCCCATCAGTCAGGCACAGGTGCAGCTGTTCCAGCAGCTCATGCAGGTGATGATGTGATTTCTGTATACGCATCACAATATACATTACATTACATAGGAGTACATTGGTACATTTTTCCATATGGTGTATTACTGTATGTTTTGTTCCCCGGGCTTCCTTGGATGGAAATCAGCTCATGAAGTTGTAGGGGATACCCAGGTGTCTCCAAGATGAAACATATAAATCAATAAATGAACTTGTCAGACATTGACGCAATTTACGTGTGCGCAAGAACCTGACAGGATGAAAATTGTGCATGCATGTAAGCATATGAAAACTGCATACTTAGAATTTTTCCGCTTAAATTGGCCTGCTATGACATACATCAAGATTCTAAGTTATGTCAAGGTCTGGCATACAATCTGAATGTGAATCAAAGCAGGCAAAGTACAAAAGGTGTGGGAAGGATTTTAACTGCTAACTTCCCGCCTCAGGTGTTCCCAGGTCAGGAGGATAAGATCCGGCGTGTCCTGCAGTCGAACCCGGAGATGGCTGACCTGAACGCTGTGAGCGCCATGGTGCTCGATGTGGACTTATGACCGCTCAATCTTTTCCTGACCACGAGGAAAGTTTCTGTAGCTGAAGGAAGCACGCCAGCAAAATCCAGAACGTAAAGTGCATGTTCATCCTATTTTTAGACATGACACTGTCACGGTTAATGTTCTCTGTTAAACATGTGACAGTTCATGATTTTTAAGTCCGATGTTTGTTAGTCAATTTGTTACTATGTGAATGTTTTTCTTTTACTTTCCTAGACTGTACAGAAAATAGAGCTAGTACGTATACAGACCATTCAGCCAGTTCAGTCACTTGTTGAAAAGTTGTGTATTTTTTGCTAGCATCATCTGATAGTTTTTTTCCAGAGAAAAGAGCACAGGCAGCAAAAAATTGTGCTCAGAATTTACTGAAAGCAGTTGTTCATTGTTCATGTATGTATATGTTGGCTCTATTTGCTACAGGCTGGTCTGGGATTTAAGAATTTTATACGGTTAAGAAAAGTCTACAAAAGATGTACATGATTATGTAACTCTATTCACAACAGACATCTAGCAATGTGAATCTGACATGTTAACAATGTCTTTCTTGCTACTTCTTAGGCCACACCAATTTAATTTGTTGGTTCTCGGATTCGCCTCTTCATTTTTTCCTGATTTGCAAAAAAAAAAAAAAATTCAGAATTACTGCAAAATGCTCATATTTTGCCCTGAACAGTTGAAAACAGTCCTTTTCTTCCTAGTCGTTACAGTTATTCCATCTCTCAATGCAGTGGTATCATTAGAAGTTCAAAATTCATTTTTAAAATTTTGAACCAGCCTTTTTTGTTGACTTCATACCTCCTATCGTAGCATTTGGGCTATAATAGGATGCCTAGATCTGTTTTTATTTTTTATTTTTTTTCGCCCTGTCGCTTCATATTTTTCCTGAAAAAATCCGAGAACCAACAAATTAAATTGGTGTGGCCTTAGAATAATAAGTATCTTTAGTGTTGGCCTTACATGGGACTTAATTTGCTTTGACTATACAAGAAAAATATGACATCAGACAATATTTTTGATACAAAATTGTGTAGGAAAATTTTTATTCTGACCTTCACAACACATACTATGTTCATTTCAGTGATCAGATGTAGTAGAAATTTTTGAGCTTTGTATACAAAAGATGCATCCGTGGTAGGGTATGAATATTGTACTAGAAGTCACAGGTACTAACTATACAACAGCTAGTCAAAATTTCATTCATGCTCTTTCCAACAAATCACTTCCATGATTATATCTCTTTCTTTGGATTGTCTCCACTGGATTTTAATATGTACACATTATCTTTATATAGACATCTTTGCATCCCATTACTTTTTATTAATTTGATTACAAGTTCATACACCAATAGTTTTGTCCATCTTTCCAAAGATACATGTACATTGTACAATAATATGGTCCTAAATAAGAACACTAGTACTGGCAAATAAAAATGTCAACCAAGGAAAGTAAAACCAGACAAGCAATTCTTACCTACACCTTTATATTACATAATGATATAATTTGTAGGACTATATCAGTATATGATATGATATGATCAAATATGCCACAAATTCCACCAAGTGTGTAAATATTATTATCATTGATAATTTATAATTATAGTCATTTACAAGTCAAGGTGCTACACTCATCAGAACAAGCACCTTGAGAGTTTCTGTGATTGCTGTAAATTCATTTACTTTAGCAGTGGGAAGAAAAAGGCCATTTTTTGCAAATTTGCAGTTGAAACAGTAAAGTAGTACAGTACTGGCATACGTTGGAAAAGTACAGTAGAGAAGTCACCACGAAAACAAAACCACCCCGAAAGTTTCAAATTTACATTACTGGCTGGCATCTGGGTGTTCTGATCGTCTGTCCTTGTACAATCCTGAGGGAAAACATCCACAAACATTACATCGGGATTCTGTACTCTTCCAAACCTGGTCCAGTGCAAACTTAAGGGAAAACCTGACAACAGAAACAAACTTATATGATAAAGACAAAAACCATGCCAAATATGTACAACATTCATGGTAAAGCCAGTTGCCTTTCGGAAACACATTACACAATATTGGAAAGCGTCTATGGACAGAGTTGCACTTGGCAGTGCTTGACTCAAAGGACCAAGTTAAATTTTAAGGTCTCACTTTTTACTGGCATAAGTTTGCATTACCTGGTGCTGAGAGAGATACATTGAGAAAATTTGGTAACTATATATTGCAAAAGTTGGTGAGATTCCACATTACATTGTATGTATCTGTGTATAGCTGGTATAACTGCCATTTGGCATAACCCACCAGCTTCTAACTTTTGAAAGGTATCTAACTGATGGGAGCAAAGATGTGGAACCTTCCTGAAGGAGCTATGGTATCAAATTTCCGGGGGCACATCTAAGTTGTAGTGCCATCTTACAGCCTATTGGAAAAGTTATTAGTGTCCGTCATCGTTTTCACCAAATGACTCGCGATGCCCAACGGTCCTCCCTTCACAAACCTGACAAAGTTGTCCCCCACTAGCGGCCCTACGGCGTACAAACCCCGCGCCTTAGCGCTCTCAAATGTGTACGGATCCACATCCACTGGGTTCTTCTTACACGAGACCGGTTTGGTGCTATCTACTGCTAAGTCCATCCCGTTATTGCCCAAGAAAGACAGATTCGGCCTTGCACCGATGAGCACAAGGACTTTGGAGACTTGGACAACCTTCTCCGAACCTTCTATGATCCTTCCGATGAGACATCTCCGTACGGGGCCCTTAAGGACACATTTTCTGCCCGCCCTGATCTCTAGGATCTCGTGTTTGGGGTAGCTCTTGTACCCGGGGTAGCCGTCCTTGCTCTTCATCATCTGGTACACCTTGTGGTACTCGGGGTACAAGCCGTCCGGGAGCGTCCGGAAGATCAGGCCCGGGTCCTTCGCATCCCTGCGGAACACGTGCACCACGGGGACCTTGCACGAGCGCAGGCACAGGACGGCGTCCGCGGCGGTCAGCCCCGCCCCCACCACCATCACCGGGTCCGAGTGTTCGTCGAGTTCCTTATTCGCGATCGCTTTCTCGATCTCCCTGAGGTCGTGCGCGACGATGTTTTGGTCCGCGACCTTCACGTCGAGGCGGTTGGGGATGTCGGTGGTTCCGGTTGCCATGACGACGTGAGGTGCGTGGTAACAGAACGGCTGCTGGGCGTCGCCGACTTGCAGGACGCCCTGCACCTCCCACATGTTGGTCCGGCAGCACTCGGGCCGATGCAGCTGCAGAAAACAACAAGATATAGTCATGCCTTCAAGTTCTATGGAAATTAGCCAAAGATTGAGGTGGTCAAAAACTCATTCTTAACAAGAACTTTTGCACAGTCATTGATACATACATTGTGTAATTTGATCGGTGGTGGCTGTGATGACTGGTTTCCATGGTGATAAAGAATCCTGAGCTGCTATTGTTACTTCTCAATTTACATATTAGTCCCTTGGCTTAGAGGCCACAAGTTCTCAGGGTAGGGGGCCCAATCAGCCTCTGACAGAGAGACATTGTGCAACACCAGCTTGACGGAAACATATATAACTGAGGTCTTATTTTTTGTGGTGACATTCCCAGAGTCAGAAGCAAGCTACTGATGTATTGTTGGACCCATTCTCTAGCAAATTGTACTCAGAATAGAATGGATACCAGGCTACAGACAGAAGTACAGATAACAGCCGGTACCTGACATGAGGCCTCCTGTTCGCCGCTCTCCTGGTTGATGAAGGCGCAGTCGACCACGAGCCGGCGGACCGACGTGACGGTGGAGCCGGGAAGGAAGTTCCTCTCCAGGCCCATGTGCCGCACGTAGTCGCTGTAGTACTGCGCCACGTCCGACACGTACGCCCGGTCCTGCCGCGCACAGTTCACCCCGCCGTGCGCAGATCTGCAGGGGAGAGACGGAAGGGATGATTCAGACGTTCTTTACTGAAATCACTTAGCTAGCCTTCTTAGCAGGCTCTAACACAGGCTTTTTTTCTTAAACCCTTTACCCCTGTCTGTTATGAAGCTACACATTGACATCTGTCCAATCTGAATTCTGGTGCAGGGATTACAAGCTGCAATGCAAGTAAGAAGCGCTCATTCCTGTATCGTGCAATATCGTTGTGGAACGACCTACCTTATCATGTCAAGACACTGAGTAACCTTCTCAAGTTTAAGAAAGCCATAGTAAACAGTGTCACGTGAAGCCGACCTCTAGTTTTTAAATTGTCAGCATTCATTTGTGCGTTCCTTTAAATGTTTGATGTATTTTTGTCTTTTTAAACGTTTGCACTGTATCTTATGCACTATTTCCTATGTATATATGTAACGAATTCGAAGTGCCTGTATTCCATGTATTTGAGCCTTGGAAGACTAGCCCTGCAGGGCTAAAAGGTTTCGAAATAAATGAAATGAAATGCAAACTACTTCATCCTTCCTATGGGTGAGTAAGGAGACATGAAGAATTTTATAAATGCCAGAATGTCGATTGGTAGAGAACGACAAAAACAACTTTATCATTCATTCATCAAAAACACTGTTAGGCCACACCAATTTAATTTGTTGGTTCTCGGATTTTTTCAGAAAAAATATGAAGCGACAGGGCGAAAAAAAAATAAAAATAAAAACAGGTCTAGGCATCCTATTATAGGCTTAAATGCTACGGAATGAGCCATGAAGTCAACACAAAAGGCTGGGTTAAAATTTAAACATTGAATTTTGAACTTTTAATCAAACCACTGCAATGATAGATGGGAAAACTGTAACAACTAGGAAGAAAAGGACTTTCCTCAACTGTTGGGGGCAAAACATGAACATTTTTCAGTTGATTCAGGACCAGAATCAATTTTTTTTTTTTTTGCAAATCAGAAAAAAACGAAGAGGCGAATCCGAGAACCAACAAATTAAATTGGTGTGGCCTTAAAGTGTGAAGGTCAGACAGTAAGCAATAGTTGCTGGAGTTGCAGGAATAGTCTTTGACAGTCAAAAGACATGTGTTCGCTAATTTTTGGTGTAGCAGACCTTTGGTAAAACCTTCATTTTATCAATCTATATTTTATTGGAATTCTCCATTACGCTGATGGCATTACATTGCAATGATTTTGATGAGTATACGTTGTAACTCACAGACCTCCCGGAAGGAGGTTAGCAATGTTAACATGACCATTTACTTTACAATTCTAACATTAAGAGTTAGAGTAGAGAAGCAGGGTACCCATAAGATGTGAAGATTATAATGGGGAGGGGGGCATACAGTATAGCAAGTGAGTAGAAGAGAAAGTGGGGCCCGAGACTGAGTCAGTGAGAGCTCCGAGAAAGTGGACACAACCAAACAACCGTCGTAACCAGAATTCTGCTGGTTACCTTGGCAAGCTAACGCAGTGAGTTTGCCCACATCGCATGCAAGTCCTCTTCTGCTTCTCACTGTGGTAGCAAAAAGTGTCATTCAAACGGGCTCAGACGAGTTAGGCTAGTCTCCAAGCAGAGGTTTGGTCTTCGGCTTATTTTGTGGTGTGTTTTTAGGCATTTTAATCATGCTTTGTTTTTGTACTGGTGTCTTTTTTATGCCAGCCAAACGTCGAGTGACATATGGTCAATGCTTTGCCAATTTGAAACTGTGTAAAGTTTGCAGCCACCAAAAGATCTGCTTGGAGATTAGAGTTAAACATGCTAACATTGTAATTGTACACTTAAGGTAGGAGGATTAGTGGCTCTTTGGGGGTTTGTGGACCTGCTATATAGGACCAGTATTACATGATTGTATATGAATAAGGCTGCTGTCTCAAAATCCCTATAACAGCCAATCCTCATACCTTAACATGTTGCCACTTTTTTTGTGGCCATGAATTTCTTTTACAAACTTTCTTTGCACAATACCAATATATATATTAAGAATGCAGTTAACTTATGTTATTTCAACCAAAGATTCCTTTGTATGTAACTACAGTATGTTCCTGCAGGACAACTCTGAGAGATTAAATGTTAGTAATCTTTGTATATCAAATTTGGGTACCATGGCCACTATAAGTTACATGTCCCATAGTTGGCTGACTGCCCCAATGACTATGCTATAGCTAGTATCACTTCTAAAGATGAATTCTATTTATCTACAGCTGTCCATTGTTAACAGCCTCTACCAGGCTTTGGGAGGCGGCTGGAAAGAGTAGAAATTGACCAAATAGAATGATAACATACCGTTAGCCCTCAGAAAGTATAGTTTGCTGCAAAAATGTATTCTCTATCGGACCAACTCCCCTGGCATGTTATCTCTCTATTTGGCCAATTTCTGCTGATTCCAGCTGCCTATCGAAGCCTGGTGGAGGTTATACTGTTAAATCCTGTAGTTATGAGGTTGTGGTTAGAGAGAGAGTGAGAGTGCTAACCTTCTGTGGTGCTGAGCCCACTGTCTGAAGTCCATCTGTGGAAGTTCCATCCAGTTTCCCAGACTGAGCGTCAGCATGGAGCCATCCATGTTCTGTTCATACACAAACAAGAAATCAGAGATATTTCAAACCTGTGGGACAGACTGAATTCTGTATCTGTATAACCAGTATAACCGCCCTTCAGCATAACACACCAGCTTCATAGGCACGCAGCATGGCGGCAGCTGGTTATATCATACCGAATGACATGTTACACCCAATCTTTGCACATTTATAAATTGAGTTTTTCAGGAATAAACAAGCAAAGAAACCAACTTGCTTCAGTATCCTGATTCGTCCAATAGTTTGATTAGTATAATTGAAGATTGTCATCCTTTCCATATTAATACTCCTTTAATTTATTTGTATTTACAAAAATTAGTTATTGATGATCTTTATCTTGCTTTAGTATTATTGATTCTGTAGGATCACCTTAATTTCTGTCAGGATTTGTGGATGTTTTGCATATTGTTTGTATTACTTTTGCAATAGAATAAAATAAAATGAAGCAACTTACATGCCAAGCCCCTCCAGGCAGTCCCCTCCCCAGGACGGCATGTGGAATGTTCCGGGCTGGGTGGTGGTTCCACTGCAGACAGGAGGGCTCATCCATTCCCAGGTCTGCGTTGGGGTGGCACAGGGTGTCCATCAGCAGGGCAACCGGGTTGTTAGACCTGCCCTCTAGCCCTTCTGACAGGTACTGCAGGTCCTGGTGACAACAACATTTGCAACAAATTGAATCAACAACTTGGGCCAAACTATCTAACTGTCAAACATTTCAAGTACAGTATTGTATTATCTTGCTACTTGAAACATATTGACAGTTTTCAAAATCTAGCCAGTGTTGCTTGAGTACTGAACTGTGTTCTTGTGTACCCTAGTGCATAGTCTAATGGTTAGTGACCCTGCCTTTGGACCAAGAAGTTGTGAGCTTATACAAATTTTTAAAAAATGCCAGAAACTTGTGCTTAAGATTAAAACATTTCATACCTCTCTGTCAGTCAATCTATAGAGACAACGCCTTAATATACTGCACAAAAAAAGTCTACAGTTGATTGAAGAGACTTATAATTACTACATACATGTAGATCTGGGGACTCACACTAGCTAGGTTTTGCACTACAGTTTGGGTCTTATGTTACAGTTCTACGCTAGAAAACTGTACTGTATTTTGAAACATTTGAAGACTAAAAATTCCCCATTACCTGCTGGAGTATGGATGTTTCAGGATTCTCTCGCAGCTTGCGCTCCAGGATGGAGTTGGGATGGGGGTGGTTATTCACGTACGGCCAGTTCCCTGACAACAGGTACGACAAACAGATACCCGAGGGTCCATTTCCTGAAAAAAACAGGTAAAGAAACCAACACAATTAGATTCGAATTACTAACTATCCAAAATTAATTAATAACTAATCATGCAAATTAGGAGGAAATACACATTCAGTGATTCTCAAAATGATCTTTTTCCAGTAAAGATGTAAAAACAATACAACAACGCATTCTAGCATTACAAACTGTTACTCTCATTAAAAAAATCCCCCTCGGTCACTTCGCTGAGTTCGCTCCCTTGCCATGCTTGCAATCTGCTCCCTCATGCTTAATTTTTCTAGGAAACCCCTGGACGGTATATACATGTAACGTTACATGTATAAGAGCTAAGTTAACCCTACCTATGATGACGACATCAGTGTGCAGTACTCCTGTACACGTCCCCTGTCTCCCCGACACATCCTGGGCCTCCTCCATCCTGTCTTTCATGTCTGAAGAGACTAAAAACTGCTCACAAGGTAAGAAGCAAGACGGTTGTAGGATTGGCCTCGTGGCTGTCACCTCTCACATTCCAGGGGTGGGTCGCAGTCGGTCATACAACGACCACTTACCGCGCTTCTGTATAAAAAGAGAGCAAATAGAAACATGGATTGTTAGCTTTGTAAGTTATCTAAGCATGAACGTTCATCTGTGTCAAGTCATTATGACCAAAAGGGCTAAACTTGCTATCCAACACTAGGAAAATTTGGGTAAGTCCCAATTTACTTATAGTGTTGGATAGAAAGTTTAGCCCTTTTGGTCATACACACTGTAAGCTTTGTAAGTTATCGCGGGTTCACCTCACCTCGAGGGTAACAAAGACCAAATCTGTAAATAATTGACTGCATTCAAAAGTCTCTATCTGTTGAGAGAGATTCCTGACCAAACAACATTTGAAGGCTAACTCACTCATTACAAAAATGTTTTAAAAGCAGCGTATTGTTGATGAATGGTTTGCATTTGGCCGATTCGAACTTTGTCCTACGTGTAGAAAAACTTCTTACATAAGACGAAAGCTGAGCTCAGTATGCTGCTATGCCAAGTAGCAGAGCCATGCTTAACAAATAGAGCAATCTGGTACAATCAACAGAAAAATTTTAAACCTACAACATTAAACAAGGATGTTGTCCTAATCCATATTGTATCCATAACAACATTAATTGATATACATTGTTGTATATGTTGTAATAACACATATGTTGTAATAACACACTGGCCTCATACCAGTCTTGATATTTAAATCTTTCTTGTTATTGTTCTTTAGGCCATGTTGATTTGATATGGATGACATCCGCACGCGCATGAATTTTCGGCCGTTTCCAAAAAAAAAGTTTTTAACCATACTGTAAATCGTACAAAACAGTTGCAAAATGAGCAAAAATATACCGTAAGTTACAAAAAAATAAGTAAAAACTATACCGATGTCGTAGAATGCCAAAATCAAATGAAAAAAGACGAAATTGTAAGGAAATGAACTTGAAGATTAGATTATTCGCCAAACCACATTCTGTCCCATTTGTTCAACCCTCATGACCATGTAGATTTCATAATGAAAACAACTTTTTTTTTTGCAAACCTTTTTTTATTCGCACGCGCGCATCAGTTTTGGGGCTCCCAGAGGATGTCATCCATATAATCAAATCAAAATGGCCTTAATAAAAGAAAATACTGGTGTTACAATGAGGGGCAGTTATACCAGCTATACAGATACAGATTGTATCACTATGACACAATTGGTAGCCTCCACCAGGTCTAGCTAGGGAGTTTGGGATAGTTCTGATTGGGCTCTTTTCCCTACAACTTTCTCCATCACTTGTCATGCATGGCTTGAGTGCCTCTCATACAGTAATTAGTGTGGCCGAGAGGCAAACGGGCCTGACTCAGGCCAGTATAGCCAATGGGATATTAGAAAGTGACAAAACCAGTGTACCCGGCCAGGGGAGTGGCCGGTCCATCATTTCGCTTTCCCCTCAGAAGAAAATGAGCTCCATGGGGAACCCTGGTCGATTATTATCTCCCCCCCCCCCTTTGGCTAAATTTCACTGTTTTTGAAGCCACTTAAATTTGTTAGTCTGGTACCGATGGAGGCTAGAATTATTGAGGGCTGGAAATATTATATTGGAGTTGCGCACTAGTAGCCCACTGTAAATAGAAGTGGATAAATTTTACTTTTTTTTTAACCCATGTTGTTAGTCTGGTGATGACTAGGATTATCAAAGGCTGGAAATACTGAGTATTGTGCACTTTTGTGCCCCCAATATTGGAGTTGCATACCATTGGCCAACTGGAGGACGGGTGGCTAAATTTGACTTTTTTTAAACAAAGTCTGGTGGTGACTAGAGAATTATCAAGGACTGGAAATATAAGTTCTGAGTGCATGTGCCCAATTCTGTGGGCCGTTATCAGTGCACTAGAATAAAGGTGGATGCCCTATGGGCACTCGTGAGAGCAAGTCAAGCGAAAGATGGCAAATGTCACCAATATTACGCCAGTGTAAGACTACCCATAATACTTTCAGTATCAGAACACCAATAGTACACTACTAGTACTACGATCAACTCTCATATATATACGTATACCATTTACTAGCTATAGTATAGTACAGTAATATTCTCTAATTCTCACAATTTAACAAAAAAAAATCTGGAAAACACTTGCACCGAGGGAGGACAAGTTGTGAGAAGTAGGACATTTTGTGACCTGAGTTAAAAAAACGTTGGGTCACAGTCCATTAGACTGACGAATTAACCCCAATTGCCCTACATAACGCTAACAGACAACTGTCTGCTATATATCAACCTAGCCTGGATGTCACCAGACTCCAGTACAAGACAAAACTTCAATCTCTTTAATAGGGCAACATACTCGCTCCATTGTGCAGAGATACTGTGATACACGACTTTTCCACGGTACTTTTATGTTCGCAGTTTTTGCGGTCAATTCTGTACCACAAACTTATCATTACCATTACCAAACAATTCACCAACTTTCTTTTTTCTACACCTGCTACCACCATAAACTTTCTAATAGTTCCACAAAAACCTCCATTTTTCTCAGACCACAAACTTTTGCTACCACGAACATATTAAGTTATTTACAGTAATTTAATTAAGGTACGGTGCCAACTGTCTCTTGGTACGGGCGTATTAGGGGAGCCAACCGTGGGAATCAGTATTGTCTCGCGCTGTAGTCTGGCACCCGAGCTAACTTCCACCTGCACACAGCAATCTGTTCCCACAACTGCACCTGTAAAGCTATTAACAACAGGGAAGCAATGAACCAGACATCGATGCTGAATACAAGGATCGACCAACCTGAAACCCAGCACAGCCACAGCCACGAACACGGGTGTGGGGTTCCTCCCTTTTGTGCCGGGTCCTACCAATTTGCATGCCTTTTATCTGGTCAGACAACAGTTGTCACACCACAGGTAGAACAACTAGTCACGGACCAATCGTAGCATTCCTTTACCCAACAAAAGGCCCACCCGAGGGTAAGGCTTTGGGGATGTGAAAGGTATTTGAAAATTACACCCGTCTTGTTTGTCCTTCGATTCATGTACCGTCAATGCCAAAAGAAAAACTTGCGACTTGGTTCTGAAAGGAAGAGACAAAAACGTTCCACCCCCTGCCATGTTTAGGGCATCCCTATTATTGGCTATAATTAGCTTGTACTAAGTTGTAGATACTCTCCAGTTGTACATACTCCCACCAAGCAGAGGTTGGTGGGGAAGA